ACGTAAAATTAGGGAAAGCGATCGAAAGGAAACCCTTTTTAATCAGTTTAAAAGCCCATTTTACTTTTCAATTCATTGAAAAGTATTAAAGTAATAAAGTTACCCTAGATTGACCCAAAGAGTTCTGTGATTATCTAAAGGTTTTCTGTTAAAATACAAGTTTTGTTGGATAAATTAGTTTGCTAGTGTAGCATTTTTTTGGGGTTCAATAGTTATCGGCTCTAATAATTGACGCTGTGATTGTAAAAATAGGTGCTGTGATTCGCGGCCAAGCATATTAACTATAATTATCTCTTGTTCTCTATGACCTTAGTTATAATTAGTAAAATTAATCCATTAACAGCCCATTAACAAGTAACGCTTGTGTATTCTTTTAGATTTCCAAAAATGCCATTCTGACCGCACCGGCGTTGTATTGCGATTCGCGAGGCAAATACCTCTTCTGTACAGACCTAATGTAACAGATTGGGAGGTTAGGTTACTCAACTCATCCTTCTCTGTGGTTACTGGCACTTGGCAGTTAAATGATACTTAAACTCCGCTATATTGACAAGTTACTTTCTTTCTGTATTCTAATGCATTAATTCAGAGGAACAATCTATTCTACATTTATCAAAATTCTATTTAAATAATCTGTAAAATCTTAAGCCTGCCTTGACGTGTTTCATGTTGTTTTTGATCGGCATTTGAAGGTAAATTTACATTTGTTCTACTCGTTAAATATAACCCTAGGTTCTATGACCCTTTTACAAGGGAGTACTCTTTAAACTTTGCGGAGACCAAACATGTTTTTTATGTTTACAAGTGTGAGGTGAAACTGTTAAGCGTTAATGCATGATGGTACTAAGTGAATTTTGTTCCACTCATTTCATAAACCATTGAGATGACGATCTAAAGGTGCTGGTTTCACTTTGACGTTGGCCTAATTTTGTCATATTTAATTTCGAGTTTGAAGATTAACTTGTAGATACACGCTCTACTCTCTGCCTACACGTTGTATACACACTGTACGGTGTGTGACGCGACTGACGTGATACGTGCTATGTAACGGTAACCCGACGACACACTTTACCGTTTCCTCTTCACTAACTCTGCTACTGTGCGGTGTGTGACGCGACTGGCGTGATATGTGCTATGTAACGGTAACCCGACGACACACTTTACCGTTTCCTCTTCACTAACTCTGCTACTGTACGGTGTGTGACGCGACTGACGTGATACGTGCTATGTAACGGTAACCCGACGACACACTTTACCGTTTCCTCTTCACTAACTCTGCTACTGTGCGGTGTGTGACGCGACTGGCGTGATATGTGCTATGTAACGGTAACCCGACGACACACTTTACCGTTTCCTCTTCACTAACTCTGCTACTGTACGGTGTGTGACGCGACTGACGTGATACGTGCTATGTAACGGTAACCCGACGACACACTTTACCGTTTCCTCTTCACTAACTCTGCTACTGTACGGTGTGTGACGCGACTGACGTGATACGTGCTATGTAACGGTAACCCGACGACACACTTTACCGTTTCCTCTTCACTAACTCTGCTACTGTACGGTGTGTGACGCGACTGGCGTGATACGTGCTATGTAACGGTAACCCGACGACACACTTTACCGTTTCCTCTTCACTAACTCTGCTACTGTACGGTGTGTGACGCGACTGACGTGATACGTGCTATGTAACGGTAACCCGACGACACACTTTACCGTTTCCTCTTCACTAACTCTGCTACTGTACGGTGTGTGACGCGACTGACGTGATACGTGCTATGTAACGGTAACCCGACGACACACTTTACCGTTTCCTCTTCACTAACTCTGCTACTGTACGGTGTGTGACGCGACTGACGTGATACGTGCTATGTAACGGTAACCCGACGACACACTTTACCGTTTCCTCTTCACTAACTCTGCTTTCTTGTTTACCGTTTCGTTTGAGTACTTTGTAAATTATCAATAATCATGTTTGTTAATATCTGTGTGTGTGTTTTTTTTTTAAACAACGTCCAATACTAATATATTTGCACTTCATCGCTGTCAATCGAATTAATAGTTTAGTACATACTTGAAATGTTTTTAACTTAAATTTGAGATAGAAGTGATGCCCATATAGTTGTACGACGAGGTCCCAGTCCTTGACAGTATGGGTGCAGTACCTACAGTAGTAGGTCTGGGGTGGAGTCGCAGTCACTGTAGTAGTAGTAGTATGGTAATGGTAGTGGCGTGGGCTTGTGACAACACTCGGGTGTTTCTCGTCCCACTTGGGAGTCTCAGATTACTTGCCCAATACAAACCACACAATGAGTTTGCCTCACTCCTGAGAAACTGTAATTACCGCGGTCGATGCTCCATCTCAAAATTCGCTTACAATTAAACATCGGCAGCCTACCAGTTACCAACTACCGGCAACGGCAACAACTTATCCAAAGTTTTACATGTTTTGAAACTAATTCTAGTAGTGTCTTTGATTTACGTAGCCTACCCAATTTTTTTTTAAGATAACGGGAAGTCTACTTTTGTGCAGTGAGTCATTGTGATTTTATGTCAAAATCACCAGGGTTGGGACCGTTCCCTTTCAAAACGTAAGAAATGCCACTGGCGTAAAACACACAAAAAAGTTGTACTCCAAGATATAACTAGTAGTGCCTCATACAAATACTCCTTGTCTGGCGTTGCTGTTAGTTACATGGATTCCAGAGTCGACTTATTTTCGTACTCACAAAAACATTTCACAATTTGAAATCAAATAAACACTTTGGCTGTATATTCTAATTTAGTCTAAAGAATTTCTTTTGTCTTAGCCGAATATATTTTTTAATTATTTGGTACGTGGGCGATCGTGTTATCGTTAGTAGCAGAATACAGTTTACTATAATCGATTATCCATGCTGTACGTAAGTGGACATGTGTAGTAATATTGACATTTGTAAATTTTTCTCTACGAGTAATAGTTTAAGTTTGATTGAAGTCTCCCCGAAGCCAACAAAAGTGTCACGTTGCCTTCTGACCGTTCGCTCTGTCAGCCTGTGAATAATGTTAGTGACATTTGTTTTACAGGTTGTTGATCGTAGTGCTAAACATAATTATTCGTTCACTGATGCTTTTTTATTGGAACTACAAAACATAAGTTTATCATGATAATTAAATTATTATTAACTGTATTACTGTTAGTGATGCACGTTCACAGTGCTTCTACGTCAGAGTCGGTCGCAAATTAGGAATGCGAGACTGTCAGTGACAGCTAGGCGCGGGCGGTCAGCGCGGTGACGTCACTCAACGGTACATGGGTTCACCATCACACTCCACAGCGAGGAGGCCTACATACACACTAGTGGGCATCACTTATAATGCTAATTTTCATTAATGTAGATATCACAAAGAATATGGAATAGATAAACTTATTATTTAGCTTACATAAATAATACAAAATAATTAAATGCTACACTAAATTAGTTTAAAAATTAAACTAGAAGGACGGTTTTTATAAAACATAATTGCCCTTTTTATAATGTAAAATATTATAATTGGAAAGTGTCTCATTTAGATTATTGGTTCATATTATTTTATGCACACCACAGATCAAATCAACTGAATTATGATTCACCCATCATGTTTTGTTGGATATTACCAAATTTAACTTGTCCAGTATTTTCATGGGCAAAAAAATAAGCCTAATCGAATTATGTTAATTCATATTTTCATAATAATGTTAGCAATGTAGATTAAATGTAATTTAAGATTAGTGCACTCCTGCAATTGTTTTCTGTTGATCCATACTAAACTGTTTTACATTTGTGGAGTAATTGAATACAATTGTAGTCTTAATAACACAGACCTACACTCTGCTGAAAAGTAATATCATACTGTACATCAATTTATTACATTATTGGTTTAAAATAGCTGCAGTATCTGCAGTACTTTACACCTTAGTTTTAATATTTTATAGACAAAACCTTTATAATAAAAGAGTGGCCAGGTTAGGCCAGGCGCACACAGGCGATGTTGAGTCGCGCAACAGTTGCCCGACTAATCGGGAGACTGTTGCGCAACCCACTCGGAGAATCTGAAGTCTAGCGACAGTTGAGCTGGAGTGCGCACACAGGCAACTTTTTTGTCGTGAATCTAGTCTTGAGACGTGTTGGACATACATTCGTTACAGCGTTCCGAATGGATTTCAATGATACAGCCGTAGTATGCGCTTTGTTGCTGAAGTTTCGCGTGCAAAAGAAAAAGAGAAAATACTGGGTTCATCCCATATAATCCCATATAAAGGCGACCTCTTCTCAACTTCATCAATTAATTGTTCGACATCCTCATCACGCACACTCATACTTGTAATTTTCTAAAAACTTCACACAACAAGAGAGCAAACACTAGTGACAGTTCTGGCCACGAGTAGTTGAACTCCTGGGGTGAGACTGAGCGACACAGCGACAATTTAGTTGCATGTGTGCGCGTCTACACTTGTTTCAATGGATACCAAACCTGGAGCGACAGTCCCGCAACAATTCAGTCGCAGAGCAGTCGCTGGCAAATTGGGTCCAGGAACATCGGTTGCAACAGTTGCGTAACTGTCCCTAGACTGTTTCCTTGGTGTGTGCACTCCAATTTAAAACCATGTTGAACATTTTAGTCGGGCAACTGTTGCGCGACTCAAAATCACCTGTATGCGCCTGGCCTTAAGAATGGGTTATTCTTTTGGCTCTTGAGGCTAAGAAAAATAACACAATTTTGTCAGTAGGTAACTAGAATTTCACTAGCTGCAACATAATATATTTTAATCTAAAAAGGAAAACAGTTTTTTTGTGACCTGCCTGGTAAGTCAGTAATGAAAAAATGATGAAATAAAAATGCATTTCATTTTTGTTTGATTGCTGTGATATGTACATTTAGTACATACTTTTGCTGTGACTGGTAGTGTAGTTAACCATTTTGTAAAGAGCATTATAAATAGCAGCAGTAAGATTGCTAAAATGTATGTATGTTGACAGGAGCAGGGCCGGGATGGCCGCTGGGAGCTCACTAGTCTGGCTCATCTGCTTCTCGCTGCTCACATTGGGTAAGTTCACCTGTCTCTGTTAATCAATCTAATAACTTATTGCAAGTTAAGGTATTTGGTAACAACATAATTAATTTGCCAATAATCAGTTGTTCAGCTCCAGATATTTTTTTTCCTAGGACACTAGGCATGAGCCTGGGATTGTTTTTCACATTAGTTCAGGCTAGACCTAGGGGTTGTGGCATTATCACTTAGATAAAATCCATTGGTGTCTTGGCGGGGATCTAACCCGGGACCTCAGGGACTGAAGTCCTGCGCTCTAACCACTACGCCAGCTTGCTCCCCCTAGCTCTAGATAATACCTCTTATTGAATATAACAAAAAAATTCAAATCTCTACTGTACATTATTTTTATCGTAAAAAATAAGTATCTTTTTATTGAAAATTTATACTTAGGTGAAGTTCACACAAAGCTAACAACAGTCATACAAATTGCATTTGCTTGGTCTGCAGGTTTGCTGCGGTGGAGTGTTACTTGAATTAGGAAATTTTTTGTCCTGAAATCTATTGGCCCTTTACAGACTTTAAGAGACTGGTTTTTAAATGCTCTCATAGCTAGCCTCGCCTTTGGGGATGTGTAGACTCAAACATACCACGTACCTAGTGTGCGTGATCAACATGTTCTATGATTAAAGGCAACATTAAGCACAGGCCAAGAGATTTAGTCCACACCTTGTCATATTAACTGTGTTGTAGGAGTGAGAGTGAGAGCCAACCAGCCGCCAGTGTTCACAGATGACATGGACAACCTGATCCTCCAAGAGGACACCCCGGTCGGCACCATAGTACACCAGTTGAAGGGTAGTGACCCTGAGGGCTCCCCTGTACACTATGGGATTGTGGGTACGGATAGACTCAAGGCAGACCCTTCCACAGGAGAGGTCAAACTTGTTCTGCCTCTAGATAGAGAGGTTTGTTCCTATTAACTTATCAAAATACTAGCAGAGTACCTGTCCTTCGGGGTTGGCATATAGGTATAAAATGCTTACTGCAGCTATACTCATGCTTTGCGTTTGCAATTGGAGAGGACACGTTTTGAGAAAATTCGGTTTACTATAATTTACGGTATAATATAGTATGGCACATCTACCATAGCCATAGTGTTCTACCACTGCACCTAAACAATATAAAAAAGTAAAGTTCTCACAGGTTTTTGTTGCTGCTTGGTTCAAATTAGCCGTTGTCATAAATTCAAAAAGAATTGATAGTTCTGCACCCTGTTGGTAAACCTTTAACCTTTTAAAGCTATTGAATAGCATAGAACCAACTTGTGTAGTTGAAACAGCTGGCAAAATTCTTTAGTTTCTTTTAAATATGAATACTCATAAGATTAACTTGGGAAACTGTAGAGCCACTGGGGCAAAGACCGAAAGGATTTTGGAGCTAAGAACATGTCTTTAATGTTATTTTTTTTAAGAGATTGGCAGCTTCTTTTAACCTTGCATTTGCCTGTCCACATAGACCAACCGCCTGTGCGTGGATCGTATACAGCAAAGCAAGGAGTGAGCCGGTACAGTACAAAGGTGATCTGTACTGATAAAATGTTTTCGGTAGTTACCAGGATCTGAATCCACGACATCGCTGCTTTGGGCCCGAAGTCCGCGACGCTACCGACTGAGCCACTGACTCATATCTCACTAATCGGGAATGTGAGCTATCTTCATACCAAATTTCAACCCAATCCGACCAGTAGTTAATGCGTGAATGAACTTCAAATAATTGTGGTTCGAGACATATGTGTGATTTATTTAAACCAATGTAGCTAAGACTTGCCAAGTAATGTATAGTAAAATAGTTAGAGCCTTATTAATTTCCTTAGTGACCAGTTTACTACCCATAACAGTTTTAAGATTCCCTCGTTTTTCATCAGTATGTTTTGTTGAACGCTCATTATATTTCCTTTATTAACTGGATATTCATGTCTTGAAGAAATTATACATCATTTCAATAACTTATGTTCATTTACATTGAGTTTAATTAAATAACAATACAACAACTTGATTTTAGTTGTTAGTTCTCAACCTATCAATTAATTTTTTGTGTACTTATGAAAATTATAAGTGTTCTTAGAATGTGTCTTTTGCTGAAACGTACATCCTAACTGTCCATAGTTTAAACTGCAAAATCTTATATGGTAATATAAAAATATTAGTAACAAAACCTCTGCAGATAGACTGAAAATGAAAGCAATTGTGCCACCGTTGCTGAGCTAATGCTTTACGATAAAGTGAATATTATCTAACTGTATTTACTTTTTTCAGGTTAACGACACCTTGAGGTTTTTTGTTACACTAGAAGACGAAGTAGACAATACAGATAACTCCATTGCCAATAATCTAGTCCAAGTTCCTGTTTCTGTCATTGTAGTTGATGAAAATGACAATGCTCCAGTGTTCAAAAATGTAAGTAATCTATTCATTTCAGTAGGCTAATTTAAGTAGGTAGAGTTTTGTTCAAAACAGTGTATGTACAGCATACAATTTGTTTTATTACCTAATCCTATTATAAAGGTTCTAATATTAAATTACGATTATTATCTCCAGTCACAACCAAGAGAGCTAGTTAAAATCTCCACCTATCTAGTTTTGACGTAGTAGCTGATAAGATGTGAGGGGAAAACAACACTTTACTAAGTGTGAATCAGGTTTTGTAATTAGATTTCTGTGGTCTAAGGTGCTAACTCCTATTGAAGTTCATTGCCTGTTGATGGAAGATAATGCAGTTGTTTGGGTTTTAAAAAAGGGCGTTATGGGTGGAGCGAGTTTGGAGGTGGTCATAAACATTTGAACGATGTTAGTGGTGTTTTGCATGGTGTAGGACGGCTTTATCAGTTTTGTTAGAAGTAGTAACCAATGAAAAGAAAACATTTGCAAAATGATCGTGGTGTGACTGAACAGCCCTATATATGTTAGGGGATGTGTCCAAGACTTCCCAGTAGAATGGTAATCCCTGGTAGTCTTAAAAACGTAAATCAATTAGCAGAGATTCCTAAATTCTAGTCACCGTCTTGATGTATCTGGTAAAGACCAGCTGCTGGCCTTATTCAGCAAAATTGTACATCTTTCTGCAACTCCCTAGGGCATTATGTACTTTGTTTATTTATAAACACTTTTATGCATACTTATTCATTAACTGGCTATGGATTTCAATTTCAATAGAATTGACTTCCTTCCCACAGATCTTAATCTCAGAGCCCGATTCATATTTGGCAGGAGCTTCATTTTAAAATGTTTTCATTAGCTAGCTTTCTTATCCGGTACAAATTTTGCAATCAATTTTAAACTAACTTCCAGATGAGCTAGAGACTTGAAACTTGAAACATAGCTCACAAGTAGATTATGTGGACATTTTCTCCACATATTTATAAATTACGAGGTGTTAGCCCGTCCTACGTACGGGAATTCAGTAGTCAGTTAAAACCGTGTACAATTCAGATCAGCTAGTTTACACATATAAAGACAAAGTTTCTTGCAGTTTTAATGTGAACAATCATCTTGTAAACAAATGTTGTGTGACCAAATATGTTTTATTCCATCATAGGCCTATACGATATGCATTTTAAATCCGATAATTTTACAACTAAACAGCAATTCTGCAATTTTTACTATGTGAAAAGCGTTGAAGTGAGATTTGCAGCCGATTCGCACAGACGCACACTGATTATAAGTAGTCTACAGTAGAGAGAGTAATAGTCAATTGAGAAGTGTATAGACCTAGTCAACGATACCACCTTCCATAGCATACCTGCCTCTTCCAAAATTATTATCACCACAATACAACTACTATACACAATTTCCAGTAGGTCTGAATAGAAACGACCTAAAATAAAACGATAATATCCAATAAAATTCACAGTACACATAATTTTTTGGCTGCACTTTACTTTAGGTCCTACACCCATTCAATTGAAAATATCGATCGATATATTGATTAGTCGATTGTTTCATTCGAATGAGTGTAGGACCTAAAGTAAAGTGCAGCCGATTTTTTTAACTTTGGTGTCCTAACATCAAAACTAATCGCCACACCTATCCTTTATATCAATTTCACTGCATTAATTGCTAAATAAATAAGTTTAAACAAAGAAAAGTAAAAACAATAACAGTTTGTTTTGAAACAGCTGTTTGGTTCAAATAACATTCATTTGAAAAAAAAAAAACTGGTCCCATTTAGCAGGAATATAAAAAGTAAACACGCTAGTAAAGCTAATGACGTAATTGTCAATGTTTATTATCCATACCGTTAATAATCGTAATTTCCCATATTAGTTAATTTAAACTACAATATATTCATAGTCGAAATAAAAGTGATATTTTCACGTTTGGGGGCGCTGATATAGGCACCACCAAACGTAACCACAACTGAACACGATTTCATAAAAGGATGGTTTGTCTAATTGCAGTATCCTAGGTCTATGTCATCCATCTGTTTATCTTTGTATAAAACCGGGCTGAGGTTGTGGTGGTAATTTAAAATCGTGATTCCTGATTATTCTTGATCTTCTTTTTATGACATCAATATTTCCGGGCCTAATCCAAACAAAGTTAAAGCAGACACACATTAATTGTAAAGAAAAAGCTACCATGAAGAATTAAAACATGTAAACATTGTTATTTTTCTATTCTTTCCTTGAAGAGTGGAGCAGTAAAATAATTTGCATTTATCCTTTTTCATTAATTATACCAAAAGCTAGTTTAGAATCTTAGCGTCAGCTGCTAGACTTTTTAAAAAATAAAACTTAATTTCTAAAAAACTGGGACCCTAAACTAAAATTATGGCTTCGACATTCCCTAGTTCTCAAAATTATCTTTCTTTCAACACAAAAATCATGAAAATCCGTCGAGTGGTTGATTCAGAATCGTGAAATAAAAAAACACTGTTTCGTTTTAATATTATAGATTTTCTACTTTTTAGTGCGTTTAAAAACATGGCATTTTTTTTAAAGTATTTTTATTTATAATTATTTCCCTCACTTTGTTATTAGCAATAGCAACTATGACACTAAGAACTAATTGTTGCATAGGGGTTGGGATAATAGTATTGGATCGGGTAAAAAGGATGCTGGTGTAGGATTTAAAAAAATAGATTACATGGACTCACGTGGAGCTGTTGGAGACATCAATTTACAGACAAACTGTGTATTAAGTGTCTACGTACTCTTGGTACATAAAAAAATAAATTTAATATTGAGCATACTATTACAATGTTCTGTTGCTGATACCCTCATTTTAACTGATCCGGTTGAAGTGTATTAAGTTACAAAGTTAGTAATTTATTTCTAGTAACAGTAAATATTTTGATGAAATGTTTGGTGTTTTAGTCACCATACGAGGTATCCGTGGCAGAGGACACGCCTGCAGGCACCACGGTGTTCTCTGGTGTTATTGTGGAGGACGCAGATCTCTCAGGAGACACTCTGGAGGTTCTGTGTGTGGAACATCCTCAGGTAAACAAAACAAAACAACTGTACATTTCACTCAACTGTAACCCCAAGGCATAATATCTTCACTGAGACAGCAGTTTTTACTTGTGCTTAATTCTCAATCTCAAACCATGCACAATGACTGCTGCTTTTCTTTTTCGCCTGAAGAATTGGCTGGTCGGTCAGCATTAAAATGTGAGGCAGGGCTGCACAGGCTTCCTGTTCCTGCCTACGATTTAGTTCTGTTTAAGTATAGAAGCACATTTGTGTTATTTATTTCTAACTAGCAGAGTACCCGTCCTTAGTACGGGATTGGCATATAAATATAAATGCTTATTGCAGTTATACTCAACCTTTTCGTTTGCAATGGGGAGAGTCACAGTTTGATCAAATTTGCTTCTTAATTTTTTTTTATATAATAGTATTACACATCTACCATAGCCATAATGTTCTGCTACTTCACCTAAACAATAGAGAAAAATAAATTATTAAATTCGCAAAATATCTCAAGTTATTCATGAAATTAAAAACATAAGCATAACTGTAAACAATTTTTTGTTACATCTTAGTACAAATTTAAATTAGCTGTTTTCATAAATAAAAAAAATAGTGCTGAGCCCTTTTGGTAAATTTTATAACGTTTGATGCTTTTGAATACCATAGAACCAACTTTTTAGTTGAAACAGCTGACAAAATTCTTTAATTCCCTTTAAATATGAATACTCATAAGGTTAACATGGGGAACTGCAGAGCCACTGGGGCGGAGCCCGGATGATTTTTGAGATAAGAATATGCCTATATGTTAATCTGGAATGTGAGCTATCATCATGCCAAATTTCAGCTCAATCCGACCAGTATTTTTCGCGTTTACTTGTCACAAACATACATATACATACATCTAAACTTTCTCATCTATATAAATAAAATTACAGTTTTGTCTGTACATTGCTTAGAATCATGCAGTTTTTGGTTATTTTTACGTTTCATAGCCTAAGAAATCCGAAACGAGTCTTATCTCAATTTCTGTCTGTATGTCTGTCTGTCCATTCTGTGACTCAGTCTGTAACGCCAAAATGTCATTTTACGCGGCCTACTCCTAGAAAACTAGAGTACCGATCAAGGTTCTAATCATTTTTCTGTATTTACTGAATTGGTGAGAGTGTCTCTGGCTATTAAAACATGGCCTCGCTTCTTTGAAAATAAAATAACAAACCACCAAAAACCCAATTTTGTTCGATTTTTGTCAAATTTTCTCCCTATTACATTTTATGAAATAACGATCAGCTGTTAGTTCTCACTTCTAGCTGTCACTGATATGTTTACATTCAAAGTTGTTTACAAATACCACAACCATTTCCGATCAAGTGTAGTCAGCACATCCAAACCAAGTGAGATATAAAACGTTGTGCCTAACTTAACCGGTTTAATTAATCGCAAGTGCAACGATTGTTCTTGAGTTTTGATAACCGGGGAAAATACCGTGAATCAGTGTTGTATTAGTGCAAGGAAACTTACATTTTTTAAATCATCGTCACCAATACCGTAGCTTACAAAGGTTTCCACTCATTGGCGGCGCTTCAAGGACAGTTGTGTTAAGTGTTAAGTGCAAAAAGTAAAAAATCACAACTGCAGTGGGTGATCGTGGATGTTGCTGCGATCTTTGAAGATCTTTCTGATTTCGCTGTGATCGTACCGTAACAGAGGTTTAACTTAACAGATGTAGCTAAACTTGCTTATCCAATGTGTCACTTTTGGTTTCTACTTACTTACATTTCGACAACGATATCGGTACTTTTCCTACTTAGGAAATAAAACTACACACGTACAAAACCCCAGATTTGTGCGTTTTTTGTCACATTTCCTTCTAATGTTTGCTAGATATATGTACCGATTATCGTTTAGAGATTACGTAATCTTTTAAATAAGAAACCTTTGTTTGGATAAAGGTGGTTTCTTCAAACTGTCATTAATATGTTTTCTCAAATGTAAACGTTGGTTTTTGATACTGCTATTTTGCTTTAGAACCGGTGGTAGCAGTAAGAATCATTTTTACATACAAACACATCACTATTTTCAATATTTATTTTTAAACACTGCACCTTATTGCTTATTAAATTTAATTGATGTCTTACTGTATAATTTTTAGCGTTTTCTGTCTGGACTCCAAAATGTTGTGTGGGCTCAATTTGTGACGCAAAATTCTAGGGAGGGAATAAACTAGTATTCACCAAGTCAGGCTAGGCCTACCCCTAGAACCGGCCACACTCAAATTTCTTCCCCGGAGTGCTCAGAAGGAGCCGAGAAAAATCCAGGGGTCGATACGAAGTTGTCACGGCTTTGACTGATCAATTTATTTAAAATTTAATCGAAGGCTCAGAGCTCTAGAAGCGCTCAGGAAATCCTGCAGACGCCCAGTTGGAGCTATATCATCCCAGCCTTCGTAAAAGTGCTTTGGAGAATTTTGCCTAACTTTTAGAATGACTCTGTAGGGCCGACGAGTATTCAATCTTAAGCCAATGTGATTTAAATACTCGTAATGAACTTTAAACTAATTAGTTGAAGACGTTGGTAATTGATCTAATATCGAATAAAAGGCAAAACAATTCCTACAGAGTCTTCGGGGCCTAATTAATATAATTGGACGGAGAATTTATCGTGATGTTGTTTAAAATAGATTTAATATTAATATTCGTAGCTGTTTGATTGTTCAAATCAGCTGCTCCCAAGACTTGATTCTTTCACCCGCCAAAGACGGGGTTTAGAACATAGACGACAAGTCTCGGGGTATTAAAACGGTGAAAACGAGATATAATTTTAGACGTGATAATTATTTGTTAAGCGAACGGAGAAATCGTAATTTCGAAACTAATTAATGGTAATTAAATAAACGATAGCCACCGCTAGTCACTGGCAGGCAGGAACTGGCGGGTCAAGACTCAAGTTAAGATATTAAATTTAGATAATTCGAAACGGAATATTAAGAAAACGAAAAGGTATAATAAGTTAAGTATGCGTAAGGTAAAACAGAAACAACGTAAAACGTAAAAAAGGGGCCTAACTAATATAGTAGCTAACCTTCGTAATAATATCGTACAGTCGTCAGAGCTTCTCGTGAACAAGTCGACGGTTGAACAGCGAATAATTCTTGTCCGGCTCAAATCCCGATTTCCTCGGCCGCGGCTCAAGCGCTGCGGTGGCGATTTCGGAAACTAGCCAACAGCTGATCGGGGATTCGCCTGTTGAGCCGGTCTAGTTGTCGTCTGTCGTTGGTCAACAAACACCATTTCGAGGTTAAGTGATGTTGTCATCGGCGTTAAATATTCGTAAAATCGGTCGTTTTAACTTTCTTATGTGAAACGGAGTGCTATTATGAATAAATATATCGTTGTGGGTGTGTTTGTGTACTTCACTGTTATTAAAAGTAGGCCTACGTTCTTTGGCCCATAGCCCAAGCTATGGCCAACACATAGGCCTAGGAGTAGGATGTTGTGGATAAAAATCCGGTAAGTTATGGTGTTTGTTGACTAACAATACGTTTTTTTACCCCCCTTAAAATTTGGTACCTCACAAATTCTGTATTTGTGTGTGTATGTCTATTGGTAACGCATTAATATCCTTCCTTATTTTTCGTGGAAAAGACAAGAGCACCATTGTTAATAAAAATTTCAACCCGAATAAAGTGTGCAGTAGTGAGGTTGAGGTAGTGTTATAACTACTTTTAACCAGTGTGAAAAGTAACTTTCAATTACAGGCCTACCTTAGGGCTATGCCTCATAGATCTATACTGTAAAGCAATTCCTTTTATCGTTAGATATAAAATATGGACTAACACGGTCGGGTGACATTTAATTGCGAAGCATTCGTTTTGGCTTTGAAACTGTCAGATATTGTATTTGAGAAGGTTTATATGAATTCCTAAACAATTATAGTTTTGCCATCATATCTGGAAAAATGCACACTAAATATGCAAACCAACTCCTGTTCTGAATATAAGGTTTTAACTTACTACAAGATTCCCGTACGTAGAACGGGCAAACAACTAGTTTATAATATTCGTAGGATCATTTAAGGTTGTTGTTATGTACTTGGTGACACTGGTACAATATATCTTGGTATTCAGCTTTTTATCTTAAATTTGCTATATTGACCAGCTATGAAAGATAGTCCTTTCTGCTTATTACGATACTTTAAGATTTAGAATGACCTAATCCAGTTACCAGGCTATATGAAATCACTTTCCCTCCTATCTCCAGCAATTACCTCACTATACACCTCACCTGCTGGGAAGAGTGTAATGATCAGGTAATACATTGATGTTATTGTTTAAAATAAGGAGTCTATATTATGAAATCTTTTGTAAAGTTTATCTGTTTCCCGTACTGTTAGTTGCCGAATAAGGATTAACAATCTTTCAGTTTGCAACTCTTTAAATCCAAAGCTTTTATTTAAGAATCTTATATGAAAAAATTATCAGTAGGCTGCATTAACTTTAGAAGTGGCGAGTCAACAAAAAATGTTGATTTCAATATGTGTTGCTGGAGTGGCGGGCGACAAAATTTGTTGATTATCGTAACGTTTTTTTCCGTTGCATGTTACGCAAAGTTATAGTCGGTGAAATTACATAACTCTTATACCAATGTAAAGATGAGATTCTGAAGTTTCATTTTATTATAAGGATGAACCTTATAACATAAGTATATCGATCTTATAATGAGTTACATTTGAATTAAAAAACCGCTCTAACTCGCAAACGCTATGTTTCGTTGCCCAATCGTAAAAGATGAGTCATTTCAAAAAATCAAAGCAGACGTAATTTAACTTTCGTTTCTAACAAAAACAAGTAGTACCACTGCAACAAGCATGAAGTAAACTTTCATTCTGTATAAAGTGTAGTGTCATAATACATTCCAACAGCTGATGAACAATTTTTTTAAATAGCCAATTTTTACGTATTGCTCATGTTGTGCATCGACAAAAATTGTCGATTTCTAAATCGCATATGTATATAATGTGAAAAGTACAAATATGTTGTCTATATATATGCTCTTATAGAAGAAGGACAGTAGAATTCAATGTTGTCAGGCTGGTCGGATTTTTCAAAGCTGAAAGAACAGGACACTTGTTATCGTCTAACCTAAAATGTCGGCATTGATGTGAGTTTTGTCCGATATAAGACAAAGTGTTGGTTTATTCGTAATTTTACAGTGTAATGTGCGTTTTAGTTTAGTGTTTTGTATTAGGTGTAATAATTATGAATATTTTGCATAAATATGTATAGCCTACATAATATGTAATCCAAAATATGATAAACAGTCAGTGAAGTTTTGTGGCCTATAACAGCTGATCGATCATTTGTTTTGTTTACATTATTATTATAGCTTATGTGAAAACAAAATATTCTATTACTTATCTTATTTAGTTATTCGTATATAGAACTATCTGGCCCGACAGACGTCGTCCTGTCCTAATGTGGTTTTATGTCAAATGCTCGTTCGCATGGTTCAATCACGTCCTGATTAAGTTCGTTCGCTACGCTCACTCACCTTTAGGTTGGAGCTCGTTCGCTGCGCTTACTTGCCTTCCGTTACATTTGACAACAAATATTCGTAAAAAACAAATGGAATAGAAACCTATTTGATAGCTCTCATTTGTTATGCATAGATTTGTTTTAAAAAATTAGGTTATCATTACAACAGCTGTTTCCTTAATTTAATTTAATCAAGAAATGACAAACATGGCATGGTAAACAAAATAAAACATTCTTCCATAAGATTAACATGTAAACTGCAAAGGGTCATAGGACGCTTCCCTTAAGGGTTTTTGAAGCGGAAACAGGCTATTATGTTATTCTAGTACCTAAGGAATATCCCTGTAAATTTTCGTGCCAATTGGTTCAGTAGTTTTCTAGTTATAAACGCTGTAACTAACACAACTTTCTTTTATATATTAAGTTTGTATTATTGGCCTAAAAAAATGTTTGGTTTTATGATATTGATTTATTATTAGAGGGCATTTTTGGATCTATCAAAGTGTAGTTGTAGAAATTTACGTTTTCAGATTTTTCCGTATTATTGCTAGTAAATCAACAAAAATTATTCTTTTGTGTATATTATGATATATCTATGTAGAGAAATAAATTCAGTAAAATTTGCATATTTTGAATTTTGCAATAAAAATTTATGTTACATGTGACAAGTTTTTGCTTTTGAAATAAAATTTAAAATTATATACGCTGTATATATATTTTTTTTCTTTCTAAAAATCCACCTTTTTTAAATTGGTTTGTATTAATGAGTTCTAGTTAGTCATTTTTGAATTCTACTGACTATTACGAACAAAATGAATATACGGTTCAATAGTTTATCTCTACTTACTAATGTTAAACAGATTTTTGAAAAACCCCTTTACAAATTCACGAAAATAAGCGTGCTACTCCACAAAGCACATACTGAAAATTAGTCTAGCCACTAGGGTTAAGTTTTAATGCAATTTTTTGTTTTGTTTTGATTGTTTTAGTTTTGTTATTTTAATTTTTTCAGTTCCCAAAGACTTGTTCTAAGTTTTCAATAGAGAGCTGGAACTCGAGTCAGTTCAGTTACCATGGAGGTGTGGTGCTACAAGACACCTTGGACTACAATGAGAGACAATTCTATCAGTTGCTTCTTGTGGCCACGGTAAGTAAAGCTAAACATTTAATGGTTGTTTTAATCAGGGAAGTTTTTAGGGGTGGGCGAGTAGTGATTTTTCAATTCGAGTCGAGTCGAGTCGAGTATTTGAGTAAAAACTCGAGTATCGAGTCGAGTCGAGTAGTTGCGCGTTAAGTAGGCCTAGGCCCAGGGTTTATGCTGCGGTAGTATTTTTAGCATCTTGCTATTCACAACTTAAAAATGCTAAGTTTACATTGTTTTGCAGGCTAGGCCTATGGCAAATTTTCTACAAATAAAATTGAAAGATGTAATGTTCAAACAAATGTAATATTAGCCTACTGGAGTTTTTTGTTTTAAATGCTTAAGTTATTGAATAATATTTTTTCTACAGTTAGGCCTAACTTAGTTTTTGTCTTTGCAGAGAGTTTGCAGCATTTTGCTGAAAAAATTTCATCCTAGCCTAAACCCTGTCTAGGCCTAAATAGGTAGTTTAAGTACTTATACCAAATTTTCTAAGTTATATGGTTACTAATTATTAGTACCTCCTACCTTAGGCCTAAAGAAAATATGGCCTAGACTACTTGATGGCTGCAGCATTAAATTATTTAGGCCTACAGATCACTTGTTATTGTGTTTTATTTTTTCTTGCCTTTAATTCCTCCTCACTAACATGATAATCAACCTAACTAACTAACTTAATAAGGTACCTAACTTTAAGAATAATTTCAATTCAAATAAGAAACAGAATTTATAAAAATAAATTTATTTATTTAACAGAAAACTTATATCAAACTACATATTGTATCACAAGTTAAAAACATCAATGAGGTATTTTAAAATAGGTAATCACTTGGATAAGCACTTCATCTGTCTGAAGTTTGAAGGTTATGGGTACTAGGGCTAGCCTCTTCACTCAGTACATACATAAAAATGATCAAGTCACTCGTCTCTGACAGACTGAAAATATCAAATAAAAACATAGTAGGCCTATTATCTCGAAATAAAATCCCACATTAAACACTTAATTTAAAATTAAAACACATTTCACTGTAGCCTGGTATAGCCTATTTGGCCTTTCTTTATAAACTCACATTTTCTAGGTTAAGTTACAATTCAAACTGTAGTTGTCATGTTTCTGCCACCAGATTGAAAATTGCACAATCAAAATCACAAACAGAATATGTTTATTTTACTTTCTATTAAACTTTCACTAACAAAATCAATTTTATTTTAAGTTACAAATTCACTTCAAAGTAAAAACATTCAAAACTGACGTTGACATAACTTCACTCCAATCCATTGTTTTGTTTTGTTCTTGTTGTTGCTATGCGTCACCATCTTTATCTCTCTCTCTCTCTCTCTCTCTCTCTCTCTCTCTCTCTCTCTCTCTCTCTAGTCGGTCTGCTCCTGCTGTCTGCTTCTGCTTTGTTTTTCCATCAAACAGCTGTTTTGCAGGGCTGACGTTGCCATATTTATCATTACACCATTATGGTGAATGTCGGAAAAATTATAATAAAATTGTTATAGCTTTTATTTCGTAAAAAAAGTTAATAGTTTGACTAATTTAAATCATGTTTATGTAAACTCATTAGAAAATTATACTTATAGTTTGTTTACGCCAATACCACAGTTGTAAAAGTACAAAAATTATCGTCCATCTGGCAACACTGAGTTTAAAGTGGAACTGATCTTTTCTTTCTACCATTTGCCTAGACCCAATGAGATTGCGTTAACTTATCGGTTTGTAAAACTAAACACCAATACCGATTAATTTGAAAAAATATTATGCTAAAATAGGTTATTGTTATTTATTGTATTTCTATATTTTGGTATAAAATATTTTGTTATTTCTATATTTTGGTAGACAAAATTTTTATGGCAGTTCAAACTAAATCTGATACTGTACTTTATAATATCTTCAAGAATCGTCTGCCATTGTTAGGCCTACTAGTCACGAGACTCCCTTGTTGACTATCGACTATTGCAATTCGATAGATTCATTCAATGCTTTATTTCAACTTACTGTATCGTTATCGAGACGTATTGTTGACTGTTGTAGGAAAGTGAAAGTCTGTTGTTAGTAGTAGTAGTCCTCTTGCTAGCTCTGCCGAATAACGATGGGTGTTTGTTGAACATTTGGTTTACGCTGGTCTAACCTATATGAGGTTAGATAGTTGTTTTTTGTAGGAATGGGGATTAAATAAGGCATCAACACAAAACAAAATATAATTTATTAAATATGGATGTAGAAAATCGTGAATTGGCACTATTTATAACTACTCGACTCAAAATTTTCGAGTAGTAATTACTACTCGACTCGAGGTCGAGTATTTGAAAAAACTCGAGTAATTACTCGAAGGTCGAGTACTCGCCCACCCCTAGAAGTTTTATTAACATTTCCTTCCCGACAGAAAAACACCGCCCACCACCTCTTGAGCGAACACCATTACCGCAACGATACGTTGCAGAGCCAGCGGTCTCGGTGGTGTAGTGGATAGCACACCGGGCTGATGATCTGAAGGTAGCCAGTTCGAAACCCATCAAGAGGCACTAACTTTTTCATTCTTTTTTTTTTATTATCAGCAAGTTTGGTTATGTTATGACAGTTTAATTTTATAATAAAAAAATTAAATAATTGAATTTGAGGCATTTATAATTTTATTTTATGAACAGAATTATTTTTTTGATTACCAGTAGTAAACCTTCATTTGATTTTTTCATCATCAGCAAGTTTGGATAGGTTATGACAGTTAAAATAAATTAAATTTAAATTTAAACTACAAATGATATGTTTTGACAGCGAAGTGAAGAGATAATAATTTGCCGCGAACAGTTCAGCTATGCACGGTATGATGCATTCGGCACGGCGCGGTGTTGGGCGGTGTTTTTCTGTCGGGAAAGTCTTGTGTTTTATTATACAAAGAAATTCTGTCGTCAATATGATTTGTAAAATAATTAAATTTCCCAATCATGTGTTCATGCCAAAGACATTTTTAGTTTTAGATAAAAGTCATGGCTGCTGTAGATAGATACCATAATTGTATTGACTTTTTAAATAGTATCAAGTATTAACTGTATTTTCCAAATTTATTGAAAAAAATACCAGTTAACACGTTCCATGTGACGCCGTGATCATTGCCACAGACCAAGGTATACAATTTAATCTTACACATAGACCACCTGTCACTTGGTTAACAGTACACGCAGACCACGGGCGAAAACCTGTTAAACATTGATCGAAAACCTGTTAAACATTGATCATTTACTTTGTAATACCCTGCAGTCGAGTTTGTAAATAATATATATTTTTATTTTTATTTTTTTTTAATCTTTTGTAATGTTGCATATTTGCAATGCCCAGTATATAGGGAATCAGGGTGTCTAGTAGTCGGGAAAATCGGGAAAGTCGGGAATTAGTATTGAATTTTAAAATGGTCTTGAAAGTCGGGATTTAGTCTTAAATTTGATTTAAAAGTCGGGAATTTTCATGATTTTGCCGCGATCGTCGTCTTGCGTTTACGTAACCGCAAAAGCCAATGATAATGTCTACACAGCCTCGGGAAATGTTCACGATTTTGCCGCGATAGTGGACGACGACGATGACGTTTCCGAAACCACGAAAGACGACGATGACGTTTCCGTGACCGCGGGAGACGACGATGATATCTGCTCGGCCGCGGGAAATGTTCATGATTTTGTCACGATCGCGGACGACGACGATGACGTTTCCGTGACCGCGGGAGACGACGATGATATCTGCTCGGCCAAGGGAAATGTTCATGATTTTGTCACGATCGCGGACGACGACGATGACGTTTCCGTGACCGCGGGAGACGACGTTGATATCTGCTCGGCCGCGGGAAATGTTCATGATTTTGTCACGATTGCGGACGACGATAATGACGTTTCCGTGACCGCGGGAGATGACGATGACGTTTCCGTGACCGCGGGAGACGATGATGATGTCTACACGGCCGCGGGAAATGTTCATGATGTTGCCGTGATCGCGGACGATGACGATAACATTTCCGTGATCGCGGACGATGACGATAACATTTCCGTGACCGTGGGAGATGACGGTAATGTCTAAACAGCCGTGCGAAATGTTCATGATTTTGCCGCGATCGCGGACGACTACGATGACGTTTCCGTGACCGCGGGAGACGACGATGATGTCTACACGGCCGCGGGCAATGTTCATGATTTTGCCGTGATCGCGGACGATGACGATATCATTTCCGTGACCGCGGGAGATGACGGTGTGGTCTAAACAGCCGCGGGAAATGTTCATTATTTTGCCGCGATCGCGGACGAGGCCGCGGGAAATTTTCATGATTTTGTCACGATCGCGGACGACGACGATGACGTATCCGTGACCGCGGGAGATAACGATGACGTTACCGTGACCGCGGGAGATGGCGGTGATGTTTCCGTGACCGCGGGAGACGACGATATCTGCTCGGCTGCGGGAAATGTTCATGATTTTGTCGCGATCATGGTCGGCCGCGGGAAATGTTCATGAGTTTGTCGCGATCATGGTCGGCCGCGGGAAATGTTCATGAGTTTGTCGCGATCGCGGACGACGACGATGACGTTTCCGTGACCGCGGGAGATGACGATGACGTTTCCGTGACCGCGGGAGACGACGATGACGTTTCCGTGACCGCGGGAGACGACGATGACGTTTCCGTGACCGTGGGAGACGACGTTGATGTCTACACGGCCGCGGGAAATGTTCATGATTTTGCCGCTATCGCGGACGATGACGATCACGTTTCTGTAACCTCTGCAGTCAATGATGATGTCTAAACGTACGGTACGTGGAAGATTTCATGATAAAAAAAACAAATTTGCTAGTTATAATTTTTTATTGCTGCATTATTTCTTTACTTGAAAACACCACATTTTCATAATACTACTTTATGACAAAGACAGGGGTTGGTGTAGTATTATTCAGAAAATTTGGTTAAGCTATAAAAATTGGTATCGGTATCAAGAATCGAGAATTGATACATTTTGGTATCAACACGCACTAATTGTTGAAAAAACTAGTCTTGAAAAATCTGGAATTAGTCTTGAAAAGTCTGGAATTAGTCTTGAATTTTATAATGGAAATAAACTAGACACCCTGAGGGAATACAATAGTGAAAATTATTATATTTTTCTTGAAATAGCCCAAACGCTGCATATATGCTTTAACTGTAATATAACTACTATAACTATAATATAACTATAACTGTAACTATAATTAAATTTTATAGTTAATTTTGTATAAAAACAGATTTTTCAAGAACAGTTTATAACTGAACAAATATAAAAGCTACATAGGATAATGCAATATACATACAGCATACATACATTGATGCAGCAAAGTAAAGAACAGTTTTTCCAACTATCATATGACGTCACCAATCATCATATCCACAGACCAAGCGACACAGTTGTGCGACAGGCATCCCTGTAGACCACTCTAGTAGAGAATTCAGTGCCTTCAAATAGACCTTTACAAAGATAAAAGCTTTTCGATAACATTGGAACACCGACACAGATATGCAACGTCAGTCTATTTTAATGTGACTAGCCGTCGCATATATGCGTTGGCAGTCTATGGGTGGAAACCGGCCTTCGCAAACGTGCGTCGCTGGTCCATATGAATGCAAAATTGCGGTAGCGAACGTGTTATACTTGAATGAATATAGGAGAGATGTTCACAGTCATGACACTCGTTATAGATGTAGGGCAAGTATAAACTTGTGTCAGGTTAGATTAGTTAAGACTCCTTTGCCGAAAAAATTTCAAACCTGGCAACAAATTTCAATCGGCATGTGAATAGTTTTTTAACATAAATCTGATCACAGAGCCCACTTAACAAACGGTATTACCGTGCAATTTCAGCACTAGTATTTTAACATTCCATTTCAGACAAAGCACTAGAGATATGCTATTCACGTTACCGTAGATAGATGTATATTGAGTATAAACTCTCTGATACTAAGATTGTGGCAAAACCATCGCCCGAAAGAGAAACCTCTGTTGCAATCTAGACAGCCCTCTTTTTTGCATGATATATTTACTGGCTAATTAGATCTCATTCTCATTCTTAATATTTTTCAGTTTTGTGTTTGAATATCTGTTCTCAAAAATTTGTCACAAGCTATTAGACAATTTTTAGTTTATGTTCTGGCACCGACACAAAGCCTCAATTGATTCTAATATGAGTCTCAATAAAATAAATAAAAACTATCTTAATTGAGTAGTCAGAATCATAAAACTATTAAGACAAATATTTAGTTCCCAGGAAGTAAAAATACTGTATTTGATTTGCTGATGTCAGGATGGAGTACACAACACAACTACAGGGCTGGAAGTGAAGGTGGTAGATGTACAGAACACAGGGCCTGTGTTTCTGGGCTCTCTGACTGGGGTGATACAAGAGGATGACCCCATAGGAACTCTGGTGATGACTGTACAGGCTAGGGACGGGGACCGAGGCCAGCCCAGGAAGATATACTACGAGCTGGTTACCAGTGAGTGATTAACCTTTCTTTTTACTTTGAAATAAGTATTGGCAATTCAAACATTTGTTGTTTATCCACAACAGGTTTCTTGATAGTACATGATTCTCTCCTTTTCTGTCATTGAGGCAACATAATATTACAAATATGGGGCTTTAACATTCACTTTGGAAAGAAATTGCATGTTAAATAAATAAACGATATATGGTTGTATTTAACAACAGTTGCATGTCCTCACGTTTACATTATACATTACATAATTTATGTTTACATAGTGGATCTGTTGTAACATTGTCAGTGACTGTTGCAGATCCCTTAGACTACTTCCTGCTGGACAGTGAGACTGGAGAGTTGAGGACAGCCAAGCCTCTGGACCGTGAAGCTCTACTCAACTCTACAGGTGTAATATCACTGGAGATTAAGGTAGGCAAACTAAAAAATATAGGTTGAGTTGAATATATTTACTAAGTGATATTTACAACTACTAATGTTCAATCAATTGTGGCTGTAGGCCAGAGAGATGGTGGATGGGGTGTTAGGTAATGACCCATTGACCACTACGACCACTGTAGCCTCCGTCACCATCAAGGATGTCAATGATGAGCCTCCGAGGTTCAACCAACGAGAATACAGCGTCAGTCTGCCTGAGAACATTGCAGACGGCACGACTCTGCCCAACCTCAACATGATAGTCACTGACCCTGATGTGGTAAGTGGAGCCTCTGCCAGGCCTAACCTTTTGTAACTCTTCAGATCAAATCAACATAATGTTCTTCATGAAACCATGATTTTGTTATTAAGCAGATTTAATGACTAGCTCAAATTATACTGTTCCAAATTCCATAGTAGGTAAATGCCAAAAGGATTCATATAACCTTTTCTTTACCAAAGATACTTATTGCACATGACATTGTACATTGCAAAGTGCTGGCTTTTTTTGTTTTTTTTTTTAACAATTAGGTTTATGACACAGTTGAATTTTTTTTCATTGTAATGTATTGAGTTTTGTCTTCAGAAAGTTGAGGTTGTACGAGATAAAAGGGTTAGTTACAATGTGTTTGTGTTAACTGGGTTGTGTTTTAAATTAATTTCTTTTACATTTACAGGGCAAGAATGCAGAGTTTTCCCTACGTCTGTCTGATGTTTCAAATTCCTTTGCTGTTGAACCCACCCATGCCAGTGGTTCTACTGCAGTTTCCATACGAGTGGTCAATGGTAATCTGGATTATGAAGACCCTAACAACAGGAAATTTATTGTTTTGGTGAGGATATTAATTTTTGTTTAGTTATTGGCTGCATTTTATACATTATAAAAACACACATTTTAAAGTTAGCAGGGTTGTAAGTAAATTTTTCTCATAGGCCCTACTGCAGCAGCATGGATTTTGATTTTATTAATTTGTGGTTTGTTTAGTATTCGTTAATAATTTATAAGTGGTACCATTTCTATTATAACTCTCATAGAAGTTCTTCTTTTCAGTTCAAGGACCAAAAACTCACCCGGTTTGATATAAAAAAGCTTGTGGTGTAAAAACAAATCAGTTATAAAATATGCAGTTAAAAATGTGAGTTATTATCTATTTGTAGGTGGTTTCTGTTTTGTAGGTGATAGCTGAGGAGACAGAGACAGAGCGAAAGTTGTCTTCCACCGCTACTGTGACTGTGGAGATAACAGACGCGAATGACAACGCGCCACAGCTGCAGGAGGAGGCGTTGGTAGCCTCAGTCAGTGAGACAGCAACACCAGGCACTGCGGTGGCGACCTTCACTGCCTCTGACAGAGACAGCGGAATGTACGGTCAGGACAGCATCGTCTACCAGCTGATAGGCGACGGTGCTGACAAGTAAGTAGGCACAGGGTGTCTAGTAGTCGGGAAAATCGGGAAAGTCGGGAATTAGTATTGAATTTCAAAATGGTCTTGAAAAGTCGGGATTTAGTCTTAAATTTGATTTCAAAGTCGGGAATTTTCATGATTTTGCCGCGATCGTCGTCTTGCGTTTACGTAACCGCGAAAGCCAATGATGATGATGTCTACACGGCCTCGGGAAATGTTCACGATTTTGCCGCGATAGTGGACGACGACGATGACGTTTCCGAAACCACGAGAGACGACGATGACATTTCCGAAACCATGAGAGACGACGATGACGTTTCTGTGACAGCGGGAGACGACGATGACGTTTCTGTGACAGCGGGAGACGACGATGACGTTTCCGTGACCGCAGAAGATGATGACGTTTCCGTGACCGCAGGAGATGACGATGACGTTTCCTTGACCGCGGGAGATGACGTTGATGTTTACCCGGGCGAGGGAAATGTTCTCATGATTTTGCCACAAACTTGGAGGACGACGATGACGTTTCCGTGACCGCGGAGACGACGATGACGTTTCCGTCACCGTGGGAGATGACAATGATGTTTCCGTGACCGCGGGAGATGACGATGATGTCTACACGGCCGCAGGAAATGTTCATGATTTTGCCGTGATCGCGGACAACGACGATAACGTTTCCGTGACCGGGGGAGATGACGGTGATGTCTAAACAGCCGCGGGAAATGTTCATGATTTTGCCGCGATCGCGGACGACGACAATGACGTTTCCGTGACTGCGGGAGATGACGATGACGTTTCCGTGACCGCGGGAGATAACGGTGATGTCTTAAAAGCTGCGGGAAATGTTCATGATTTTGCCGCAATCACGGACGATGACGATGATATTTTTGAGATTGCGGGAGACAACGATGATGTCATTGATGTCTACAAGGCCGCGGGAAATGTTCATGATTTTTCCGTGATCGCGGACGACGACAATCACGTTTCTGTAACCGCTGAAGTCAATGATGATGTCTAAACGTACGGTACGCAGAAGATTTCATGATAAAAAAAAACCAAATTTGCTAGTTAGAATTTTTTATTGCTGCATTATTTCTCTACTTGAAAACACCACATTATCATAATACTACTTTATGACAAAGACAGGGGTTGGTGTAGTATTATTTAGAAAATTTGGTTAAGCTTAAAAATTGGTACGGTATCGGTATCAAGAATCAAGAATCGATACATTTTGGTATCAACACCCACTAATTTTTGAAAAAAACTAGTCTTGAAAAATCTGGAATTAGTCTTGAAAAGTCTGGAATTAGTCTTGACTTTTATAATGGAAATAAACTAGACACCCTGTAGGCAGGAGAAAATAAACTGGGACAACCCTCCAACCCTTTTATAGTGTGTTGGCAAACAAATATTAGATAGTAAAAAGGTTTAAATACCTGCTATTAAGCAATCCACTCAATTGCAATTTCATAATAGCAAATATAAAAAAAAAATATTATTATTTGACAATCCGGAGGCTAACATCTACAATGTCAATAATGATAGTTTTGAAAGCTGTGTAGGGACTGCCTTAAACTTTGTTTTGTAACCTATGACATTATAAAGCAAAGCTTAAAAAAGCTGTATGAACAGCTTTTAAGAGACTATAAGTCTGTACTCTTCAGAACATTTGGTGTTGAATAAAACTATACAAAGCCTAGAAGATTCAAGAACCCTTTATGGTTTTGTAAATAGCAGGCTTTGTGGTCTGAATTCAATCCATATCTTTTGAATTTTTAGTCTCATAAAGTTCCTGTTGGATGCAACCATCCTAACACAGTTTAAAACCTATTAGGTAATAAAAGAATGCTAAGCTAAAATATTTTTTTTATCATAAAAACTTGTTGAAACCAATTTTAACACATAAAGTCTTAAGTCAAATAAAGTTTTATAAATCTTTATAGCTGATACAAAATGTTATTTTAATCAGAAAATTGTGGTAGTGACATGCGTACTAGTTTTGAGCAGTAACACATTCCTTCTAAAAAATAATTAATTCCTGGATTTTTATTTATTGTATGCTAACTGCCCACTAATCTTATTCCCATTGGTGAAAAAATGTAGGAGACAAAAAACATTTTCTGGGTGCCAATGGCCAGAGTATTTAGAAATACATTTGTATACCTTTTTTAATATCTGATAATCAGCATGCTGTACGCTGTATACTAGGTTTGATGTTGACAAGAAGACAGGAACCATTACTGTGGCGGACTGTGACCAGCCAGGTGCCCCGCACTGTCTGGACTTTGAGACCCGTCAGGTCTACTTTCTATCTTTCAAGGTGACTTTTCATTTTGTTCATCTGATTAATTATTATACAGTACTACTACTACAAAGCTCCAAACGCTGCATATATGCTTTAACTGTAATATAACTACTATAACTATAACTATAATATAACTATAACTATAACTATAATAATATAAAGTCCTCCAAAATGGTGTGCGTATTTTTGTACTTTTAGTATTGGTATGTAGTAGCTTTTTAACAGACAATTGCAATCATTAATTGTGTGTTTGTTGTGACTCAAGCTGGTAGCCTGGTATTATAAGAAATAAACATCTGTCTACCATTATTTGAAATGACATATTAATAATTAAATCATATGTTATTCAGGTGAAATGATTCCTTCATTTTCCAGTGAGTCTAATTCGTTGTTCACTTGGTCGATTAAAGCATGTGGGACATTTCGTTCCTTAATAAAAATAGGTTTTTCACCATTTCAAAGCTGTAATGACACTTTGAAGTCTGGAACGCATCCAATTTTCTCCTCAAAAATTTCTTCAGGAGACTGGATTCCTTTGAGAAATTCGGGTGCTTTGATTTGTGTCGTTATTCAATTCGTTCAGTTCGATTCCTAGTGCTCGTATATATTGACGTCCAAAGAGTGTTTCATGTCCTGTTGGGACAATGTGGAGTTCTTCTTTGACGTATCTTCCACAGTAAGAAACATTTATTTTCACTTTTCCTTCAGGTTTGATATTACCTGAGTAAGTTCTGAAAGCAATGTTAGTTGTTTCCAATGGAATTTCCAATTTGAATTTGTCGAAATCATTTTTAGCTAGAAGTGTGAATTTTGCTCCTGTGTCTACTTCGAATCGTTGTGGTTTACCATTGAGATTTACCATGATCATGTATTTGTCTGAGTCATTATTTACTTCTAGTATATTCGGGTTTGAGTTGACATTAGTTACTTTATTGAGTCCGTAATCAGGAAATGTCAATGTAGAATCTATAGGAGAACAGCACTAGATGCAGTTGGCTGCACTTTGCGAATTGATTTTCTTCTGTTCTGCTATAAGGGTCGAAATGCACACTTTAGATTTGTGTCCTTGCTTCTTAAATTTGTTGCACTTGAATTTAGATTTGTCGATGCGGCACTCGGATGCTTGGTGATTAACTTTTCCATACCTGATGCAAAGATTACCAATTCTAAGAGATTTCAGATCTGGACTTGTTCGAAAGCGTGAGGTATGACACTGTTGCTGTTTGGAAGTTAGATCACTAGTTTGGAATTGAGATTGCTTAGCTTTATGTAAAACTTTACTCACATCATCACACATATGGACATTTGCATTACTTGGTCTCTCAGTCTGTTGATCATTCTTTTTTAAGACAGTTTCTAGTACTTTTTTAATAAATTTGTTCTGGTTTTCTTGCTGTTGTCTTTGTTGTTCTTGAAAGAGAGTAAGGAATTGAACTGATCTCCATTTATGTTGAATTTGAATACAAAACAATTTGAGCACAACTTCAGAAAATTTGAGTTACATGTAATATTTCTGTTTTGTCTGTTATTATAAGTACTGTTAAATACACACACTGGATGAAATGTAAACTATTTTTATTCAATAACCAAACAGTGAACTGCCTTGTATAATAATTTGTAATGAACAACTAACTAGAAGAATTGAAAAGTGTAAACATCAACAATAGGGTGGGTCGAAAAAAATCAATATTTTTTTCGAGTTGTAATACCTAGGAAAAGTTGCTAAATTTGAAATTGTAAGAACAAATGAGGGTAAAAATATTAATAATATTAGTATTTATCTTCCGGCTGCGCATGTGCTCTAAAGTTTGAACAAAAAATAAAAAAAAACTAATTTTTTTGCAGAAATTTTTACAATTTTTAAATTTGCGATTTTAAATATGTAATAGTTTAAAATGTTATCCACAAGACGCTAAGAATTTGATATTTAAATAATAGTATTGTATGTTAATATCGTCTGGTCGCGCATCGGCTGCAAGTATTGGCAAAAATCAAGAAAAACATCATTTTGTACTAGTCTTATTTAAAATATAATAATGGATATCAAAATGTAATACCGAAAATCTGTTTGTACACATTCAGATAGTAACCCAACAAAAACAATAGACAAAGTCAGAATTGATCTACCGGTCGCGCATAGCAATACAAATTCACTTAAGCGCGGCACTTTTGGGTCAGTTACCCGGGCGACGCAATGTGATTCCGAAGTTCAAGATTCCGAAATTGAACAACAGGATGGTGATGATAATGTATCTCTGTGCTCAAAAACTAAAATTTGCAATTTTAGTGACAGCAACCAAGAATCTTTACCTAAACTTTCAAAAAAGAAGACAAAAGATGGTAGGCAAATGAGGATCAACTCTACTGCATTGGTTAGCGATCGTTATGGTGTTTTCAATCGTGCTACAACTGCAATAGCCTCTAGTGGAATACGAAAAACATAAACTACATTTGTTACAGTTATATGAGAACTCTTCTCTTGGTATTCAAAGTTTTTACTTAGATCCTTACAAAACTTTACATGGATAATGTTTACAAAAAAGACTGCACCTCTCTGCGATGATACTAAGAATAAACATTATGTTAGTGTATTAATTCAAATAACAATTTCCTGTCAAATACGTATTTTATATAAAAAAATTTCAGTTCAAATAATACTATACAAAGTACAATCTTCTAAATACAATCTTTGATAGCTAGAAAATAAAATGACTATCTGTGCCCAAATTGATTAAATGATGTATCAGACAAAGCCAAATGTAAATCACGTGACATAAATAAACACCTATATAATTATTAGGCGTTATGTAAAGATTATAAACCCCCAAAATGATAGTTAGCTATGGCTTAAAGGAAATAGTCTAAGTAATAAGTCTAGAGGGACAAAAGTGTGAAAATGCTTTATCCAGGTGTAAAATGATTCAAACCCATGAGCATTTAAAAATAAGTAAACAAATTATAATAACTAATAAACTATACAATAATATAAATATACAACACAACAATTCAAGTTAACATTAACATTGGTTATTAAACCTGGGTAGAATATTTCAAGCTCAGAGTCGATTATTTAATATTAGTTGGTCCGTGTAACAGATACTTAACTTTGCTCGAAATGTAATGGCTCGCCATCGCCTTATTTAATAATTATCTTACTTGCAAATTGTTAGAATAAGTGACTATGCCAACTTCGTGCAAAACCCTGTAGGCTATCACAATTGGAATCACCATAATGTACAGTAAACAAAACGGTAGAGTTAAAGTCCATCCACATTTGCCTACCATAGTTCTCTTAATTTTGGAAGTTTAGGTAAATATTCTTGTTTGCTGTCACTAGAATCCTAAATTTTAGTTTGTGAGCACAGGGATACATTATCATCACCATCCTGTTGTTCAATTTCGGAATCTTAAACTTCGGAATAATATTACGTCGCTCGGGTCACTGACCCAAAAGTGCCGCGCTAAAGTGAATTTGTATTGCTATGCGTGACCGGCAGATCAATTCTAACTTTATCTATTGTTTTTGTTGGGTTACTATCTGAGTGTGTATAAACAGATTTTCGGTATTACATTTTGATATCGATTAGCCTATTATATTTTAAATAAGACTTATTTCTGAAAAATATGAGTTTTAATTTTTTGTTCAAACTTTAGAGCACATTCACAACCAGAAGATAACTAATATTTTTTTTATATTTTTACCCTGTTTTGGTCTTACAATTTAGCAACTTTTCCAAAGGATTACAACTCGAAAAAACATCTGTCTACCATTATTTGAAATGACATATTAATTAAATCATATGTTATTAAGACAGATTCAGGGATATAACCGTGTTCAATGGTATTAATGTTAACCTTTGGTAAGTTAACTATTTTACAATAATTGAACATTTGAAACTGCAACAATAATAATAATTAATTTATATTTATACTTTTACTAGCAGAGTACCCGTCCTTCGTACGGGGTTGGCATATAAGTATAAAATGTTTATTGCAGTTATGCTCATAAGCATTCTGTTTGCAATGGGTAAGGACACAGTTTGATAACATTTGCTTCTCTAAATTTAAGGTATATGTATTACACATCTACCATTGCCATAATGTTCTACCACTAATAATAAATTATTAAAAATTCGCAAAATATCACGAATTATTAATGAAATTGAAAACATAAACAAACTGTAATCAATTCTTCTTTGACAGTTCTCATTTCGTATCACAGTTTTTTGTTTCTGCTTAGTTCAAATTATATTAGCTGTTTTCATAAATGCAAAAAAAATGGTGCTGCACCCTGTTGGTAAATCTTGTAATTTTTTAATGCTTTTGCATATCATTGAACAAACCTTTTTATTTGAAACAGCTGACTAAATTCTTTTATTCCCTTTAAATATGAATACTCATAAGGTTAACATGGGGAACTACAGAGCCATTGGGGCGGAGCCCGAAAGGAGTTTTGAGATAAGAATATGCCTATATGTTAATTGGGAATGTAAGCTATCATTATGCCAAATTTCAGCCCAATCCGTCCAGTAGTTAATGCGTGATTGAACTTCAAACAAACAAACACACAAACTTTCACATTTATAATATTAGTAAGATAAATTGTAGGGACCTTTGATTGATTTGGAAATAAATTTAATAAATTCATCATACACTTTTCCATCCTCAACCATTTAGGATAGCTTTGTTTAATCAGAATATGTTATTGGACAAAATGTTGCTGTATTTTGTTTTGTTATAGCATTTTAAAACATGAACTCCTTAAATACATCTGTTACCAGAAATTTACACTGCCTAATGTATTTTGTTTGGCTCCTAAAATCTTTGTGCACATTTATTTTTGTTTCATTTATCTTTAGAAATCAACATATTTACTAAGCTGTTGTTAGTTAATGTTATATGCTTGTTTATAGGCCACGGACGCCGAAGGCCAGGGTCAGAGCACTGTAGTCCCGCTCAAGATCTCCCTGTTGGACAGCAATGACAACCCTCCTGCGTTTACCAGTGACGTTTATCGAGCAGTTATTGACGAAGGAGCTACAAAGTTTGAACCCCCGCTTCAGGTTCAGGTACCATATAAAACTTTCTTAATATAGAAAATAGATTAGGCAAATATAGAAAATAAAACATCACCTATTATGAGAACTCAGTTCCTACACTAATTGCTTTTTGTTGACCAGTGTTGTTTAAGTGCCAAGAGACAGTTTGAGGGGTTGAGTTCTGTCCTGGTCAGGTCTGGTGTGCAACTCTTGACAAGATTACCTGGTCTGTGGCAGAGCTTGGTGAGAGGGCTCTGAACACCTATGATGGAAGTTAACAGGATGGTTGGATTCATTGTCAGCTGCACTTCAAATTAAGCACAGCATGTTGCAACGTATTAACTATCCATACTACGTGTGTGTCCACTAAAAATTTTAACAAAATTTGGATTTTGTGCACATAAGATCAGGAAAACATGATAACAATTGACAAAGTTAAATCACAAAATAATTCATGGGTGTAAAATATTTTTGTATTTGGTTTTAGTTGTGCTAGCAGGTGTGTCTGAGTAGTGTGAATGTTATAGGCCAGAGATGCAGACAAGACGTCACAGGTGATGTACTCTATAGTGGATGGCAATGAACATGGACTGTTTGTGATAGACAAACACTCTGGAGAGATAACTGTGGCCAACCCTCGTGGCCTGGACATGTCTCAAGTCAACACTGACTATATCAACCTCATCATTCAGGTATATAACCACTTCAGCAATATAAACCTCAGGCTATCAAGCAATAATAAAACACTTGTGTATAGCAGGAGGGCATGATTGACTTGGGAATGCAAACTGCCAAGGTAAATCCAGTCTGTGTGATAGAAATCTTGGAGGTTTTTTATGTGGTAAAGTTTTAGCTAAGCAGACGCCCTAAAATATATTTTTTCAAATACAATAATTTCAGCTACCTCATTAGTAATTGACTTATGGTACTGAAAAATTGGGTTGACTGTAATTTATTTTTTATTTTAAATTGTAAATTATGTACTGACATTGTTAAGTTTTCATTAATTTTTGGTTTATCTATGGTGTAATTCAGAGGCATTATCAGTGAGGAAGAATAATAATCTTGGCTATTATGTATGCATTTTTTATTTTTACTTATGCCTGTGAAATCAAGTTAAATATTCTAGTTTTTTTACACTTTGTGACACTACTATTAGGTTAATCATTTTGAGTCGTTATAAGCACCCATAAACCAAAGTGATTGTTTTATTGTGTATGTTTGGTTTGAGTCTTGAACAGCTAGTTTCAGTAGAAATTTGATTTTTGTTATAAATATAAGTGGACTTAAAATATTAGTAGAATTTTCTTTATTAGTTCGTACCTGGATTTTATATCTTGATCATGCCATTCTTAAAATTGTTGTTGATGAAGTTTGTGTTTGTGTAGGCAAGTGATGGCATGTTCCACAACAACTGCTCTGTCAACATCACAGTTCTGGACGTCAACAACAACGCTCCTGTGTTTTCTGAGGACAGTTACTCTTCAGTGGTCATGGAAGACACACCAGTAGGTACAAGTGTGGTGCGAGTGGCTGCCACAGATGCAGACATGGGTATCAACGCAGAGCTGGTGTACAGGATAGAGAAGGGAGCGTTTGATGACTTCAGCATCAACAACAAGACAGGAGAGATACAAGTGGCTAGCAAACTGGACTACGACCTGCGTAACTCCTACAGCATACACGTCATAGCTGTGGATGGAGGTAGGGACTGCAAAGTAGCAGGTCATAAAGACGATGAGTGTTGGATGAGTGAGCTTTGTTACTCACTTAGAGCACCTGGTTCTTTAGTCAAAAGCACAATGATCGGGAACAATTAGTTCATCAGTCTACCTTTGAGGTTTAGATCAGACCATCCAATCAAAATCATCACGCCTTGTTAATGTCACCAACTTGTGTCACTGAAACTCATTGAGTTTTTTTTCTAAATAGAATGATTCCGTGTTTTGTGGAACCTCTACAACTCCCAAGGATAACTGACCACGTTTCATTCTGCATTACCTTTATCACTCAGCTTTCAACCAAACGATTACTAAAATCACTTACTAGCCTGTTTGTGTTTGATTTGAAACACCAATAATTTAAACATCTTTCAAGTTTGTATTGAACATTTTTATACAGTACTTGCTTTGCTGCTAAGGGCTAATAGCTCTTTCAAATCCTTCTTTTGTTGCACCTCTCTTTATAAAAACTTATTTTGTGTGCCAGGCAAAGTTTTGATACAATAAATATGAGGAATCACTCCGTTTGTTAAATTATATAAATGTTAAATCAATTATTTGTGTCACAATTATATCCGCTTAAATATTTGAAACCAAATGAAATAGAGTTGTTCTTTGTAAAGTTAACATATGTGTGTTGTGTGGCAGGTACTCCTCCCTTGACTGGCACTGCCCTGGTAGGTGTCAAAGTTCACAACAGCTATGGCGTACTTTGTAAAGCTAAACATATGTTTGTTGTCTGGCAGGTACTCCTCCCTTGACTGGCACTGCCCTGGTAGATGTCAAAGTTCTCAACAGCAATGACGTACTTTGTAAAGCTAAACATATGTGTGTTGTGTGGCAGGTACTCCTCCCTTGACTGGCACTGCCCTGGTAGATGTCAAAGTTCACAACAGCAATGATGTACTTTGTAAAGCTAAACATATGTGTGTTGTGTGGCAGGTACTCCTCCCTTGACTGGCACTGCCCTGGTAGATGTCAAAGTTCACAACAGCAATGATGTACTTTGTAAAGCTAAACATATGTGTGTTGTGTGGCAGGTACTCCTCCCTTGACTGGCACTGCCCTGGTAGGTGTCAAAGTTCACAACAGCTATGGCGTACTTTGTAAAGCTAAACATATGTGTGTTGTGTGGCAGGTACTCCTCCCTTGACTGGCACTGCCCTGGTAGGTGTCAAAGTTCACAACAGCTATGGCGTACTTTGTAAAGCTAAACATATGTTTGTTGTCTGGCAGGTACTCCTCCCTTGACTGGCACTGCCCTGGTAGATGTCAAAGTTCTCAACAGCAATGACAAGATACCATTTTTTGATCCTTCTACTCAGAGGGCTGAAGTAAGTTTTTACCACTAAATGTGTGATATTTTTCGTAATATAAAAGCAATTATTTTACTACCGACCAACAATCATCTTCTGAGTTAAATAGATTGCTTGTATGCATTTATGTAGCCGTAACATGTTTTTGCTGTGTGATCATTTTTGAACTTAGTGTCTTAGTACCTGTACTTACCTGACTGCTGGCTATTTGTCAACGATTTCTTAATGTGATTTACCACAACATGTTTAGCTAAAACTTTAGCACCATCGGTCTGAGATAGCTCACCGTTCTGTTCTTCACTCAGATAGTAAAATTATGTCACATGTGATAACTAACCTATATTGTATCAATCTGTTTTGTATAATAGTTATATTTAATATTTTTGTATTTTACCATGATGATGCTACAGATATGGCAAAATATATTCATTATTTATAAATAACGCAAACAAATTGTTGACACAAGATAAATAGCTTATTTTAGTCACATTAATACAATTCAGGGGCTATAATCAAACTTACTATACTCCCCAGCCGGAACCTGTTGTATAGAAGATAGAACCAATATATTTTATCTGCACATGTCTAGGTGGCTGAAGATGCTGCTGTAGGTACTGTTATCTACAAACTGGTAGCTAGAGATCTGGACGTAGACTCTCCTGAAGCCCTCAACTTTGCTGCCACTGATCCTATCACTGCTACTGACAAGAACGGCAAAGAAGTCAAGAGTGATGTTACCTTTAAGGTTTGCACTGTTCATTCAATAATAAAATATCTTGAGGCTCGTAACAAATACATAATATAAAGGGTGTGCATATTCAATTGTCCTAAGAGTCAAATCTTTATATCTCAAGAATGAGATTTAATCCTCAATGTTTAAAGCTGAGATTTTTTATGCTACTGTATGAACTAAATCATATTCTCATAAAAATGCTGGAAGTGCTAATTCTCAGAGCGGTTTCATGAAATACACTATAACTTTTAATAAAATCTTGTTTTTTAAAGCCTTAAATGATATCATTTCAAGTTTGTTAGGGTCCATTCCAAGTTCCTTTTTTGATAAAAATAGTCTTTTTGGATGACTAATTAAGAGCTATCAGAAATTACTAATAATAAATAAATAAATAAAAATGCCTTTATTTCCGAGCGTCTCTCAGTACAAATATTACTGTTTTACAGAGTAACTCAGGTCAAAACTAACTAAAAATACAAAACTATTATAATACAAGACATCGTGTTTATAAAATAAAAATATAAAATAATTATTTGGGGTCAGACTTTTTGACTTCTGCGCAGGCCTGGTAAAGTTTTTAGCCTTTAAGTCTTGGGCAAAAACAAACTACGTTGGAAATTGTGATTTAAAAAATATATTATGAATGTACTGTATTAATAACATTTTGATTTCTATAATTCTGTACACAATCTTCTGCAACAGAATTAGTCACAGTAGAATCAAGAATGTCTTCTACGAACTTTATTATACAGTAGTCTCCTGTGATAGTGGAAAACCCATTAACACCAATAACACCCACAATAGCCACAAGGTTTTAAATTTTTGATCTCACAATTTCGCAGACACTTTTTGCAAACTCTTAAAAAAACCATGGCTCTCCTAAAAAATTGAGCCCATAATGATCTGACCCAAGCTTAACCAGAAATATATTTTCAGTCCTAGAAAATCCCTCAGACCAAAAACTGTTGGCCCAACCAAAAAATATTAGGGACCCGCAACCCGCAGATTCCTAGTTGGTGTATTGTGTAAACTCTATTGATGTTTGTGTGTTGTAGGAGTTCTTCACCATCAACAGAGCCACAGGGGAGGTGAGTGTGGCGCGACCGCTACTGAGGGATGTAGCTTCAGTAGTCAGCATCAGTATGTTGGTCACCGACATCACTGCTCCTACAGTACAGCAAGGCACAGGTAAAAGTCACTAACTAAAACTGTTCTTCTGGGGTCAAATGTTCGCTTGTAATGTTCTTGTGCGTAGTTTCCCTAGCAGGTGAGAAACTCTTGGGCATCTCAGGTCACTTATTTTCCTTGTGGATCAACTAATCACAATTTGTAAGTTTGTTCTTGATTGATTATGCTAAAGGTTTTTGGTGGTAAACAAACATGTTAAATAAACATTTATAATTAAAATTATTTGCTTGCCTGTTGATTTTATAAGCAATGAGTAAAAAAATCATATCCTATATTAAACATTAAGTCTAAATCAGCACACTCTAACGCCACCAACACGAACCTACAACCAACATACAAGCAGGCTTTAGACTTTAGTATGAGAAGAAAGTCTTCTTACACTAATCAACGTCAATGGTTTTTACTTATTTAGAAACGTAGGAACAGATAATTCTGTCTTAGGGATATATATATTACACACTGTGGATATATGCTACATATAATTTATGGCGTTAAATATATCCACCAATTTATGTGTGTGACTGTGGGGATGTCCATTGTTTCACTTGCACCCCTGTTACAACAAGTTAGTTTAAAGAGTACATTTGTGTTGCAGGGACTCTGATAGTGACCATCCTTGATGTGAATGACTACGCCCCGGAGTTCCCTCCACCCTGGACCAAGGAGAACCCCTCGTATATCCTGGACCTGATGGAGGACCAGCCACCCGGCTCTCACCTCGGCACCTTCACTGCCACTGACAAGGACTCTAACATTGCCTACTATGAGATACAGCCACCCTCTCCATACTTCATCATCAACAACGCTACTGGTGAATAATACTGTGCTCGTACTGACCACTGTGCCATCAAATGTCAAGTCAAGTAGAACACCAAATATGAAAACTGCAATCATCCAAATCATTTTAAGATTTTTAAGTTGGGAAAATAATTTAAAATCTGGCTGGAAAAACTAAGTTCAGTGCAGTTTATTTAAAGTTTACGGTAATATAAATTATATTCATGATTTTTTTATACAAAAAATTCTAAAATTGGTAAACATTTTCAGGGTAACTGACACGGGTCTGTAAGGGTTATCCGGATGGGGTCCGATCCCAATTGATCCAGATAATGGGAGTTATACTGTATTTATTTTTTTATGTACTATTTAACACAATGGTATTAAATTAGGGATGGACGGGTCCCGAAATTTTGGGAATATTTCGGGAAAAAAATATTCCCGATTATCGGGACGGGATTACATTTGATTCGGGAATTTTTCAGGACGGGATTTGGTCCGATCGTTGGCGATTTTGCCGCTTCGCGAGCGATAGGTCCGCGAACGCAGGAGACGAAGTCATTTCGACGATCGCGCCGTGACCGCGGAGTCCTACCGACGATCACGCCGTGACCGCGGAGTACTACCGACGATCGCGCCGTGACCGCGGAGTCATACCGACGATCACGCCGTGACCGCGGAGTCATACCGACGATCACGCCGTGACCGCGGAGTCATGCCGACGATCACGCCGTGACCGCGACTCATACCGGCGATCACCCCGTGACCGCGGAGTCATACCGACGATCACGACGTGACCGTGGAGTCCTGCCGACGATCGCACCGTGACCGCGATTATTGGACCGACGATCGCATCGTGACCGCGAGTCATAACGAAGATCGCAACGTGACCGTGATTATTGGACCGACGATCGCACCGTGACCGCGAGTCATACCAACGATCGTGCCGTGACCGCGGAGTTCTACCGACAAGCGCCGTGACCGCGGAGTCATGCCGACGATCGCGCCGTGACCGCGGAGTCATGCCGACGATCGCGCCGTGACCGCGGAGTCATGCCGACGATCGCGCCGTGACCGCGGAGTCATGCCGACGATCGCGCCGTGACCGCGGAGTCATGCCGACGATCGCGCCGTGACCGCGGAGTCATGCCGACGATCGCGCCGTGACCGCGGAGTCCTACCGACGATCGCACCGTGACCGCGAGTCATACCGACGTCGTGACCGCGGAGTCATGCTGACGATCGCGCCGTGACCGTGAGTCATACTGACGATCATGCCGTGACCGCGAGTCATACCGACGATCATCCCGTGACCGCGAGTCATACCGACGATCATCCCGTGACCTCGAGTCATACCGACGATCACCCCGTGACCGCGGTCATTTTGACGATCGCACCGTGACCGCGATTATTGGACCGACGATCGCGCCGTGACCGCGGAGTCATGCCGACGATCGCGCCGTGACCGCGGAGTCATGCCGACGATCGCGCCGTGACCGCGGAGTCCTACCGACGATCGCACCGTGACCGCGAGTCATACCGACGTCGTGACCGCGGAGTCATGCTGACGATCGCGCCGTGACCGTGAGTCATACTGACGATCACGACGTGACCGTGGAGTCCTGCCGACGATCGCACCGTGACCGCGATTATTGGACCGACGATCGCATCGTGACCGCGAGTCATAACGAAGATCGCAACGTGACCGCGATTATTGGACCGACGTTCGCACCGTGACCGCGAGTCATACCGACGATCGCGCAGTGACCGCGGAGTTCTTCCGACGAGCGCCGTGACCGCGGAGTCATGCCGACGATCATGCCGTGACCGTGGAGTCCTACCGACGATCGCACCGTGACCGCGAGTCATACCGACGTCGTGACCGTGGAGTCCTACCGACGATCGCACCGTGACCGCGAGTCATACCGACGTCGTGACCGCGAAGTCATGCTGACGATCGCGCCGTGACCGTGAGTCATACTGACGATCATGCCGTGACCGCGAGTCATACCGACGATCATCCCGTGATCGCGAGTCATACCGACAATCACCCCGTGACCGCGGAGTCATACCGACGATCGCAACGTGACCGCGAGTCATAACGAAGATCGCAACGTGACCGCGATTATTGGACCGACGATCGCACCGTGACCGCGAGTCATACCAACGATCGCGCCGTGACCGCGGAGTTCTACCGACAAGCGCCGTGACCGCGGAGTCATGCCGACGATCGCGCCGTGACCGCGGAGTCATGCTGACGATCGCGCCGTGACCGCGGAGTCCTACCGACGATCGCACCGTGACCGCGAGTCATACCGACGTCGTGACCGCGGAGTCATGCTGACGATCGCGTTGTGACCGTGAGTCATACTGACGATCATGCCGTGACCGCGAGTCATACCGACGATCATCCCGTGACCGCGAGTCATACCGACGATCATCCCATGACCTCGAGTCATACCGACGATCACCCCGTGACCGCGGTCATTTTGATGATCGCACCGTGACCGTGAGTCACAAGTTTCTATAGGTACCTGTATATTGTTACCCATTCTTTGGTTTTTATAGATCAGTACCACAAACGGTAAAAATTGATTTTGTATGTCTTTTTTTGGTAACTGCAATACTCAAGACTTTCTTTTTATGCACAGAAAAAATCCCGTCCCGTCCCGTCCCGAAAATCGGGAAGGAAATAAAAATCCCGTCCCGTCCCGTCCCGAACTAAAAATTCAATCCCGTCTATCCCTATATTAAATTCCGTTTTTTTGTGGTTATTCAGGGATGGTAACAACAATGCAGAAGATTGACTATGAGAAGACACCGCAGCTCAATTTGACAGTGATTGCTTATGACAGTGGAGCACCTCAGTTCTCAGCTCAGGCTCATGTCACAGTCAATATTGTCAACATTAACGACATGGATCCTGTATTCAACCAGGTAATGGTCCACACTTGTTATACTACTTTATATTAAAATAGTTTAAGAATGTAACATAGAGCATAAGGCCTATACAAAACCTTTAAGATTAGATATGCATGACAGTCCAACTTTATAGCACTCAACATTACAAGAGCACAGATATCTATTTTATTTTACTTGCCAATGGCTCAGCCAATACATGAGATTAAGAGAGAGTAAATGCTATAATTCGGCCTGAGTTTTTAAAATTTGTTCAATTTAAAAGTTGAAAATTTACTGGACGGAAGTGATATTGAATGTTACCCCAGTTTTTGTTTATGGGACTGATTAAAAAATTCAAAAGTTCAAAGCATTTAGTCCAAAGCTCTAACTCTTAAAAATAAGTTTAGCTAAACTCAGTCCTGATAACATTTTAATGTGTTTTATTGTATTCTAGACAGAATATTTGGCAAGTGTTAATGAGAATGCACCAGTGGGCACTGTGGTGACGACAGTGAATGCTGAGGACTCAGATGCTGGGGAATACGGGGCAGTGAGGTACCACATTGCGGGGGGTAGTGGGGCCCTGACCGTGGACCCTGTCACTGGGGATGTGACTGTGGCAGACCCTTCACAGCTGGATAGGGAGACCACTTCTGATCTGACACTGACAGTTGTAGCTACAGACATGGCCCCGCCTGACACTGCCCGCTCCACCACTGCTCTGGTACACTTACAGTTACTATTTTATAACCTATTTTATGTGAATATGTATCGATTAGTATCAGAATCGAGAATCGATCGTCAAAAGTCGATAACGATACCCGACATTTCTGTGAAGATCGCACGATCAAAAAATTACTGCTTTTGCCTTGATGAAGATGACGTTTTAGTTACGGTACTGGGTTAGACGATGTCGAACACAAGTTTCAGTGCGATTCCAGGAGACGTTGATCAAAGTCAAAGTCAAAGTCAAAACATTCTTTATTCATTATAGTTTCACATTACATGAACTTGAATAGAGTCATAAGCTAAATTCAAAATTGCTTACTGCTAATTAAATACATAAAAAGAGTACTAAAATTACTTTACTTGAACTTTTAACAAAACCATGACTTTAAGGATAACAGTATTTGGAATTCAAATTAAGTTAGGCCTAACTGTTTTTTACTAATACTAAAGAATTCTGTTACTGAGTAGCAGGGAGTTCTTAAAAAATATTCCTTTAAGAGCTTCTTGAATTTATTAAATTTTGTTTCTTTTCGGATGTGAGCTGGTATAGACTGGAGAAATTTTAGCCCTATGTAAGATGCCTTTTTAGTGTAAAATTCGAGATTATGCCGAGGTAGGTTAATTTTTAATCTGGTGTTATATACTAATTGTTCTGTTGAGCTGGATGATAGTTGGATCTGTTTTGCATAAATTATTGTTTCATAAATATAAAGACTATAAACTGTTAATATTTGTAATTCACGAAAGATGCTCTTGACTGGCTCTTTCTTTTTAAGATTTTTCATCACCCTGATAGCTTTTTTCTGCTTAATTAGTACTTTATCTAAATTAGTTTTTGTTGTTGCCCCGTATAGAACAATTCCATATGAAATATGTGAATGTATTAATGAGAAATAAACAACTCTTAAAGTGTCTAAACTGCATACTCTGAACATCTGTCGCAGCGCATGGATACCGGAAGATACCTTTTTAACCACATAGTTCACATGGCCCTCCCAAGATAGATGTTTATCGATAATTAGACCAAGAAATTTTGTTTGCTTTACTTGGTTTATTCTTTCTGATTTTATGCAAATGTTTGGTTCAAAATTTTGTCTACGTTGTTTAGTGGAAAATGATATAAAATTGGATTTTTCTGTGTTAATAAGCAGATTTTTTCGGTCAAGGAATTCTTTAGTGGATAAAAGACTCTCCTGAGAAAACGTTTCAATCTGTTGTTTTGATCTTCCGGGAATAAGCACATTACAATCATCAGCAAACAGACACATAGACCCGCCGTTACCAGGAATCGCTCCTGGCATACCTCTAATATAGCAGAGAAAAAGTAGAGGCCCCAGGATCGATCCCTGCGGCACCCCATATTTCAGCGTCTGATGCTGAGATCTACATTTTTCAACGTACTTTGTGTTTGCATGCTCCACAACATAATCCAGTTCAACAAATTGGTTTCTGTTTTCTAGATATGATGTAAACCATGCAAGCTCTTTTCCATAGATTCCCATTTCTTTTAGTGAAGTCAACAATATACTATGTGACACGCTGTCAAATGCCCTACTAAGATCCAAAAAGATTCCTACAACATTTTCTCCTCTGTCAACAGCATTTATTATAGTTTCTATGAATTCAATACCAGCTGTTATTGTTGATTTGCCCTGCCGAAAGCCATGTTGTTCTTTATCAAATAGTTGATTATTTTCCAGATATTTATAGACCTGAATGTAAACAATGCGTTCAAAAATTTTTGAAAAAACAGGTAAGAGAGAGATAGGGCGGTAACAGGAGGGATCAGTTTTATTACCTTTTTTAAAAATGGGAATTACTTTAGCCAATTTTAATTTTGAAGGAAAGATTCCTGAAATAAGAGAAGAGTTTATGATATGTGTTAGTGGTTTCTGGATAATGTGTATTGATTTTTTAACTATGGTGATTGGAATTTCATCAAAACCTGCAGAGTACTTGTTTTCAAAGGAAAGGACCACTTTAGTGAGGTGTTCTTCCGTTATTGTGTGAAACTTAAATGACTTATCTGTAGGTAAAATATTTTTCTGGATATCTGTTTTTTGTGTAAGTGAAGGAGAAATGTGTGGCAATATAAGCTTTTCCACAGCTGATACAAAGAAATTATTAAAGTTGTTACTGACAGCTACTGGATGCTTAAGGAGTTTACCATTTTGCTCTATACATATCGGTATGTTGCTGGTAAAATAACTTTTTGAGTTAAGCTTTATTTCACTTTTAATTATGTTCCACGTTGCTTTAGTTTTATTAGAAGAGTGTTTTATTTTCTCATTATAAAATGTTTGTTTGGCTTGGTGTATTGATTCTTTTAGTTCCTTTTTCTTAACCTTTATCTTTTGATATGTGTCAAAATTTTGTCTTATCCTACCTAGCTTTTCCAGTTCATTTATCTCACTCTTTTTTTTAAATAACTCCTTTGAATTCCATTTACATTTACTATATCCACTATCTGCACTTAAAACTTTGGGAAAATTAACATCAAAAATGTAACTAAAAATAGAAAAAAATGCATCATACTTTTTATCTACAGATGACTGGTAAATATCATACCAAGTCTCATTGCCTAAATCACTGAGAAAGGTTTTTAAGTTATTCTCTGTAAATTTTCTGTGCCTTTTCTTTGTTTTCTTTTTATTCTTACTTTTTAAATCCACAATTTCAAGAAGTTGTGCATCGTGATCAGACACATGAGTAATGATTCCGGTTACAATTAATTGCACATGATCTATATTAGTGATAATATTGTCTATTGCTGATCTAGTTTTCAGTGTAACCCTAGTAGGAAAATTTACTTTATATGACATATTATACATTCTCAAAATGCTCAAAAATCTATAATACAATGAGTTATGATTTAAAATATCTATGTTTACATCTCCAGCTATAATGATGTTTTCATATTTCTTAGTCAATATATCTAGTGTAGTTTCTAGTTTGGATAAAAAAGGATCATTGTATTTATATTCTGGAGTCCTATATACACCCATCAGTACAAAAGACATGCTTTCAACTATTACTTCAACCAAACAGCACTCAAACTCCTTCTCTGATGTTATATTTTGTATTCCTTTTAGTGCAACCTCTTTAATATTAAGTGACGAATTTGTGAGGATTAATACCCCTCCTCCAGTGGTTGTAGTTCTAGTCCAGGAAGATGCTATTTTGTAGTTTTTAATATTGAAAAATGATAAATCTGTTTCACGCATATTTATTTCTGTCAATATAATAACATCTGGTTTAATTTCATCAAGGTTTACTTCTAATATTCCAATACGAGTTGATAAATTTTGGACATTTTGGTGAAGAATTAAAAAGTTTTGAGTGCTGCTTGAATTGTAACAATTTAAATTACTACCGGTACTACATTCTTGCAAGTTTTCTCCAAAATGATGATGTCTTCATGACCGTGAGAGATGCTAATCATGTCTACACGGCCATGGGAAATGATCAGAATTTTGCTTTGTTCGGGGATAACAATGATAACATTTCCCTGACCACGGAGACGATGATGTCCACTCCACCACAGCAGATGATCACGATATTACCTTAGGTTTGGCTTGATCGAAAATCTCAGGCTTGCACGATGCACACCTCTAGTTTTAGTATAATTTTTTTTTACACATATGTTTATGATAGCCTATGTTCATTTATATTTGATGTGGTATTGATTTAACTTGTTCGCTACTGAGCGTCGCATATATGCGACACCGCGGTTATTGCCACAGACCGAGGTATACATTTAAATCTTACACATAGACCGGCTGTCACTTGGATAACAGTACACACAGACCACTGGTGAAAACCTGTAAAACAGTGATCATTTACATTGTAATACGCTACAATCGTGTTTGTAAATAAATTATTCTTGGTTTTTTTTATTTTTTATAACCTTTTGTAATGTCGCATATTTGCGACGCCCGGTCTACAGCGAAGACAATAGTGAAAATTATCATAGTTTTCTTGAAATAGACTAAACGTCGCATATATGCGACAGTTCATTTTTTTGCGTTTTAAGGTGAAAGTAAGTAAAAACATAAACAGATTATTCAAGAACAGTTTATAACTGAACAAATATAAAAGCTACATAGGATGATGCAGCATAAATACTGCATACGTACATACAGTGATGCAGAAAAGTGAAGACCAGTTTTTCCAACTATTATATGACGTCACCAATCATCATATCCACAGACCAAGCGACGCAGTTGTGCGTCAGACATCTCTGTAGACCACTGCAGGGAATTCAGTGCCTTCAAATAGACCACTACAAAGATATAAGCATTTTAATAACATTAGAACCCTGACGCAAATATACGTCGGCTCGGCAGTCTATTTTAATGTGACTAGCTGTCGCATATATGCGACGGCAGTCTATGGGTGGAAACCAGCCGTCGCATATGTGCGTCGCTGGTCCATGTGAATGGAAAATTTCGTACTATTGCAGTAGCGAACGTGTTAATGTGTTCAGAAGGGTTTAAACTTGGATTGGCTGGTTGGAATTTTTCTTTGCTGTATTAATTTTTTTAGTTGAAAAACACCCCCATTACCTTAAAATTACTTTGTTTGAGGACCTAAAGAAAGGGAGCGGTTTAGTATAACCAATCAAACAGAAAATTTAGTAAAATAAAAAATATATAGTATTGGTACGGTATCGAGAATTAATCAATTTTCGTATTGACTCATCACTAATAACCAGAGAAGTGGTTATTGACTTTATAATACATAACATTAGAAGTTGTATTATAGTTGTCAGAAGATATCCTGTATGTGGAAAAAAATTCAACATGAGTCGGTGGCTAAGTTGGAAGAGGGAAGACTTTGGATCCATAGCAGTGATGTCATGGGTTAGAATCCTGGTACCTGCCACTACATTTTATCAGCACAGTTCAACTCTTGTACTATACCGGCTCACCCCTTGCTTTGATGGATTTGTCCACACTCACACGCCTGAGGCCTATGTAGACTAGCAAACTCAAGGTTAAAAGAGGATGCTAATCTCTTTTACAAAAAAGATTAGGATGTCAGAAGCAACATATGTTGTAATATGGTAAATCACGAGAGACTACGTATATCTTTTTTTATAATCGGGACCCAAATTTACTGTATTTTTGTAATTAAAATTGTTTCATAGTCCGTAACTGTTACTAGTAAGGATGGACGGGATTGAATTTTTAGTTCAGGACGGGACGGGACGGGATTTTTATTTCCTTACCTGATTTTCGGGACGGGACAGGATTTTTTCTGTGCATAGGCCTATAAAGAAAGTCTTGAGTATTGCAGTTGCCAAAAAAGACAAACAAAATCAATTTTTACCGTTTGTGGCACTGATCTATAAACACACAAAAATGGGAAAAAATTACAGGTATAGAAACTTGTGAATCCCAGTCACAGCGGGATTGTTGGTATGACTCCGTGGTCCCGGCGCGATAGCGGCGTCATCGTCACTCACGAAGTGGTGAAATCGCCAACGACTGGATCAAATCCCATCCCGAAAATTTCCCGAAATTTCGCGATTTGTCCATCTCTAGTGACTAGCGATACCACTAGAATGAACTAGATAACTTAAGTAACATATTCATATTTATTGGAGGAAAGGGCACTTGGCTTAAGTCATGGAAGGAGGAATGGATACTAGGGATGGTCAAGTCTTGAAATTTCGGGAAATTTTAAATCTCGTTACACGAGACGAGATTTCTTTTTGGCCGAGATTTTTATCGAGACGAGAATAAAAAAAAAAAAAAAAAAAATTAAAAACGCCTGCAGAAAGTCAATGCAATACCCGCAATACAGGAGCGTGTTGTAGTTGCGTTTCCTTTGCGAAGGCGTTCTTATTTAATTAATTCTTTAAATGTAAATATTAGGTACTTTAATTATTTTAATAATATTACTTTAATAACATTTGAGAAGTTTTGTTAAGTGTAAGCAGTGTGAGGAATGTTTTATTACTATAAAAAGTCAAAACAAGTAACTATTTTATAAAAATTAATATTGCTTTTATTTTATGATTTATTTTATTTTAGGATAAGTTTAACTCCATCCTAACTGATATCACTATGTTTCCTAATCGTAGGCATTTTTAATAAGTTAGGCGTGATTAATAAAAAAATGTTATGCTGATGTTTTTTAATAAAATATTGTAAATATTCTTGCCTATTATCATTATTTTTTTATTTAAACAGTCATCTAACAATGTTACAAAATCAGGTAACAATGTTACAAAATCAGGTAAAAATTTTGAACGTGCATTTCCCGTTGTGTATGAGAAGGGAAATCCCGTCTCGATCTCGTCTCGAAATTTTATGAGAAATAAAAAATCTCGTCTCGTCTTGTCTCAAACTAAAAATCCAATCTCGTCCATCCCTAATGGATACACAACTCACTTGCCAAGAAAAGAGTTCCAGGCAGTTGACAGGGCACAAAAAGTTCAAATCACATCTAATTTTTTATTTCACTCATATTTCAGGAAGTAGAGAAATTACTTCTTCTAGAATGCTCTTGTAATTCATTCTGAAAAAGCCTCCTTGTAAGAGTGAAATATCAAATTACTTGTGCTGGGAACATTGCCGTCAACTGCCTCGAACACTTTTGTTGGGTAAACAATGTAATAAAAGTTTCAAAATTGTCAATAAAGTTTATGAACGTGTGTTTAGGTGAAGGTGAAGCTGCTGGATGTTAATGACAATCCTCCCATATTCACCACTCACCTTTACAAGGCTAGTATAGAAGAGACCATCTCCTTGTCCCCACCAGGCCCCATAGTACAACTGAGGGCCCAGGACAATGACCAGACATCACAGCTCAAGTACTCCATCCTCTCTGGCAACATCGGAGGTAACAATGGTTTCTCTGTGACAGGAAGATTAGTGATGCACATGAGCCTGACAGTGACAAATAAACAGAATGCATTCCCTTCTCAATAACTAAAAATAATAATCATTGCCAAATGTACCATTGCTCCTTTGAACTTGCCAACTTGTAATCAGTTAGAGATGCAGGCCCACTGAAAAAGTTCTAGTTCATAGCTCAAAGTAATTTTATCCCATAAACAGGGTGATTCAACTGAATCCATCCAATATAAATAATTCAAAAACTAAACTACAACCAATGAAATTCATTGGATTAGTAAAATGACTGAAGCCAATCTGAAATGTGTGAAAGCTATAAACCTAACTGGTCCTGGTATGTATTGATTGAATTAAAAGTACCTCTTTACACATTATCATCAGGCATCATTAGTTAAATAAATAAATAAATAAAAAGGCCTTTATTTGCAAGCGAGTTTCATATACATGTTTTTCAAACTTAACTTACTCAAGTCAAACTAAAACTAAACTAACCTAATATATACAGAAATATAATATACAAAATAACTACAAAGAAAAAACATTTACAATTTACATTTGTTTTTCTGCATTGCGGCTCTGAATGAACCATATGATTTGGAGCTCTTTATGTCCTGAGGGAGGCCTTTATATAACTGCGGGCCGAAATAAGAAAATGACTTTCTTCCAACCTCAAGCCTCACTTAAGGAAAGTGAAGCCTGCGGTCGGAATGAGTACCACACAGACAGATCTCCCCCCTGTACTTAAGCCTCTCTCGCTGAGGTACTGAGGCTCTCCCAGCGTGAGCACTTTGTGGACCAGGCAGCAGGTCAGCCTCCTGCACATGTCATCCATTGGGATGATAGTTGTGGTTACTCGCTCTGTGGTGGGTTTTCTCCAGGCAGGAGGCTTTTCACACATTGTGATTAGATCCAATTTTGGTAGTCAAATTGACATGCAACTTAGCTTGTATAGGTCAGCCGGACAGATAGAGATGCATGTAAGAGGAGGTCGCTTTCTAAGTGGCCGACCTATAACTTGTCAACACCAGAGTTGTTAAAGAATGCCCAGAGTGCAAGCTGATAGAATCAGGAACTGTCCATGTTTGCTGGAAGTAATCTATATCATTGAAAATTACTGTGTTTTGTTATTAAAAAATGTATCCAAATTAATAAAACAATTTAGTTCAGCCCTGAACCCCAAACACTATATTAATGTATTTTGACTTATCGATCATCTGCCTTTTTAACTAATTCAGAATATTACAAGGTACAATTTGACCTGCAGATGTGTTCTCGCTGGACCCTGTCACTGGGATCCTGTATCCTCAAGTATCACTGATGGGACAACCACACCACTATACGTTGCTAGTTGGCGTCAGTGACGGCAAATACACGGACCAAGCCAAAGTGGACATAACCATCCTGGATGTCAACCAAAACCAGCCAAAGTTCATCGACCCTCCCTCCCAGAATGCTACTGTCTATGTAACAGAGGTGTGTATTCAATTTGTAGTTATACCTGCTTCTTTTTAACGAATTTCCCTAAAGGGAAGTAGCTGTAACCGTAGGTGGCACAGTAAGACCTAGGCCCGGGACCGATTTACTTTTTCATTTTGATGTCCCCAGAGGCAAAAAACACCATTCGTTCAAATTTGTATTTATGTATATATATAATATGTCCGTGAACGCGAACTTGAGTAATTTTTGTCAGATTTTGATGACATTTAGTTTAAAGGTGTAAGGCGAAATACACTTGAATGAGTTCGCGAACCAGCATGATCGGACCCTGGGAACAGGGTTTTACAGGGGGTTTTATGGGGTAAAAAATGGTTATTCTTATTTTTGACCCTCAAAACACTAAATTTCCCAATTTCTCTCTAGATATTTGTAAGAGTTAAAAAAAAACAAATAATTTAGTATATCAAAGTTTTTTGTACGGTTATTGGTAACGGGGAAGATTCAAAAAATTGTAAATTTAAAATTCCCATGATATTCTTATGGAGAATATTGTAAAATGTTGTAGTTTGCTTGTTTATGGATATATTTTGATCAAACTTGACAAATTTATTTATTTTATACTAAGCTATTAATATTTTACTTAAAAACACAAATTATTAGTTTCCCTGTAGCAGCAAACCTAAGTACTCGTTAAACCTAATGTTATTTAAATAGATTTGATTGAAAATCAATTCAGACAAATGGAAATTTGCTTAGTCGGCAGGTTTGCTGCAGCGGAGGTTATTTTTAATTGTTGTTACATTCTTTATTTAAGTGCAACAAAATCTAAAATGTTTGGGTAACAAGATGAACTCTTGTGTCGAGTCTGAGGACTTGTATAAAACTATATGTATAAATGGGAGTTGTATAAAACCTCTAGATAGTCCTGATTTCATAGAGTATTTTAAGAAATATCTACAAGAAAATTCGTTTCTGCAGCCAAGAAGCTGTAAAATGTTTATTTGATAAAAGAAGTGGCAATGAGTTTATCAATGTATAAATGTTGCAGGCGCATGAAGCTGACACTCTGATCATGACAGTGAGAGCAGAGGATGGAGATCCTAGGGAGAATGGTAGAGTCACTTACCACTTCAAGGCTAATGCCTCCAACGTCCAGGAGACTGATGAGTTTATCAATGTATAAATGTTGCAGACGGATGAAGCGTACACTCTGATCATGACAGTGAGAGCAGAGGATGGATACCCTAGGGAGAATGGTAGAGTCACTTACCACTTCAAGGCTAATGCCTCCAACGTCCAGGAGACTGATGAGTTTATCAATGTATAAATATTGCAGACGGATGAAGCGTACACTCTGATCATGACAGTGAGAGCAGAGGATGGAGACCCTAGGGAGAATGGTAGAGTCACCTACCACTTCAAGGCTAATGACTCCATTGTCCAGGAGACTGATGAGTTTATCAATGTATAAATGTTGCAGACGGATGAAGCGTACACTCTGATCATGACAGTGAGAGCAGAGGATGGATACCCTAGGGAGAATGGTAGAGTCACTTACCACTTCAAGGCTAATGCCTCCAACGTCCAGGAGACTGATGAGTTTATCAATGTATAAATATTGCAGACGGATGAAGCTGACACTCTGATCATGACAGTGAGAGCAGAGGATGGATACCCTAGGGAGAATGGTAGAGTCACTTACCACTTCAAGGCTAATGCCTCCAACGTCCAGGAGACTGATGAGTTTATCAATGTATAAATGTTGCAGACGGATGAAGCGTACACTCTGATCATGACAGTGAGAGCAGAGGATGGATACCCTAGGGAGAATGGTAGAGTCACTTACCACTTCAAGGCTAATGCCTCCAACGTCCAGGAGACTGATGAGTTTATCAATGTATAAATATTGCAGACGGATGAAGCTGACACTCTGATCATGACAGTGAGAGCAGAGGATGGAGACCCTAGGGAGAATGGTAGAGTCACCTACCACTTCAAGGCTAATGACTCCATTGTCCAGGAGACTGATGAGTTTATCAATGTATAAATGTTGCAGACGGATGAAGCGTACACTCTGATCATGACAGTGAGAGCAGAGGATGGAGACCCTAGGGAGAATGGTAGAGTCACTTACCACTTCAAGGCTAATGACTCCATTGTCCAGGAGACTGATGAGTTTATCAATGTATAAATGTTGCAGACGGATGAAGCTGACACTCTGATCATGACAGTGAGAGCAGAGGATGGAGACCCTAGGGAGAATGGTAGAGTCACTTACCACTTCAAGGCTAATGCCTCCAACGTCCAGGAGACTGATGAGTTTATCAATGTATAAATGTTGCAGACGGATGAAGCGTACACTCTGATCATGACAGTGAGAGCAGAGGATGGAGACCCTAGGGAGAATGGTAGAGTCACTTACCACTTCAAGGCTAATGCCTCCAACGTCCAGGAGACTGATGAGTTTATCAATGTATAAATGTTGCAGACGGATGAAGCGTACACTCTGATCATGACAGTGAGAGCAGAGGATGGATACCCTAGGGAGAATGGTAGAGTCACCTACCACTTCAAGGCTAATGACTCCATTGTCCAGGAGACTGATGAGTTTATCAATGTATAAATATTGCAGGCGGATGAAGCTTACACTCTGATCATGACAGTGAGAGCAGAGGATGGATACCCTAGGGAGAATGGTAGAGTCACTTACCACTTCAAGGCTAATGACTCTAACTTCCAGGAGACTGATGAGTTTATCAATGTATAAATATTGCAGACGGATGAAGCTGACACTCTGATCATGACAGTGAGAGCAGAGGATGGAGATCCTGGGGAGAATGGTAGAGTCACTTACCACTTCAAGGCTAATGCCTCCAACGTCCAGGAGACTGCTGAGTTTATCAATGTATAAATGTTGCAGACGGATGAAGCTGACACTCTGATCATGACAGTGAGAGCAGAGGGTGGAGATCCTGGGGAGAATGGTAGAGTCACTTACCACTTCAAGGCTAATGCCTCCAACGTCGAGGAGACTGCTGAATTTATCAATGTATAAATGTTGCAGACGGATGAAGCTGACACTCTGATCATGACAGTGAGAGCAGAGGATGGATACCCTAGGGAGAATGGTAGAGTCACTTACCACTTCAAGGCTAATGACTCCATTGTCCAGGAGACTGATGAGTTTATCAATGTATAAATGTTGCAGGCGGATGAAGCTGACACTCTGATCATGACAGTGAGAGCAGAGGGTGGAGATCCTGGGGAGAATGGTAGAGTCACTTACCACTTCAAGGCTAATGACTCCAACGTCCAGGAGACTGCTGAGTTTATCAATGTATAAATGTTGCAGACGGATGAAGCTGACACTCTGATCATGACAGTGAGAGCAGAGGGTGGAGATCCTGGGGAGAATGGTAGAGTCACTTACCACTTCAAGGCTAATGCCTCCAACGTCCAGGAGACTGCTGAGTTTATCAATGTATAAATGTTGCAGACGGATGAAGCTGACACTCTGATCATGACAGTGAGAGCAGAGGATGGATACCCTAGGGAGAATGGTAGAGTCACTTACCACTTCAAGGCTAATGACTCCATTGTCCAGGAGACTGATGAGTTTATCAATGTATAAATGTTGCAGGCGGATGAAGCTGACACTCTGATCATGACAGTGAGAGCAGAGGGTGGAGATCCTGGGGAGAATGGTAGAGTCACTTACCACTTCAAGGCTAATGCCTCCAACGTCCAGGAGACTGCTGAGTTTATCAATGTATAAATGTTGCAGACGGATGAAGCTGACACTCTGATCATGACAGTGAGAGCAGAGGATGGATACCCTAGGGAGAATGGTAGAGTCACTTACCACTTCAAGGCTAATGACTCCATTGTCCAGGAGACTGATGAGTTTATCAATGTATAAATGTTGCAGGCGGATGAAGCTGACACTCTGATCATGACAGTGAGAGCAGAGGATGGATACCCTAGGGAGAATGGTAGAGTCACCTACCACTTCAAGGCTAATGACTCCAACGTCCAGGAGACTGATGAGTTTATCAATGTATAAATGTTGCAGACGGATGAAGCTGACACTCTGATCATGACAGTGAGAGCAGAGGATGGATACCCTAGGGAGAATGGTAGAGTCACCTACCACTTCAAGGCTAATGACTCTAACGTCCAGGAGACTGATGAGTTTATCAATGTATAAATGTTGCAGGCGGATGAAGCTGACACTCTGATCATGACAGTGAGAGCAGAGGATGGAGATCCTGGGGAGAATAGTAGAGTCACTTACCACTTCAAGGCTAATGACTCCAACGTCCAGGAGACTGATGAGTTTATCAATGTATAAATATTGCAGACGGATGAAGCTGACACTCTGATCATGACAGTGAGAGCAGAGGATGGAGATCCTGGGGAGAATGGTGGAGTCACCTACCACTTAAAGGCTAATGACTCCTACATCCAGGAGACTGATGAGTTTATCAATGTATAAATATTGCAGACGGATGAAGCTGACACTCTGATCATGACAGTGAGAGCAGAGGATGGAGATCCTGGGGAGAATGGTAGAGTCACTTACCACTTCAAGGCTAATGACTCCAACGTCCAGGAGACTGATGAGTTTATCAATGTATAAATATTGCAGACGGATGAAGCTGACACTCTGATCATGACAGTGAGAGCAGAGGATGGAGATCCTGGGGAGAATGGTAGAGTCACTTACCACTTCAAGGCTAATGACTCCAACGTCCAGGAGACTGATGAGTTTATCAATGTATAAATATTGCAGACGGATGAAGCTAAAACTCTGATCATGACAGTGAGAGCAGAGGATGGAGATCCTGGGGAGAATGGTAGAGTCACTTACCACTTCAAGGCTAATGACTCCAACGTCCAGGAGACTGATGATTTTATCAATGTATAAATGTTGCAGACGGATGAAGCTGACACTCTGATCATGACAGTGAGAGCAGAGGATGGAGACCCTGGGGAGAATGGTGGAGTCACCTACCACTTAAAGGCTAATACCTCCAACGTCCAGGAGACTGATGAGTTTATCAATGTATAAATGTTGCAGACGGATGAAGCTGACACTCTGATCATGACAGTGAGAGCAGAGGATGGAGATCCTGGGGAGAATGGTAGAGTCACTTACCACTTCAAGGCTAATGACTCCAACGTCCAGGAGACTGATGAGTTTGTCATCAATGCTGAGACAGGAGAACTCAGGTCCAAGATCATCCTGGACAGAGAGACCAAGAAACAGTATCAAGTATGTTAATATGTCTGCATATTGTTGAGTGCAATTTAATATTTGCCACATGTCTGTTTTTAATGTTATACTTCAATGATGAATACCAGATGGTTAAATTGTTAAATGTGTTGTTAAAAACAATAATAGTTTTAATCTATGTCTTCTTTAGTTGGTTCAATTAAAAGTGTTGAGTTTAATAATTCAGTTTGCCCTTTTATTTTATTGAGCTAGGTATTTTAATTTAGTGTCCAGGGAAACCACATATTTACACATATACAGATATAGTAACCAGTATGTTACCCTTAGTAATTCAAACAACGATTTTGTTGGATAGCGCTTACACTTAACCACTTAGCCATCTGGCACTTAACCATCGAACCATAATTCATTCCGGTTGTAAAAGCTATCAATGACAGTGTAAAGTCTTTGTATTAATTGTGCCAGTATGGATTCTTTCCAATTCATGGTTCTTTCGTTCTTTATTTCTTCTTTCTAGATATTTAAATTCTAAATTGTCGTTTTTTCTCAGCAACGCTAACATAATTCTTTTTACCTGCTAATAACAGGTTGCCATGTACTGTTATTTTAGCAACATTGCAAGGAGCCTGAGTCTTAGCAATTGTTTAAAAATGTATAGTGTTGGACGTTATTAGACAGGGTCAAAGACATCCTCTATGCCATTCTTCCTACTATCACGTTCATTTTTAATGCATCTTTGAGGCACTGTCTTTCCCTTTATTTTGGAAGTCTGCCATTGTCCGTCCCCTAAAAAAGATCTCAGCACCAACCCTGGTTGGGGATTTCAGGCCGATAAGTATTTTGCCCGCTCTATCTTAACCCTTTCCACTCGAATTATTTTGCATGGCTGTTCCCTCACACTTGCATTTAATTTAAAGAAAAATGGCATGTTTTTGGTTTTTAGTGTTTTTTTTTATCTAATATTAGTTATTTAATAAGGTTGAGCTATTGATTCTTATTCAGCATAAATTGTTATACAATATAAACATAAAATTACAATTTTAGTTTTAAAATTTTATTTTTGGTATGGTCATAAATAAACAAAAGCAAAATAAATTTTTACAAAATCCATATATTTAGGCAAAATAAAAATATAAAACTTTTTTTTAGAGTATTGAAAAAATATTATTTACATTCCTTATGTAAAAACAAACAAAAAATATCAATTACATAAACATTTACTTGTATTATTATGAATAAAATATGTAAATTTCTAAAATTTGAGTTTTTGGAATTTTTGGTTTCCACGGCGACTTCTGTTTCTTAGTTCTTTTGCCTGTAATTTTCAAACAGGATTAGTAAACTGAGATAAACAGTATTTATCTGTAGGCCTATTTATTCATATAAACCGAAAATATAAATACACCAAAATTGTTATACTAAACCAAAAATATAAATTTTCATTAGCGACATATAACAAAAAATATTAAAAAAACGCTGAATTATCAAATATATCTATTATTTCTGATTTGGAACCTTGAGGTTATTCTAGATTACTAATATTTAGATAGGCCTACTTAAATTATTGACCTACCTAGGGTTTGTAGTCTTTGAGGGTATGGTACCGCTTGAAGCATTCACCAGGGTGAAGGCCAGGTTTGCGTTCACACGTCTCACAGAAGAAGTGAGTTTCCCTCCTTTGACCAGGAACTTTCCGGTTGCTGCATACAGCACAGTCCTTTTTCTGATTCACTCCAGGAAAACTTGCAATGAAGTGGGGCTTTTGGTTAAGCCTCTCTTCTTTGTCGCTTGTGGAAGGCCTACCACGTCTTTTACCACTAGGATTGCGGAAGTCCCCAACAAGTTGTAACAACAGCATCTCCCTGAACTTCTTTGATTCACAACACTTGTTTCCAATGTTTTGTTGATACATGTTGTATAGTAAAAAACTGTTTACTACACTTACTTCCAGTAACCAGAAAAACATTTTTCTCCACCATTTTTTGGACTTGCGGACAAACATATACGACGATATATAGTGATCAGCTGCATCAACCCCACCCATTCGCTCATTGTAGTCCATAATGACTGTGGGTTTCAAAACTTTCTCTTTTTCTGTGCTTCCTTTTTTATTCCTCACTATCTCCACTACTGAAGGGTTATGCACAGTACTAAGCATGGTAACGTCCCTCTGGTCCCTCCATGCCAATACTAAAACGTTATCCTTGTGTCGAAAGGCACGCACTTCATGTAACTGCATCTTGTTTGACTTCATATTTTTCTTTTGAAAAGAAGATGGGTTTCCTTGTCGATTCCCTAGGACCGTACCAGTTAGGTGTATTCTTATTTTGGCGAGCTCCTGAGCTAAGGCCAAGCTGGTGTATAGTCTGTCTGTATAAATGTGGAACCCGCACTCAAACCCACACTGATTTCTGACTCGTTCCGCCAAAAGCATCACAATCCGCATGGTGAACTGATGTTCAGGGAAAGGCAAAATAGCCGTGGTTGCAGCACCATAGTAAGGTTCAAAAGTATAAACATAGCCTGTTCTTGAATCGGATATAACAAATACTTTCATGCCCCACTTTATAGGCTTTTTAGGATTGTACTGTTTGAAATGGACTTTCCCTTTGAAGGAAACAGTGCTTTCGTCCATAGAGAGCTCAATCAGGGCCGGATCTAGGAACCGCGAAACCCCGCAATGCGGGGGGGCCCAAGCCCTTAGGGGGCCCAAAGAGGTCGTAAAAATTAAAATTATTTTAATGCATATAAACATAATTGAATAGGACGGCAAGTTTAGTTTTTACAGACAAATAAATAAATATTGTCAACATCAAAACTAAAGTTAGAATTATTAAGTAAATTTAGACTTGTGATTTTACTCGTCGACAACTCGGGACCTTGCCCTAGCTACAGTTCAATCTCACCACTTTCAGTCAGTCCATACTCAGTCAGCTCAGTCCAGTCAGCACGTCAGCTGCATAGCGAGCTTCACAGATCCACTACAGCCCGATCGGACCGAGCGACGTGGACGACGAAGTGTCAACTAGCACTAGCACTCACTCTCACATCAGTTGAGCAAGTCATAAGTCTGTCGTGGTACAGGAGGGACTTACTTGTACCTCAGAGTAAATAAAACAAAATTTTGTTTTATTTACTCTGAGCTTGTACTAATCTTTGTAGCGTTATCTAATTACCTAATTCGAAGGCGTTTGGGACTCCGTCCAAACAGTAGTTTAAACTATTGCCACGACAAGCGCTGGGTGCAGAGAGCGATCTCAATTTTCTCAATCTGTCAACGCAATTATTTAGAGATCAGTCAAAATAGTGAATACTACTGTAGTTTTGTGAGGTTATGTTTATCGTGCCGTGCCGCCGGTATTCTATAGTTGTTAAATTAAATAATTAATTAATATACATAGTTGTACCTGTACCTCTGTTTCTTTTCGTTATAAGTGTAGTTTTAAAAGTGTGAATTAATGAACAATGAATTAGGTGAAAAACATTTTTACGAAGTATGCCAGTGGTGAGGTTGTAAGTTTTTAACAGAGAGTTGAGTTAAAGCTGCTAACTAGGCCCGCCAAAACCTGATTTAGTTTATAACCCAATCTCAAAAGTCATGCAAGAGTAGAAAAGGATTTTCTAGAAATTAGATTAAAACTAAAAATTAAAACTAGGTTTAAAAAGTGCAAGTTAAATTATGAAATAGAAACTACAATAGAGGATTAGTTGTTATGTTTTGCAATAGCTATTCATATTTTAATATAGGCCTAGTTCTATTAGGATAATAAATCTGATCTTTTAAATAAATTGGTAAAAACTATTTTAAAAATATACTTTACTCTACTCTACTTATGTCTACTTGCTCGTGACAAGCGACAGGTGAAATGGGAGTTTTTGGACTATTATTGGACACAGTTTTAGGCGTTAAAAATTGCTTTAGAAGGTCACCAAACGGCTATAAAAATGTGAAATACCCCCGAACCCCCCTTTTCTCTTGGGGGGTTCTCCACACCCCCCAAAACCCCCCGGAGCCCCGTACGCAGCTGTAGGGGCCCTTGGAGGACTTTTGCAGGGGGGCCCATATTTTGTAGATCCGGCCCTGAGCTCAATAGGGTGGAACAAAGTATTCACAAAATTTAGCCTGTAAATATGTCACTAAATGGCTAATCTTAGATCCTCTTGATGGGCGAACGCCAGCTGGAGTTTTACTAGACACGTGCAGACACCAAAAAATTTGAAAAAAACGATCACGGGAGAAGACATCCGTAAAAAAGGATTGTTTTTTATGCCATTCATGAGAGAAATAATCCTGTAAATTAGGTTTAGGATTGAGACCCATATTAATCACAATGCCTAAAAAAGCTTTGAACTCATCTGCAGTTAAATCTTTCCAGTTTGACCAAATAGATCTTTTCTGCAAGGGGGTAGCCATTGAAATGTGCTCGTATGCATATGTATTTGTTTCTTTTACAATATGATCTATCAACTCCCCAGTAAGAAATAATTGAAAAAAATCCAAAGGGGTTTGAGGTTGTTGTGGCCCCAATGGGGCCTTGTACCCTGACAATAGAGTATAGGGAAAAGTATCAAAATCTGGGTCAGAATCTAAGTAAGGTTTATAGTTTTTGTCTTCACTGGAAGGCTGTTTCTTCGGTTGCTTAGGCTGTGAGCTTCTTGGACTCTTTTTCGTAGGCGTAGGCCTTTTTCTTGAATAAATTGGAGTTTTAGAACTGCATATGTTTTTGGGCCTACCTCGGCTACGCTTTGGTGGTACCGGTACCGCTACTACAGGAAGTAATTCATCAATAACTGGACTGACAAATAAATCCCTACTAGTTGAGGGTTCGATTTCTTGATGAACATTAGGCTCATGTAGGCTACTTACAGGTAAAGTTTCATCTGGGCTTTGTAATAGAGCACCAGAGATAGGCAAGTCATCAGAGTCAACAAATAAGTTACGACTTGTTGAAGGGCAGGTGTCTTGTAGAAAACTAGACCTATGAAGGTTAGGCTTAGGCCTACTTACAGTTTCAGCTTTTGCTGGGCTTTTAGAATCCCCTACTAAAACTCCAAAGTTTACATCATGGGCCAAATCACCAAGTTCTTCTAAGTCACTGTCATCAAATAACAATATTTCCTCATTATCTAAGTCCGGAGCACAATCTAAATCGGATTCTTCATCAGAAGTCAAACCTCCTTCAAATAATTTACTGATCAAGGAGTCTGACAAAGAAAGTTTGTCATCCATTTTAACGTGAAATAAACATAATTACCCGTTCACTTTGCTAAATTATCGGTAATTAACCACTGAAAAATGTTTACTAAACAATAGTTACCCAAAACAAGTAAAATATAATATAAAAATCGCGATAACAGTCGCTGCGAACAAAGAATATAAACTAGCAGAAGCAGACGTTCAAGTAAACAAACACGAAACGAACCAAACTTATTTCAAAGCCAACTAAATCGTTCGTGGTTGTTTTCTTTGATCCAAGGGCAGCTAAAATAAATTGAGAAAACCATTGATCAGTCTTTCTTATCATTTTAAACATTTCTGCACTATATAAAATGAGTTTAAAGTCGTTTAAAACAATGTCGCGGCAGCCGCGACATTCGAGTGGAAGCGTCAAAAATGGATGTCGCGGCCACCGCGACATACGAGCGGAAAGGGTTAAGGCCTAGAAAGGATCGTTCACTGTCAAATCACTGAATTCATCACTGAAAATAACATTTTATCTGACTATCAATCTGGTTTCAGATCAGCGCACAGTACAGAAACAGCACTCCTTCGAGTGACTGAAGACATTAGACTCGCTATGGAGCGTCGACAAGGAACAATTCTAACTCTGTTTGATTTTTCCAAAGCATTTGACTTTGTTAATCATGACTTGCTGGTGCAGAAATTAAGGGCAATAGGGTTTTCCCAGAATTCTCTTAAATGGCTGAGATCTTATCTGTCAGATAGGCAATGTGTGGAGGTTGGTGACACAAGATCAGACTGGATGACTGTTACATGCCATGCGGTGTGCCTCAAGGATCAATCCTTGGACCACTGCCCTTTGTACTTTACGTCAACGACATAAACTCGACCTTGAGCAACTGTAAACACCACATGTACGCTGACGACCTACAAATCTATCACCATTTTACTGCAAAAACGAAAATGACTGTGTCAGAAAGATCAATAAAGATGTCAACCGAATCGTTACTTGGACTGAGAATCATGGACTGAGACTAAATCACGAAAAGACAAAACCGATTGTAATCTGTCACCCTCGACTTCACCCTTCAATTGACTTAGACTCAATAAACCCAATCACAGTGAGCGGCAAAGCACTTCCCTACTACGACAAAGTAAAGAATCTTGGCATATCTTTCAACTCTTCACTTACTTGGGACACAGCAGTTACGGACACACGAAAAAAGGTTTTTGCCTCCATACATTCACTGAAAAGATTGCAGAACTTTTTGCCACAACACACAAATTAACTTAATTTGATCAAATCACTTGTACTGCCCCACTTCAGTTACTGCAACTCATTGATCAATGACATGACTGTGATTCAGGCGGGTATGCTCCAGCGGTCTCAGAATTATTGTTTGAGATTTGTCTATGGTCTGCGGCGTGAGGAGCATATTACGCCATACTTCCTTGAGGCAAACATCTTGAAATTAAACTATCAAAGATCCATCAAAATTTTGTCATTGGTCTTTTTAATTTTGAAATCAGGCTCCCTAAAATATTTTACATCTGATTTTAAATTTGTGTCTCAGGGTAGTTCACAAATTTTTTGTTCTTCTTTGATCACATTGTGTATACCTCATCATGGGACCACTGCTTATGACAGGGCTTTTGTTGTTACCGCTTGCCGTCTTTGGAACAGCCTACCCCTGCGCATTAAATCCCTTGATAAACGTTTCCAGTTTGTGGCGGCACTAAAAACTCATTACTTTGAGCAAATGGTCTCGTCCTAGGGCTTCTGCGTCTTTGCGCGATTGCTTGTGCGTGCGCGTGTGAGAGTGAGAACGTGTTTTCTTTTGTCTTTTCTATTTATAATAATTATTATTTGTAAAATTGCATTCTTGTTTAATCTGTTCTTGATGTGTTAAATATATAGATTTATATTAGATTAAGAAATTTCATTCTATTTTTATTTATTTATATTTAAGTTTGTCAGGTTAAGTGTAAGAGAGGGCCATGTGGCCCTAACTTTGCCTGGTTAAATAAAGAATTGTTCATATCATTTCATTTTTTATTTCATTCATTTCAAGCAAGCTAGAGCAATTTGAGACTGGTCAGTTGATTCACCATTACAATACAAGAAACAGTAAACAAATAAGGTTGCAAAGTCACCAATTAAAAATGATTGAGTAAAAACCAAATTATATCGGATCCTAATTTTTAAACAAAATTTCTCCCATGATACATCCAAATCAACATTTGTTGAAATTTGAAAGAAAATTAAAAGAACATTTAGTTGAGAGAGCATTATACTCACTAGATGAGTTTTTAAATAACTAAGATTGATTAATGCCTATGATTGAACAATTGCCAACAGAAATTGTATTAGTTATAAGGGTTAGTTTTAAGAAATGTATGACACATTTTTAATGTACTAATCTTATATACAAAACAAAAACAATGAATAAAGCATGTTTGACTTGAACTTGGCTCAAAACTCTAAGCTGAGGCCAACTTCGTGATCCTTGGTTTGCTTCATCCACTACTATTCTAGCCTGTTTCAGACTTCCAGAGCTGACAGTAGTCCTTGGTAGTCTTATAAAGACATTCCCTATTAGTTCGACAATCTATTTGTTTCAATCAAACCGCTATTTCCAGGCAAATTCCCATAACCACCGCTTCAAACAAGACTGACAACAGTCAGCTTTTACCATGAAAAACATTGTACAAATTAATGTCTGAGACCTCCTCCAAACTTCCTCCACCACTTACACACATTTCCTAAGTCTAAACATATTACTTAATTCTTGATCCGTTAACTGGCTATGGACTTAAATCTTGGTTGATCACCGAGACCACAGAAAACTTAATATCAGTATGCGATTTTTGGTTGGAATTAGTGTTAATTTTCTTTGCCAACAGTTTTTAATACCATAATGAAACTAATGCACAACCATACATAAAACTGCATAGTTACTCCCAGTGTTCACTCCTGATTGTTTGACAGCTGGTGCTGGTGGCCAGAGATCATGCGTCCCCCAAGTGGTACGAGGCTCTGAGGTTCCTCACTATCATCCTGCAGGACGTAGATGACAACTTGCCACAGTTCACAGAGTCTCAGCCTTACATGTTCCACGTCATGGAGAACCTGCCACCCAGGTCCCGCATAGGTGAGTCTAGTATGAGGTTACCTAAATACTGCCTTCTTTCTAGTTCATTGTGAACCATTAACAAAATATATCTTTTGCGGACTGTAAACAATGATTTATTAATATATAGTTGCTTCACAATAATGATAATAGAGTGGTAAATTAAACAACCAGCTGTCCCTCGATTACCCAACATTTTTTGTAATCTGACATACGTTGTAGTCCAAAAAGGTACAGTCAGTCTCATTGGCGGAAACAAAACCAGTCTGCAGCGACATGAATCCCCCTTCCCCGGACTGTACTGAATATATCGTCATTGTACAGCATGGTTAAAAAATTACATGTCAGGTCCTTTTTGTTTACATCTTTGTGTTTTCATAATAACAACCCAAATGCTTATGAGTTATTAATTCAATACCATGTTGCCTAAAAATAAATGTTATCTTGTCACAATGCATTAGCCTACATACAAATTATAACCAAGTGATAACGTTTCACTGTTTAATTGCACCAAAAATGAAATGGTTAACAGTTTTTGTTGCCTGTTTTTTTTTATCCATTATTGGTTTTTATAGAGCAGTGCCACAAAGACTGCAAATGGATTTTGTTTGTAATTTTTGCAATCTGCAAGAATGTACTTTTTTAAACTTTAGTATTTTTAAACAACCCCTTTTATTGCACAGAGGAATCCAGTCCCGCCCCAAAAATCGGAAATGATATAAAAGTCTCATCCCGTCCATTCCTGATTGAGATGGATGTCAGAATAGATGAGGAATAAAATGCCATTATTATAGACTAGCTGTTACCCACGGGCTTCGCCCCGTTTGACATCATAAGTATTAATAAAACTATCGATTGGTTAAGTTAACCTGAAATAAACAAAATACAGTAAAAGAAACAAATAATCACACCTGATTTTAATAAGGTAATAAATTGAAAGAATAACAAACAAATAAGTACAGCTGAGGTATTTTTAACATTAGGTATATGAAAAGTTCCCTTTAGAAAGGAATTACGACCTTAAAGGGCAATTTATGACATAATGGATAATTTTGCGCAAGGTTTCTCGTCATGACGAACATTTTAAGTATATGGTTTATGGGGGTGTGACTTGTAGTTTTCTCAAAAGTTCATGGGTACTTTTGGCTTTATATATAGATATGGTTTATGGGGGTGTGACTTGTAGTTTTCTCAAAAGTTCATGGGTACTTTTGGCTTTATATATAGATTTGAAATTCAAATTTTTGAACCTGTTGAAGAAAATTAAAAAAGAGAAAAACATTTAAAAGGAATTACATTCACAAAATGAAACCATGGAAAAGTATAGTAATGTCTAGCGATTTTAGAGAATAACGTGTGGATTACTAACAGATGCAAAATTGTAACGGCAGAGTTGGGGTATTTAAGGTCATTAACACACTACTGTTCTTTGAAAGTATACTTCACATTCCACCATAATGTATAACTAGAACCGTGGGATTAGTGGCAACTAAACATTTAGGCACTTCTCTCTACTACATTACATCACCAATTTAGATGGGGACACTACTGGATGTATAATTCAACCAAAGTTATGAGTGTATGAACAAGGCCATGCTGCAGGATCCATGATGTCACACTAGTGGATGGATTTGTTGATAGATTCAATGCCATATCCCTATGTTTTAGGTAACTAAGCTGGCTGTGTTATCCACCACTGTGACGTAGTGTTGCGCTGCCGCATTGCCTTGGTAGGAAGGAGTGAGATGCCTTGTATGGATTTGTTAGTGACTAAGATCAGATGGTTCTTTAGCTAAAGACCTTTAATAGCCCAATCATCATGCATAGCTGGGTCCAGTTTCTATCCATCAAAAAGCTACTGACTTTCGCATGGTGACCAGCAATATTCACATATTGACGATTAATCAAGATTTATTTTTACCGAATATTTGGTAAATGATAGAGATGGAATTGTTTCTAATCATAATAAGTCATGAAAATTCAGCCAAAATAACTAAAATACTGTTGTGCTGTGCACACAGTATTCATTGCTATGTGAGATTGTTCATCAATATTATAATCTGGTTTAGGCAAGGTGATGGCTGTGGACAAGGATGAAGGAGAGAATGCTAAAGTCTACTACTACATTGTGGAGGGCAATCATGACCGCAGCTTCATCGTGGACCGTCTGGACGGCACTATATACAGCAACACCAGTCTAGACAGGGAGACAAGAGATACTTACGAGATATACATCAAAGCAACTAACGACCCTGACTATTATGTTGCCAAGGTTTGTACCATACTTCTCTAATCTAATCCATGTATTACTTAAAGTTTGAGTAACACCATTAGGTGGTGTATTGAAAACGCCAAGTATGAGTTAAAGATTAGCATAGCAACATTAAACATAGCCTCCTCTAATACAAGGCCGTGGCGTTGGTGTTTGGCAACATTGCACCTGCATGCCTATTCCCATGGTAATAACAGGAAACAAACTTGTAAACATAAACATTGCACATACACTCCGTTATAAAATAGTGCAACGGCGGTTACAGTATGCCAGGTCTGTGGTGTTACCACTTTTGTATAAAATAACAGATTAAACGGTCTTGTATTAGAGGAGGCTATGTTTGTCAAGCTTAGTTACTGACTAAAACAAACTGTTTCTTACTCACCTTATGATAAACAACAGCTTGATGAGTTTATTTTAATTTTATTTTTTCTTCGAAATTAGCACATTTTTATTTACATAAAAATTAAACACCCCTGCCGCAGCAAACCTGCAGACTAAGCGAATTTCCATTTTCCTGGCTGGATTTCTACTAAAATATTCCCTTAAAATTGTCAGATTTATATCCTAAAATTTTGATGAGTACACTACTTAGGTTTGCTGCTACAGGGAAGGTATTGGGTGTGTTTTTCTTTTGAAATTTTGATAGCTTAGTATGGAATTCTGGTTGACATTTTCATTATCAAGGTGCTCTTGTCCTTTCCGTGAAACACTGAGAAATAAGGACATTAATGCGTTACCAACAGACATACACAAAAAAATACAGAACTTAATTAGGGAATTTGCTACGCTTTAAGCATAACAAAGTACGTATAAAATTAGTACTTGAAATCTTTGTTAATGTCATAAAATTTTTTCATATCAAATTTTATTTGCTTGGACCGAAGTTGACCCGAAATTCAGTCGAAATGCTATATGAATCGGTTTGCTATATGAAATGAAGTACAGTAAATCTATAGGTGATTTAGATTGGTAATTTATAATAAAAATTACCAAAATAGGCCACGAACTATTGATACATAAACAACGTTCAAAGCGTTTGAACAATTCATGATGGTTTGCTGAATAAATGTTTTACTGAAATGCGTCATTGTTTTCTTAGCATAAACTAACATTTTGGAATCCAGACGGAAAAAGCAAAACTTATACAATTAAGACATCAATTAAATTGAATACGCCTGTAATAAATAAGGTGCAATACCAACAATAACTAATTTGTAAATTACAGTGATGTGTTGGTACGTAAAAATGATTCTTGCTGCTACCAACGGTTCAAAGGAAAAGAACCAGTACCGTACCAAAAACCAACGTTTACAGTTAAGAACTATAGTACATCCGACCAATTATATGCGTTAATCAAGGTTATTTATCTCTTGGTTTTGGATTTTCTCGTAAAAAGTTATCGGTGTCAGCTTGAAAAAAAAAACAACCTTATAAAACAACTTTCTGTTATTTAATAGATTACGTATTCCCTAAACAATGATGTGTGACACATTGGAAAAGCGAGTTTAGCATCATCCGTAAACCTCTGTTACAATCACCCACTGCAGTTGTGATTTTTTACTTTACACTTTACACAACCGCCATTGAAGCGCCGTCAATGAGTGGAACCTTGTTTCTAAGCTATTGGCGACGATCATTAATAAATTGAAGTTTCCCAGCCGTCACAACACTGATTCAATGTCTTCTTTCTGGTTATCAAAACTCCAGAACAATTTTATACACAAAGAATCTCTGGTTCCTGACCTGGATGATGCCTAGTTATTTAAATTAATTTACGGTTACACTATATTACAGTCCAACCTCAGTATAACTAATCTGAAGGGACCGAACTGAATATTCGTTATATCAAGGGTTTCGTTAAAACGAGGTTCGTTATATAGAGGTTATGTTTGCAGGAATTTCGCTAAGTCGAGGTTCAGAACCAGCGTCGGTCAATATAGGTCGGGATTAGACATCATTAAAACACAATTAAAGTAGCATAGGCTACAATACTTTACAGTACAGTGTTTACTTGTTTACATTGTACAGTAGAACCTAAATTATCCGGCATAATAAAGGGGAGGGATCTGGAATATTGCGCAATCATGACAATGGCATTGACCTTGGTACAGGTTAAAAAACTGTAAGTTTAAAATCACAGCTTGTTCTAACCCTCCTAAAACCTAGCCAAACACTGTATTGCGTAGTCATAAACCATGTAAAGAACAAAACAAAACAGTAGTAGAAAGTTTTGTAAGCTACTGCTCGTGATAGGCCGGTAGGCTACTTACAGTACAGTACTGATTTATCACAACAGAGGAATGTCAATAATAATCATTAACTATAGCATTGGTGTTGCTAGTTGAAACAAATCGTATTGAAAACAATACAGTAAATTATTAGATAAGACATTATAAAAGTGTATAATCATAGCCAACCTAAAGATAATAAAAACACTCGAAAAAGGAATGTTAAAATAACGATGTTGCTATTCTTTCTCTTTGGTTTTGTTTTTATATTCTTTCTTAGGTTTCTCTTCATCCAAAAATTGTACAATTCACCATAGTTACTTATCGCCCAATCACAGCTTACTAAACATTACGTCGTCATCAGTCCTCAGTGAATGAAATCAGTTCTCAGTTGCAACATTGCGTGCGCAGCGACAGCAGACAGAGATGTGTAAAACCACGTAAAACGGAGCAGACGAATGTTAGCGCAAGCGATGACGTCACCTTTCCATTTCATTTGATAAAGAAACAGATTTTTCAAAAACAACAAGGGGGTGGGGGATTTGTTATATCGAGGGAAAGACGTAGACAATTCGTTATGCAGAGGTTAAATTCGCAATGTAGAGGTTCTGACAATGATAAATTCGCTATATTGAGGTGTCTTATTTTAGCCGAAATCACGAAAAATTCGTTAAATCAAGGTCGTTGTTATGGTTTGTTCGTTATGTAGAGGTAAAATATAACATTGTGTCTTATGGAGAGTTCTAGGGGATTTAAAAAAATTCGTTATATCAAGGAATTCGTTGTATCGAGGTTCGTTATATCAAGGTTAGACTGTATTCCACTTGCGATTAATCAAATCCTTTATGTAAGAAAAACGTTTTTAATCTCACTAGGATGAGATTTGCCTTCAAAACAGGATCGGAAATAGTTGCGGTATTTGTAAACAACATTTGTAAACATATCAGTGAGAGCTAGAAAAAATAATCTTGATACGAACAGCTGTTTGTTATTTCATAGATGATTATGTGATAAAAATTGGACAAAAACTTCCGTAATTTTATTTTATTTATTTATTTTATTTTAACACTTACCACTAACCACTTACCATCTTTTGTATATTTACCGTCTTGTGAGTAACAGTATAAGAGTAAATATATGTTTTAAGTGTTATAAGACGTATCTTTATTTACTTTCCGTAAATTTAATAACACGTACAATGCTGATCAAGAAGTTATTTAGTATTTTATTTACAAAGTATTGAGGCCATATTTTAATGGTTAAAGACACTCTCACCAATCCAGAGAATACATTTAAATGACTTGGATCTTGACAGGTACTCTCGTTTTCCTGGAGAAGATTGCGTAAAATGCCATCTTGAGTGTTACAGACGGACAGAAATTTAGATGAGACTTGTTTCGGCTTCTTTAATGTTTAAAATGTAAAAATAACCTAAAAATTTATGATTCTGAGCAATGTACAGACAAAACTCTAATTTTATTTATATAGATGTAAACCTGTAAAACATTAGATTATATAACTCATAAACCCCCGCCGCAGCAAACCTGCAGACTAAGCGAATTTCCATTTGACTGATTGGATTCACACTGAAATGTCTACTTACAAATATAACATTTATTCTTGATTTAAATAGAATTAGTTTAAAAACAAGTACTTAGGTTTGCTGCATCAGGGAGGGTAAAACTGCTTTTTTTTGTAAAATGTGAATAGTTAGTAAGAAATAAAAACATTTTCCAAATTTGATCAAGATATGTTCACAAACAAGCAAACTACAACATTTTACTTATTCTCCATAAGAATAACATGGGAATTTTAAATTTACAATTTTTTGGAATTTTCTCCGTAACCATTAGGCGCATAATAACGCTTCAATATACTAAATTATTTGTTTTTTTAAGCTCTACAAAATAGTTTGGAAAGAAATTGCTAAATTTTATGTTTTTTGGTCAAAAATGGGAAAAACCTATTTTTACTCCATAAAACCCCCCGTAAACCCCCTTTCCCATGGTCCGATCATGCTGGATCGCAAACTCGTTAGAATAAACGTACGTTTACACGTTTGTACCAAATTTCATCAAAATCGGATCATTTTTGCTCGAGTTATCGTGCTGACGGACACATATATATATATATATATAAATATATAAATATATATATATATATATATATGAATTTGAACGGATGGTGTTTTTGGCCTCTAGGGACCTCAAAACGAAAAAAAACATCGGTCCCGCGTCCAGGTCTTACCATGAGTACTACGGTAATAGCTTATTCCCTATATGGGAAATTCGCTAAAAGAAGTGTAAAATCATATTTAAAGATAATAATAACACCACTCAATAAAGTGTATAAAGATAAAAACATAAAAACGTCATTATACTTTCTCTTTGTTCTTCTATTCTTTCTTGGGGTTTCCTTCATCCACGCATTCAACAAGTTGCCATTGTTTAATCACCCCATTAGAGAAATCTAGAGTGAAAGAGGTATAAAGATTACTTCTGTACTAACATGTCAAATGAGAAGGCTAGATGCTAATATTCCCTCAGTAATTAATCAGTACTTAATTTTCACAATCATTGTTTTTTTTATTTTACAGGATAGCAGCTTGCCTACAAATGCCACCAGTGTGGCACATGTTCGGATCGTTGTACTTGATGAGAATGACAATGCGCCCATGTTCCAACAATCTGTCTACTACGCTGGTAAGTTTAAATCTGATTGCTTGGTAAATGTAGCTTAATAATATTTATCTTAAAGTTAATGATAAAAATTAAAAATAGTTGATTTCAAGGAGTTTGTACCTACATTTTACGGCTATGATTGAAGGGTAAAACATAATATAAGGGCTTTTGTAAGTACAACTCTAGAATCACAAGTTTTTGTAAATTTCAGGAGCAACATTAGGATTGCAAATCTGCTAATAAGGCTTGGAGTCAGTCACTTTTCATCAACCAAGCTAACTATTAACGTTGTTAATGGCAAACTCAGCAGTCCAACGACACATTAGGCTCACATTAGGAATTTTGAAAACAGGCTTTCCAAAATATTTCAAATTCAATTTTAATTTTGGGTCTCAGGGTAGTTCACGAATGTCTCGTTCTTCTTCGATCACATTGCGTATACCTCATCATGTGACCACGGCTTATGACATAGCTTTTGTTGTTACCGCTTGTCGTCTGTGGAACAGCCTATCCCTGCACATTAAGACACTTGGAAAACGTTAACAGTTTGTGGCGGCAATAAAGAAGCTCTACTTTGAGAAGATGGTCTCAGTTGGCGTGTCGTATGGCTACTGCTTCTTTGCAAGTTTGCTGATGCGTGTATGCGAGAGTGTGTAAATGTGGTTTTTATTGTCAAATTTGCATGTTTTTACTTTTTTTTTCTGAGAAATGTACAGTACTTAAATTGTTAAATATGTTTCATGTTTAATTAGATTAAGTAATCCCATTGTACAAGGTGAGGCATAATAACAAGCGATTTTAAAAATACTGTTAAATAAAAACCCTTTGTTAAACAATTATTTTTATTCCACAATATTAAAAAACATGAAAAAGCATTTTCTGCAACAGTAAAATGTCAGTTATTTCTTGAAAATAACTCCAGTAAGATGGCGTCCGTTTAAACGTACACATTCCTCCAGCCGGACCTTGAAGTGACTCATCACATTTCGTAGCATTGCCAGTGGGATTTGACCAACTTCCTGCCGGATCCGCTCTTTTAGGGCTTCAATTGTTCTAGGAGGATTACCTTGGTAAACCTTACTTTTCAGATAACCCCACAAGAAAAAATCACATGCTGTGAGGTCAGGTGAACGAGAGGGCCATGCAATATCTCCATTTCGGGAGATCACACGATTTGGAAACAACTGATTGACAATATGCATGCTTACTCGAGCAGTGTGGGATGTTGCTCCGTCTTGCTGGAAAAACATTTCATCGTTCACTTCGTACTGTCCAAGTTGTGGAGTAAAAAAGTTGCCCAACATCTCTGCGTATCTCTGCGAAGTCACTGTCACCGCATTGCCTTGGCCATCTTCAAAGAAGTATGGCCCTATTATCCCTAATGAAGACATGGTGCACCACACAGTTACTTTTTTGGAATGCAATGGCTGCTGATGCAGTTCTCTAGGGTTAACATCACTCCAAAATCGAAAGTTTTGCTTGTTAACATAACCTGAGAAATGGAAGTGCGCTTCATCACTCATCCACAAACGGTTTACAATGTCCTCGTCTTCATTAATCAAATCCAAAAATTCTAAGCTGAACCGGCTTCTGCTTACAAAATCCGTTTCCTTTAGGGCCTGAACCATTTGGATTTTGTACGGGTGGAAGTGCAAATCTTGGTGTAAAATTCGTCTTACCGTTCGGTTTGAAATCCCAAGTGTAACGCTGTGTCGGCGAGCTGAGCGACGAGGGCTTCTGTCAATGGCGACTCTTACACGTTCAACGTTTTCAGGTGTGCGCACAGTTTTCGGTCTTCCTGTTTTCTTCCTTGTCGTTGACGCAGTCTCTTCAAAGTTCTTAACCCAATTTTTAATCGCACAGGCAGATGGCACCGGCTGATTCCGATTAATGTTGAAATGGTTGCGGAATGCACGACGTGCTAACTGGTATGAACTACCGTTTTGATAAAAGGCTTTGACAGCGTACGCACGATGCTGTGGGGTCCAGCGCTCCATTGTGACTAAATGCTATTTCGCGCCAAACGTAACTGATGCTATCCCCTCCACCTCCCTCCAACGCAGCTTGGTTCGCGCGCTTTTTAAAATCGCTCGTTATTATGCCTCACCTTGTATTATTATTTCTATATATTTATGAATGTCAGGTTAAGTGTAAGAAAATATAAACGAGTTTTTATATAATTTAATTTCATTTAACTTTCTGTGATAACTACAATACATTAGCAACCATTTCCCATGACATCATGGAATTAATGTGACTATCTTCCAGAACAGTGTAAGCATTTTGATCATCCTTGTAAACTCTGCAACTCTACAATCTACTCCCACGGTCACAGTGATGAGCATCATTTGAGACTGTAACAACATTTTGATCATCCTTGTAAACTCTGCAACTCTACAATCTACTCCCACGGTCACAGTGATGAGCATCATTTAAGACTATAACAACATTTCCATCTGTAATATCAACACTTCTACCAATGAAAACAAACCCTTTAAGAAGCGCAATGCCTTTGCTAAAAATTCAGTCTGGAAATATTTGAATTTTCGATGGTTCCTGCGGCGGCCGCTAGGTAGACTATCACAAGCACGCAGCCAAGTCAGCTGACTAAGTGAGAGAGAGTGAGACAAAGAATCTGCTTAGAAAGAGAGAGAGAGATTTAGAGTAGCGCAGCCGCCCTGCGGGTGATCGTAGCACTGGCCGCGTGAAGCTCATTTCTGACTCAGTCTGACTATTCTCCATATAAGCATTTTGCTTCTTAAAGGATTTCTATTCATTGCTTCCACCCTCCCCCATATATTGTGACAACGACTACAGTAAACCCCGATCAACCTAAATAAAGCGGGCCAGCTGTTTTGAATAACCTATTTTTTTGGGTTAATTAATGGTTAAAATTTAAAAACTATTTTTATCCTATAGGCAAGTGTGATTCTTAAAAACTTTTTTTCTCAGCTCATGTGCAACACAGGGAAAATCTAAGCATAATGTTAGAAATATATTTTCCTGTAGATGTGCATAATCCCTTCATAAATTAAAAAGAGGCTCAAAAAAGAATTTAAAATAAAAAAAAAATTAACATGGGCCTAAAGGGTTGCCATGCCGGTGACGAAATAAAAACAGAAAATCAAAACAAATGTAAGAAATTCCAATCACATGTTTTATTTACAGCGTTCGGTGAAAGAAAAGTCTGTATATTATTTTTGGTTGAGTTTTCGACCACTGAACAAAATCTAGACTAGTTTTCTAGTCTGTATAAAATGATTGAAATGACAATGTTTTCTCAACTGATCCTTATGTGATCCGTGTTATTGCCTGGTCCATTACATTCCAAATGACCAAGCTGGACCCAACTCCCCACACCAAGTTTGACAGTTGTTGTTGGCTAGCTCATCTGTCAATTAATTGATTGATAATTTATGTTTCATTATGGTTTCAGTTATCTTGGGTGTTTGTGTATATCAGGGTGCAGGTACAAGAGCTGTTATTGTTATTGAATTTGCCATGATTAAAGTAGTGCATGTTTATATATTCCGATAGTAGTTATTAATTAAGTCAGTACAATGACTCAATTTCCTATAGGTTTTACTGAAAATCCCCTTTTTATAGTCTGTTCACAAAATTTAGGTGGTTTGAGGGGAAGTTTTTATAGGGTTACCAACCACTTAAAAAATTTAAATTACAGCCAATTGCTGGTTTTAGCTTACTGACAGCTGTCCGGCTGTTGTTTCAATCATAGGTTAACGTAGAAGGGATGGAGCTGCTTCCCCTTCAACCGCCTAAATTTTATACAAACAAGTCTTAAAAGACACACCAGTTTTCTAAAAATAGTAAAGGGTTTTCTATTTTGACTCTTGTATATATTTTGTAAAGTAAAGTAATGGTGGTCGGTTGCAGGAGTGAACGTGATGGCAGACACAGGCCAGTTCCTGACTGAAGTGATAGCCTCAGACCCAGACGCTGGACACAACGCCAGTCTCACATACATGGTGGTGGCGAGTCACTTGTATCGTGGTGGCGCCACTGTCTCGTCTGGCTCTGTCGTGCCATCGCCCTTCAGTGTGTCGCCCAGTGGCCGAGTACATACTGTCACACTGGTCGCTGAGTACAACCAAGACCGCTTCTTGCTGGAGTTGGTCGCCAGAGAGAATGCTCATCCTTTCAGAGAGGCTAAGGCTACTGTGCATGTGAGTCTGTTAAAGCATATCCTCCTCTAATACATGGCTGTATGGCTTGTTAGTGTGTGGCAATGGCGCACAGATTTGCCTATGGCCATGGTAATAATAGTAATAACAAACTTGTAAACATAATCATTGCGCAGAAGCTCCATTACGCCGCGGCCTTGTGTTAGAGAATTCCCTACTTAAAGTCATTGATATTTTTGTTTTCATATCCTGAACTGTTGAGCCAACCACAAATCACAAAAGTGTAGATAAATATAAATATGCCCTTCTCTTCTTAAATTTAACTTACTTAACTAGTATTCCGCCTCTGAAGTGATTTAGTTTCTTAAATCCTTTATTGCTAAGGTTAGAGCTGTCAAGAAATTCTGTCATCAATAGGGGTCTGCAGGTCAGACTTTTTTGGTTTGGGTCGGTTCAATAATTTTGGCTTTCAGGTCGGGCAAAAAATCATTAAATTACAGATTTGTTTGGTTTTATTAAATCTTCTATCTGTGTTTATAATATTACTTAATGATAAAATATGAAAAAAAGATTTTATTTATGTAGGCCTATATTATATTATTTCTTTTTTATATCTTACTACGTGTTACCCACGGGCTTCACCCTGTTTTACTCCATAAGTATTAATAAAACTGATTAGTTAAGTTAAGCTGAAATAAACAAAACAGAATACAGTAATACAAACAAATAAGTATAGCTGAGGTATTTTTAACATTAGGTATATGGAAAGATCCCTTTAGAAAGGAATTACGACCTTAAAGGACAATAATTTGTAAATTTTTTCTTTACAACTTCAAAGGTGTGTTACAACTATTAACACTAATGTGATGTTTTGTAAAATCACGTAAAAAACTTTCGCATTTCATGCCATTTAAAATGATGTAACGATGTAACCCATAAGGTTATTGCTGTATTAAAAGTTTGAATAATTAACTCAAAACTGTGTCAAGGTCAGAGTTTTCGGAATCAAAACAGTGAACCAAATGTAATATAGTATCTGTCAATTTCTTTGTTATCTTTTAATCACCTGACATCTGATCAGCTGGGTGTTAAACTTTGTTTACAAAACCAGCTGATTGCAATTGTTGGCTCGTAAACATTCAAACTATTAACCATTATTTTATAATTCTATGACAAAGATTCAGAATAAATTTGATAAAAATCTAGGTTTAATACATTTTTCAGATAAACCAAATAAATCCTATAGAGTCTGGTTTCTGGATTTTTAATCAAAGCCAATTTTTAAAATGTCCACCATTTTTGCTCTTATACATGTGCAGATTTTTTCATAAAGTTTCTCACTGTTGCCTTTAATTTTAGCTCCTCTTGAAGAAGGTTGGAAGCTATTAAAGTACGATTTCTTAGCTCATCCGCTGTTGGAACTGGTGTTCGGTTTTTCCTGTTTGAGGTAACCACAAGCATAGTAGTCCATTGGAGTCTGGTGACTCTGGTGGCCAAGCAATTGATCCGCCCCTTCCAATCCACATGGGGAAAGTATTTCCAATGTAAATTCGCACACCATTATCGAAGTGGGGAGGTGCACCATATGCTTGTCAAACTTTTTGCTGAAGCACATCCAACGGGATGTTTTCAATGAACCTTGGTAGAGTATCAGTAAGGACGTCGAGATACTGATAGCAGTTTAATGAATATGGAAGATCAATGAAAGGGCCAACTAACTGGTTTTAGAGTAATCCGTCCCATACATTCACTTTAAACCTTGTTTGGTTTCGACAATGGTGTATCACATGTGGGTTTTCTGTAGCATAATGAATGATGTCCATTATGGATGTTGTAACAGAGCGACATAACTGAAGTCTCTGTAGACAATCTCTTGGTTCAATAATCTGTACTCGTGTGAAATAGGAGGGATGCAATTTTTCCTTGCTCAATAGCTAAGAAATACCTAAGTCTCGAGAAACTGTCCTTGTTCTTGACCGTGGATCGTCCTCAAACCACCCCTGACACATCTGACACACCTTCTTCAACACCCACATCTTATACCACGTTCCCAACAGAACGATGTTTAGTGCTCATGGAAACTCGTATGGACACTGATGAATCTTCATTCATTTGAAAGTCACCTATTATTAAACTAACGACTGTATTCACGCCAGATTACAGCCACATTTGAGAACAGAACCTTTAAAATAAAATCATATCAAGATACTTCCTTGGTGAACACCGACATAGCACTAAACAATTATAATATTTTCCAAGTATATTTATGAAATAGTTAATAATTTGAATGTTTACGAGTCAACAAAGGAAATCAGCTGGTTTTGTAAACAAAGTTTAACACCAAGCCGATCGATCAGATGTCAGCTGATTAAAAGATAACAAAGAAAATAACAGATACTGTATTACATTTGGCTCAATGTTTTCATTCCTAAAACTCTGACCTTGATGCAGATTTGACAAAACTTTTCAAACTTTTAATACAGCAATAACCTTATGGGTTAAATCATTTTAAAGGGCATAAAATGCGAAGTTTTTTACGTAATTTGACAAAACATCACATTAGTTTTAATAGTTGTAACACCACTTTGAAGCTGTAAAGAAGTAATTTACAAACCATTATTCTTAAAGGTCGTGAGCAAACTTAATATTTAATTCTGATTTGAAAATTTAAATCCCTCTGCATTAATAGATATAATTAGTGATGGGCGGATCCAAGAAAATGTCGGTACCGGATCCGGATCGGGATCTTCGGATCTTCGGATCCGGATCCAGATACACACTATCATAAGGGCGGGTAAAAAAAAAAAACGTAATTAACAGAATGCCAATTTAAATCATACTTTTATTATTTTTTATCACGTGTTGCTTCGGGTGAGATTAAAATACTGACAGGATATTTTTGAGACAAAATTATAGGCCGTTAGCTTATCATCCAGGTACAAAACTAAAAACTAGAGGTGTGAAGATATCCGAAAAATCGGGTTGGATTCAGTTCGGAAAGATACATGCCATTGCCATATATGTTATTTATTTGTATCAAGAGACAAACACTGAAACATGGCCTTGCCATATAAGTTATTTGCACCAAGAGACAAACACTAAGACATGACCTTGCCATATAAGTTATTTGAATTAAGAGACAAACACTGAGACATGGCCTTGCCATATAAGTTATTTGCATCAAAAGACAAACACTGAGTCATAACCTTGCCATTCAAGTTATTTGCATCAAGAGACAAATACTGAGTCATGGCCTTGCCATATAAGTTATTTGCATCAAGAGGCAAACACTGAGACATGGCCTTGCCATACAAGTTATTTGCATCTAGATACAAACATCGAGACATGGCCTTGCCATATATGTTGTTTGCATCAAGAGACAAACACTGAGTCATAACCTTGCCATACAAGTTATTTGCATCAAGAGACAAATACTGAGTCATGGCCTTGCCATATAAGTTATTTGCATCAAGAGGCAAACACTAAGACATGACCTTGCCATATAAGTTATTTGAATTAAGAGACAAACACTGAGACATGGCCTTGCCATATAAGTTATTTGCATCAAAAGACAAACACTGAGTCATAACCTTGCCATACAAGTTATTTGCATCAAGAGACAAATACTGAGTCATGGCCTTGCCATATAAGTTATTTGCACCAAGAGACAAACACTAAGACATGACCTTGCCATATAAGTTATTTGAATTAAGAGACAAACACTGAGACATGGCCTTGCCATATAAGTTATTTGCATCAAAAGACAAACACTGAGTCATAACCTTGCCATACAAGTTATTTGCATCAAGAGACAAATACTGAGTCATGGCCTTGCCATATAAGTTATTTGCATCAAGAGGCAAACACTGAGACATGGCCTTGCCATACAAGTTATTTGCATCTAGATACAAACATCGAGACATGGCCTTGCCATATATGTTGTTTGCATCAAGAGACAAACACTGAGTCATAACCTTGCCATACAAGTTATTTGCATCAAGAGACAAATACTGAGTCATGGCCTTGCCATATAAGTTATTTGCATCAAGAGGCAAACACTGAGTCATAACCTTGCCATACAAGTTATTTGCATCAAGAGACAAATACTGAGTCATGGCCTTGCCATATAAGTTATTTGCATCAAGAGGCAAACACTGAGTCATAACCTTGCCATACAAGTTATTTGCATCAAGAGACAAATACTGAGTCATGGCCTTGCCATATAAGTTATTTGCATCAAGAGGCAAACACTGAGACATTGCCTTGCCTTACAAGTTATTTGCATCTAGATACAAACATCGAGACATGGCCTTGCCATATATGTTGTTTGCATCAAGAGACAAACACTCGGGGAAAAAACGGTCTTGTACATGGATACAGATAGCTTTGTGTTAGTAAAAAAATCTGGAAAAAATCGGGGTTGTATAGTGATACAGACAGATTTGTGTTGGTAAAAAATCGAGGTTGTAGAGTGATACAGACAGCTTTGTGCTAGTAAAAATATTCGGGGTTGTAGAGTGATACAGACAGCTGTGTGTTTAGTAATCAAATCGGTGTTGTACAGTGATACAGACAGCTTTGTGTTTAGTAAACAAATCGGGGTTGTACAGTGATACAGACAGCTTTGTGCTAGTAAAAACATTCGGGGTTGTAGAGTGATACAGACAGCTTTTTGTGTTAGTAAAAAATCGGGGTTGTACAGTGATACAGACAGCTTTGTGCTAGTAAAAACATTCGGGGTTGTACAGTGATACAGACAGCTTTGTGTTAGTAATCAAATCGGTGTTGTACAGTGACACAGACAGCTTTGTGTTGGTAAAAACTCAGGGTTGCACAGTGATACAGACAGCTTTTTGTCTTAGTAAAAAATCGGGGTTGTACAGTGATACAGACAGCTTTGTGTTAGTAAAAACATTCGGGGTTGTAGAGTGATACAGACAGCTTTGTGTTAGTATAAAAATCGGTGTTGTACAGTGATACAGACAGATTTGTGTTGGTAAAAAATCGGGGTTGTAGAGTCATACAGACAGCTGTGTGTTTAGTAATCAAATCGGTGTTGTACAGTGATACAGACAGCTTTGTGTTTAGTAAACAAATCGGGGTTGTACAGTGATACAGACAGCTTTGTGCTAGTAAAAATATTTGGGGTTGTAGAGTGATACAGACAGCTTTGTGTTAGTAAAAAAATCGGTGTTGTACAGTGATACAGACAGCTTTGTGTGTTAGTAAAAAATCGGGGTTGTACAGTGATTCAGACAGCTTTGTGTTAGTAATCAAATCGGTGTTGTACAGTGATACAGACAGCTTTTTGTTTAGTAATCAAATCGGTGTTGTACAGTGATACAGACAGCTTTGTGTTAGTAATCAAATCGGTGTTGTACAGTGATACAGACAGCTTTGTGTTGGTAAAAACTCGGGGTTGCACAGTGATACAGACAGCTTTTTGTCTTAGTAAAAAATCGGGGTTGTACAGTGATACAGACAGCTTTGTGTTAGTAATCAAATCGGTGTTGTACAGTGATACAGACAGCTTTTTGTTTAGTAAAAAATCGGGGTTGTACAGTGATTCAGACAGCTTTGTGTTAGTAATCAAATCGGTGTTGTACAGTGATACAGACAGCTTTTTGTTTAGTAATCAAATCGGTGTTGTACAGTGATACAGACAGCTTTGTGTTAGTAATCAAATCGGTGTTGTACAGTGATACAGACAGCTTTGTGTTGGTAAAAACTCGGGGTTGCACAGTGATACAGACAGCTTTTTGTCTTAGTAAAAAATCGGGGTTGTACAGTGATACAGACAGCTTTGTGTTAGTAATCAAATCGGTGTTGTACAGTGATACAGACAGCTTTGTGTTGGTAAAAACTCAGGGTTGCACAGTGATACAGACAGCTTTTTGTCTTAGTAAAAAATCGGTGTTGTACAGTGATACAGACAGCTTTGTGTTGGTAAAAACTCAGGGTTGCACAGTGATACAGACAGCTTTTTGTCTTAGTAAAAAATCGGGGTTGTACAGTGATACAGACAGCTTTGTGCTAGTAAAAATATTCGGGGTTGTAGAGTGATACAGACAGCTGTGTGTTTGGTAATCAAATTGGTTTTGTACAGTGATACAGACAGCTTTGTGTTTAGTAAACAAATCGGGGTTGTACAGTGGTACAGACAGCTTTGTGCTAGTAAAAATATTCGGGGTTGTAGATACTGACAGCTTTTTGTTTAGTAATCAAATCGGTGTTTTACAGTGATACAGACAGCTTTGTGTGTAGTAAACAAATCGGGGTTGTACAGTGATACAGACAGCTTTGTGCTAGTAAAAATATTCGGGGTTGTAGAGTGATACAGACAGCTTTGTATTAGTAAAAAAATCGGTGTTGTACAGTGATACAGACAGCTTTGTGCTAGGAAAAAATTTGAAAAAATCGGATCCATAAAAACCGGATCCAGCCCAAGATCCGGAATTTTTTGGATCCGATCCGGTGCCGGTTCTAGCTCGGATCCGGCAGATCCGGTAGTCCGATATCCGGATCCGACCATCACTAGATATAATATAAGAGTGTTTCTTTGAAAATAAATGATTATTCTTTTTTTGGCCCAACCCGATCTTGGCCCGAACAAATCTCTGACTCGATCCGGTCTCTTGGGCCTTCCGCTGGCCCTACCCGAAAATATCGGCGACCCGCAGACCCCTAGTGATCAATAAACACAATATTCAATTAGATTAGTTTACAATATTGCAAGTTTGATGTTATTTGCAGGTTTGGGTGTATGAGCAGCCGCAGCTGATCAGAGTGATTCTGTCTCGGCCACCTGAGGAGGTGAATCGCCAGAGAGAAGGCATTGTCTCTGAGCTGTCCAACGCCACACAGAGCATCGTGGTAGTTGATGACATCCGCTACCATCTCAACCAACTTGGCCACAAACAGACTGACTGGTGTGTACCGGTACCTGTTAGTTATGTACAGTAGAACCTCTATTAACTGTCACACCCTAGGTCCGACTAGACGGGTAACAGAAATCCAGTTATAAACCTGTACAGGAAGTTGATTTAAAAAGTTCTGTAAGTAATCAAACCCTGTACAAGTGAATAAGACATATTTATGTATTATATTTCAAAAATGTACATACAAGAGTAATACAGAACTGTTATACAAGGTGTTTATAAAAAAAACTTTACAACTTTAACATCTTTATATCCTCTTTGCATGTAAAATACAAGTTTTTTTTTAAACACCACATGAAAGAGTGGCTCAAAAAGTTTTTTGTCATTCTGCAGCAAAAACAGCGGTTTTTTAATGCATGCGTTGCGGGTCTAAAGAAACATTTTTACTCTCTAGGGGGTAAAATTCAGCTACGGTATTGTAAACTGTTAGTTATGAATTTTGATTGTGGCAATTGTATCGATCAAAATTATTTATCGATTGATTTATTAGGTAAGTTCATATTGATGTTATTTGGTCCAGGATCACTTCTTGAATAATAAAATGGTATAATATATAATATAGTTTCCGTCTGTGATCCTACGTTGTATAGAGCAACCAGTTTCAAGGTTATAACCTCATCTTCAGGCTCTTGTTGTCACTCTTGCGAGATCGTCGAGTTTTACAAACACACAAAAACACTAACATTTAAATAAATGAACACGAGACATTGACAGACGAAGACGATTAACATAAATTCGGGAACTAGTTCCACACACGACGCGGCACAGGCAAACGTTTTGTCATGGGACCAGTCATGCAGAATTGAAAACAAGCTGGAAGTCGTTTTGAGAGGTTATCTTTACATAAAAATTATTTTGTTTTCTAGCTTTAATATTAATGATGCAATATGACAAAAAAATATAGTTCACCACACGGGCAAACAGTGACTATTATCCTCGCTCATTTTCCGAGGCCCTAGTGATGAAATATACTATTAATCTGTAGCAGTTATATCAGCTGATTGGTTTATGTTTTTGCTTGGTAGACAATAACAAATACTTGATGAGTATATGATGCATCAAATCAAATCGGGATTTAGATTTATTTTCGATGCTTCGCACACCCCTACACAATACCTGCTCCACAAAAAATGTAGTCTATCAACTTCAATGCAACCATTTTCCATCTCAATATATTGGATTTACCACCATCAGTTTCAGAACAAGAATTAACAATCATAGGACAGACATCAAAACAACCACCCAGACAAACCAGTGCTTATTTATGCTGCCAGCCACAATATACAAGATTTAAACAGATTTTTTTGTTAAAAAATAATAAGATCTTTTCCTCCCACCTGTAAATAAGATCTTTTCCTCCCACCTGTAGTAACCCATCACAACTAAGGAGATGGGAACTTTCATATCAATGGTTTACCAAAACCAGGGAGCCCCCAAACCTCAATCTCAGATAACAATTTCCTTTCCCCTTTCCATACCTAAAGCAGGCTTGGACTCTTGTAATAATCAATGACTCTATTCATTTGTTAAATATTCATTTGTAAATTCAAATTGTCCTTTACCAGTGAAAAACTTCCAGAATCTAATGTGACTCTTAATGTTAAAAAAGGGTCCTGTGGCCTCGAAATATCCCGTGTTTTCTTTGTGCTTTATTTTGTGTCACATTAGTGAATGAAGTGGAATTCCTGCAATGTTTAAGTTAAGCCTGCTTATCCTGCCCTATGCATCCTTAATTCTCAGGCAATAAGCCCTTTCTAATCTAAACTAGATAAATAAAACAATTAGACTTGACTTAAAGTGCTAAAAGAAATATTGTTTTAGGTGTGACATGTATCTTCATGTGGTCAACCCCAAAACACAGACAATCACCCCAGTCCCTGAGGTTCTGAAAGTCATTGATGCAAAATATGACTTCCTCAAGGATTGTTATGCTGGATTTGCCATTGAAAATGTGATCGTAAGTAATTGTTTTCAGACTACATAGTACAGAAAATACTGTTTACTGGTTAATATTTTGTTAGCTATCATACTTATAAGTTAAACATTGTAATGAGTATGCCTACTGATTACAGCCAGCATTTGTGCGTGTGAGGGAGGATACCTTTGAGCCAGCCCTTGCTGCATTGATCGCTCTTCTAATAGTCCTCTTCGTAGGCTGTGTGTCTGTCATTGTTGTCTGCTGCTGCTTCAGACATTGGTAAGTTGTGTTTAATCAGTTGCTTCTGCATTCAGCTATTTTGGTGAATATAGCTTTTGCTATTGCATATACAACAGTATTGGAAGACTGTAAGAGGAATAAAGAAGTAGACTATTTGTATCCGTACTCCTGATATCTTGTATCTTTTTAAGTTACACAAAAGTCTTTGTATTGAAATTTTCCTGTAAAATATCTGGGACTGGGTCGTATTTTCAACATATCAAAGTTCATTGTCATAGCCTCGGTACTACTATATTGAATATTATGAGTTTACAGTAGTCATGCTGTTCAGACCTGTCATGAAGGTCCAAATGGTAACAGCTATGTGTTACATTTTACATCAGCGAATTTCCATCGTCAAACACGTCTCCAGGTCTTCAGTCCAAGAAATACTTTACAACTGCTTGGCTAGCTATCCATTGATGGTTTCATTACACACATACACTCAACACACGACACATATGAATATTTATAGACGAAATATAAATATATTTATATTTATATACGAATATAAATAGATATTTGATTTATGATAGGCCTATCACAAAAATACCACATCGCCAGTATGCGAGCAGGAACAGAGTAAGCTGTAGCGAACAGCTGTATTTGCTTCAAGAATCATAAATTCTGTTTAATCTGCATTCATCACAGTGTAAAAATCAAAATAGGTATATTATTTTATTTAAAACCTTACATGAGTAACTTTTTATGTTTCCAGGGTTATTGCAGAACCTATGGACATGAAATCTTCAGATATGCTTATTAAAAAAGCCATTCTCGATGATTTAAATACCACTGAAAACCCTTTGTGGATTGAACAGTAAGTAAAACTAACCAGCTGTGGGTCCTTCCAAGGCCCCACTAGAAAAACAGGCAATGATGCAGGATCCATGATGTCACACTAGTGGATAGATTTGTTGATCAATTTACTGCCATATCCCATTATGTTTTAGGTAAATAAGCTGGCTGTTTATCAGATTTTTAACTGTAGGATATTAGTACAGCAATCCAACACTGTGACGTAGTGCTGCCCTGCCTGCTCTGCAGCATGGCATGTTTTTCTAGTGGGGCCTTAGCCCGTCCTACACATGGGAACTACAGTATGTTGTCGGTTAAAACTGTATTTAATTACGGACAGGTATTAAGTTAAGTGGGGATATTAAGTTAGAATTGTTGAGGGGTGCAGACAGAAATATTACTATAAACATTATAACCTGCATAAAGGCAGATGAGTTGGTGGCTCAGTTGGTAGCGTCACGGACTTGGGGCCCAAGGCAGCAATGTCGTGGGTTCGGATCCTGGTCACTGCCACTAAAATTTATCAGTACAGTTCACCTTTGTACTGTACCGGCTCACCCCTTGCTTTGCTGGATACGTTCCACGCACAGATCTGTAGTCTATGTGGACGGGCAAATGCAAGGTTAAAAGAGGCTGCCAACCTCTATTTTTTTTTAAAGATTATGACAGTAGGGAAAAAAAGATTCATTCATATTATGTACTTTTATTAGCCTGATTTATTCTATTGATTATTTCTGATTCTTCACTGTTGTTAACACCGCTGCCCCCGCCATCATTAATACCATTGGTTTTGTCCTCCACCACTTCCAAACCGGAGGAGGACATGATAGTTAAATATATTATTGGCAGAACGCAGGTTGTTGGTAATTTGAGTAGTAAAACAGTATTATTATAAAAAGAAAGAGAAGAGATAGGTCTTGTTTGGATGAACCACAGAATGTAATTGAATATTTGTTTAAATATAATATAAACGATAAACAGCTGAACATATGTTATTAAATATAAAACACAAAAGGGAAATTAATAGTGCAGAACTAAAGGTAAAGATGATGAGTGGTGACATTCTTCCACCTCAGAGAACTATACATTTTCTTTTAGTTTACAAGTTTTCATGATGTGTAATTCTGCAAATTTTTGTTGCTGTTGTTCCGCAGTCGGTCTTGAGGTCAACCACTCGCACTTGATTTTATTTTCCAGGGTATGTTTTCAATACAATTCCTTTTTTCCAATCAGACCTAGCTCCGTTCGGATCTGTAATTAACACCAATTCTCCTTCTTCAATAGGCACGGCTTCTTTAAACCATTTCGGTCTATAATTTACCTGTGGTAAATATTCTTTTATCCATCACTGCCAAAACTTGTCTGTAATTTGCTGGCCAACTTTCCAAGATTTGCGAAGACTGGTCTTCTCAGGTATTTTTGTGCAAGGAGAATTTGCACCTGACCTTCCTATGAGAAAGTGATTGGGAGTTAGGCTTTCATCATCATTTGCGTCTGTTGAAACTCGTGTCAATGGTCTGCTATTCACCACATTCTCAACTTCGGCAAACACTGTCTGTAACACTTCATCTTTTGGAAATCTTTCTGTTAGACAAGTTTGTAAGGCTATTTTTACAGTTTTAATTAACCGCTCCCACGCTCCACCCATGTGAGGAGCTGCTGGTGGAATGAATCGCCAGGTGATAACCATCAGGTGCAAGTTTGGACTCTATCTTGGATTGTTTTAACTCCTCCAAAGCTTCTTTGATTTCTTTATTTGCTTTTCGTAAGTTTGTCCCGTTAACTGAATAAATGTTTTTTGGCGATCCTCTTCTTGCGATAAATCTTCTTACTGCCATTACAGTGGAGTCACTAGTTAGAGAATGAGCTATCTCTAAACGTATAGCTCGAGTACTTAGACATGTGAATAAAACTCCATATCTCTTCTCGTGTCTCCTACCAACAGTGACTGTTATTGGACCAAAATAATCTACTCCAGTATTAAAGAAAGGAGTTACATGTGCTGTGAGTCTTGCTTCTGGTAAATCTCCCATTCTAGGTTGTAAGGGTTTAGCTCTTAGTAAAGCACAGAGCTTACACCGATTCTAGCTAATCCTTACTGCTTTTCTTAGACGAAAAAACCAGTAACGTTGTCGAACTTCATTAACAACAGTCTCTTGCCCTTGGTGAAAATTCATCTTATGGTATCTGTCAAAAAACAGTTTTGTAAAACGGTGTTCTGGGTCCAATATAATTGGATGTTTTGACAAATGTTAGACATTCTGCATTTTCCAGTCGCCCTTGAACTTGAAGAATTCCATTTTCATCCAGGAAGGGAGTTACTTTGTCAAACTTTGGTGATCCCTCTATTTGAAAGCCTGCTTGGAGTGTTGATATTTCCTTTTCAAAGCTGTCTATTTGACTTTTCTTAATCCAAAGAGTTTCTGCATCTTTTAACTCGGAGGCTGTTACTGTTGAACCCTTAGGTAACAGTTTCTTCATTCAATAATTTACTGAAAGATGAAAAACGCATAATGTCCGGTAAAATTGTTGGATTTACAGTTTCAGTTGTCAGGCCAACATATCTCTTTTTGATTTCAGGTAGTGGTTGGTATTTTGTGCTGAAATCCTCTTGAGGCCAAAACATTTCTGGTTCCCTCAGGAAACTGGGACCATTAAACCATTGGTTTTCTACGTGTTCACTGATTTCTCTTGTCTTAGTTGCATAATCAGCTATGTTTTCTGTAGAGTGTTCCCGAAGAATAACATTTTGAAGTTTACATCCTAGAGTAGCAGCAATAAGTTCATGTCTTTGTATTGTTATAACTTTAAGTGGGGCAACTCTGTGCCTGCTGGCAACTAAACTAACTTCAATATTGTTTCCCTTGGTTGTCCTGATATAAGCTACTGCTGCATGTTTTTTTGCTTGCGTCACAAAAGACATGCAACTGAATATCGTCACAATCATGAAGGCCGCTTCCATAACAACGAGGTATTTCCAAATCAACCACTCTTTGAAGACTGTTATACCAGGTTTCCCACATCAGTACCAAGTTTTCAGGAATTATATCATCCCATCCCATCCCACTTCACCATATTTTCTGCATGATTCTTTTCCCCTCAGCCAAATAAAGTGCAGCCCAACCTAAAGGATCAAATATTTGTAGTACTAATTTCAGTGCTTCTCTTTTCGTTAGTGGCTTCTCTTTGCTGTTTTGACTTAAATCGATGCTTCTATTGTAATCAATCTTGAGGTAATCATTGTCTGGTTTCCATTTGATTCCCAAAACCTTGGCTTCTTTACCAGGTGTTGATTTTAAATCTTCTGGAACGCTATCCAAAACTGTGTTACTGTTGCTAACCCATCCGCAGATAACAAAACCACCTTTGGCATGAACTTTCATTACTCCTTCTACTAGCTTCAGTGCCTCCGCTTCTGATGGACAGCTTCCGACATAATCATCCATGCAGTGATCTCTCATTATAGTTTCACAAGCTTCTGGATATGACTGGATCTGTTCTAGAGCATTTGTATTTCTGACCTTTTGAGCAGAAAAAGGTGAACACACTGCGCCAAATATCATTCTTCTCATGATGTATACTTTTGGCTCAGTTTCTCTATCAAATCCTCTCCAAAGAAATTGTTGTGCTAATTGATCTTCTGGTCTAATCATTATCTGTGGGAACATTTCTCTTATATCTGCTGTCATTGCTATTTTTTGTTGACGGAACCTGAATATCAGCCCAAGAATATCAACCAATAAGTCAGGTCCTTTTAGCAAAGCCTCATTCAGACTAACCCCTTTACATTTTGCAGCAGCGTCAAAGCAAATCCGGAATTTTCCAGGTTTTTTAGGATTTACAACTCCAAGGTGTGGGAGGTACCATACCTTTTCTGAAAGTCGACAAAGTCTTGCTTCTTCCAAGGTTCTTTCTGTAGCATAACCTTTAGTAATATATTACTCTATTTTCTGTACATATTTTTCACAAAATTCCTTATCTTTATCCATTCTTCTTTCCAGATTACATAATCGTTGTCTAGCCATAGAGTAATTATTTGGTAAATCAAAATTTTTCTTCCACAATAAACCTGTTTCCCATCGATCTCCTACCTTCTTTGTAGTTTTCTGAAATATATCTTCGGCTCTTCTATCCTCTTCAGACAGTAGTTTGTTGTCATTCACGTCATCTTGCCAATTTTCACCTAAGGATTTGCCAACTAAATTTCTAAGCTCTTTACAGCAGTCTCTTGGTTCTACCAACTCATCTTCTTCGATTAAATTTACATGATGGAATACATGCTCTTGTTGTGATGTTGGGTGTTCATTCCTATCAGAAACTATTCCATGTACAACCCAACCTATAAGTGTTTTACTTACTGCTGGACCATGTACGTACACAACATTCCTAGAGACAAGAAGAGGCCAATTGTTGGCCAATTAGAATGGTAGGTTTAGCATTTTTGAAAGAAGAGACTTTAATCTTATTTAAGTGTTTCCACTTAACTGAAAGATGTTCCATATTGATCGACTGAATAGGAAGTGACAAATCTTTTACTGTTCTTACATTATTCAAATAATACTTTTTAGCATTATCTTCAAGTCCCGAAATATTAAGAGATATTTTCATGGAACTTCCCTCAGATCTAGTCACATCGTTTGACCACTGCATGATCAACTCAGAAGCTGGACCCTCAATTCCCAATTTACCTGCAATTTCCTCTTCTACTAAAGTCAATGTTGAACCATCATCTAAGAACGCATAAGTTTCCAGATCTCCCTTAGGTCCATGAAGTTTAACTGGAAGAATACGCAGCAAAACTTGGTCTTTATTTGGTGAGTTTGTTACATTACTAGTACCAGAATCAATCTTATTTGGGAGGTGTAAAAAAGTATTGTGGCGTTTCTTACATTTTTTACAACTCTCCTTACTCTTACAACTAGGTGCTGTATGACCTTTCTTCTCACAAAGAAAACAAATTCCCTCAGATAATGCCCATTTAACCCGTTCATCTACAGATTGTTCTTTAAACTTTTTACATTGGAACAATAAATGTTTGTCTTTACACACTAAACACTTGTTTTCAGAACCATAACATAATTTGTTTTCAAAACTCCTTACTCCTTTATTGTTTCCAATCGATACATCTCTCTTGTAAGATGTAATGTCATGAGATTTATGTTGAGAAAAGTTAGTGTTTACATGTAAGAATGCATCTGATTTCTTACGCAACCAAATACTGAATGTCTTTAGATCGATACAGTCATTTCCCAACTCATTTAAATACTCTCCCCATTGCAACTTCAAACTATTATTAAGTTTACTCGTTATTTGGTTTAACAGTATGGGATTAAACAAGTATTCTGGCTTATCTACCAATTCTACTGTGCTTACAAGATTTTCAATATGATCTGCCAGTTTTTCTAGATTGCATTCATTTGCTCCATTAAACTTCAAAATAACTGATTCTAATTTCCCAATTAAATTACTTATTATTAGGTCTGGTCTTCCAAATTTATTTTCCAAACGATTCAATACTGTATTTAAGTTACCAGGCACCATCATAAGTGACTCTACGCATTCCCTAGTGTTTGTGTATTGTTCTAAACGTTTTTGGATTATTTTGGGGTCATTATTCACTACACATATTTTACCTCCTCCTTTTAGCATTTCGGATACTACCATGTTCTCTCCTGCTGCCTTATTGTTTTTTTAAATTTTTAATAGCCTCTTCTTTTGATGGTTCTTCAATATAAGGATCTGCAAATTGTTATCCTTCTTGATTTTCTACTTCTGTTATTCTGAGTGAGTATATATCCCTCTTTGTTTGTAATTCCAAAAGTACTAGGTGTATATCCTTTCCTAAAATGTTTTACACAGCTATAAAACTCCTTGTGATTGTTAGATATTTTATCGTTCTTGTTCTTGGCTTTCTCCAATAAACTGTTAATGTACTCCCTCTTCTTCCTTCGTAGCAGTCGTGTTGTAGATTTGTTTATGGTTGGTTGGCTTCCCGGTCTTCACTATTATTGCTGTTCAGCCACATCTTCTTCATGCCTCTATTCTGTATTGTACATTCTTCGTCCAGCCATGGAATTTTCTCTCTTCTTTTCTTTTTTCCACAAACTTCCTTTGCTGTTTCCAGTATATTGGTTTTGTATGTTTTCCATAGTATCTCTTGTTACATATTCTCTTGTTTATCCTTTATAAATTCATTCAAAATTTGAAATCTATTTTGCAAGTTGATGTATATTCATTTAAATTGTGCTTGTATTTCAATCTTTCTATATCAATCTTTTCTGTGTTTGCACTTTGTTTCTTTTTCTCTATGGATATTCTACACTAGATTTTGGTAAGCATTAGATTATGATCAGATCGACACTCTGCTTCTAAAATTCAAAACACTACTTTTGTTCCTGTTGTTCGCTAAAACATGGTCTATTTGATTCTTAGTTCTGCCATCTGGCGATATCCACATTTCTTTATCAATCTCCTTTCTTGTGTGTGCTCATGATTTTGAGATTGTTTGCCATTGCAAAACTGCAAAGTCTCACTCCGTTTTCATTTCTTTCATCGTGGAGACTTCCTTTTCCTGCAATCTCTTTCCATATACTTTGTTTACCTATTTTTTCATTTGCATTTCCTAAAACTATCTTCATATCATAATTTGGCATTTGGTCCAAGTAGCTCATAGAAGTTATCTATGGTTTCTTCATCACTATATTCTGTTGGTGCGTAGAAAGATATCATAGATGTGTTCTATTTAGTTAAATTTACCCTTAATTCTAATATTGCACATTCTCTCATTACCCGCTTCAAAACATATCAGATTCAGCTATTCTTTTGCTCACAGAAAAACCTACTCCTCCGTAGTAACGGTTATCTTCACAGCCACTGTAGTATATTGTAATAGTGTTTAGTGTTTATTCTTCCCGTTTGGGGCCATCTTACTTCTTGTAATGTAAAATGTCCATGTTATATCTTTTTAGTTCTTCTGATAACATTTCACTTGCTCCATTCACTGCTTAAGTTCTCACGTTCCTTGTTCCTAAATGTATAGCCCTCTAGGTAGTCCTTTTCATCGTCCATAAGTCCTGTTCTTTTTCCGAAACTTTATTTTGTTGACGATGCGTAACTTGATGGTTTTTATAGGGCACAGTCAGCCCAGCGCTCCACCCCCAACTTGAAGGGCCAGGGGTTTAATTTTAGAGCCACCTTCTGCTATTGAATGTGCTATCCAGTTAACTGCTTCCACTACAGCTCTAAGATCCTAAACTAACCTCGGTTTTACCTAAGAGTTTCCTTCCCCTAGTTTTTATGTATCCAAACTATATTGTAGGCAGAACAGGCAGCGTTTATTTAATGGTGGCACTTCTTCGCCATGGCACAGCACTATCATTGGGCTCTTGTGGAATTTGGTGAGTGTCACCTCGCCTCTGAACCCCTCCCCCCCCCCCCCCAACGACCTCTAGGTGCTGCTGCCTCGACTGCTTATTGGGGGTACCCCTCATACGCAGCTGTCCACCATATCTGATGGAGCGTTTGCTATCCGCCACCTGCGACCTGTCCAATCACTGACAGGTTTGGGTGAAGCAATAATAATATAGTAATAAATATTATTAATGAACAGAATTAAATAATAATTATTGAGTGTGTAAAATATTATTAATTTGTGAATGTTTAAAAAACTGTTTACATAATTATTATGCTTTAATCCTTAGTCAAATAATGCGGGTGTGTGTTGGGGAGGGTCTAGTTTTGGTGTTGTAGAGTATAAAAGTGGGACCTTAACAGTTCGAACTGGTAACGGAAATCAGACATGTTAATGTTGAAGTAAAAAATAACAAGATAATGAAAGCTTTATAAATTTGCAGAAAGCTGAAGCTGTATGAGGAGCAGGAGCTGACCATGCAAGTGTTCTGTGAGCCGGAGATCAGCGGACAGCCTGGACATGACAGGAGAGACTCAGCAGATATGTCCATGGTCAGTGTACAGAATACATTCACCCTAACCTTATAGTACTGTACCTACATGTTTGATGATGATAGTTACGTACGTATACTGGTTCATTTGAAAAATACTAATAAAACCATCACAACATACAACTTGGACAACAACATGGATCAAATTACTGCTACACCCATTGAAGGTCAATGAGTAGTTGAGTTAATTTATGAATGATTATTTTTACTAGCTTACTTTCATGCTTGGAATTTTTCCTCATAATGCAACCATAAATTTATCTTTAAATAAAAAAAAAAAACTTTAGGCCTATAGTTATCTATGGTTGTATAAAAAGAGTTAAATACTTACTATCGCTGTATGTATAACAAAATTGGTTTGATAGTCAGGTTTTATAAAAACTATGTTTATTTCTCTATGTTTGCTGTAAAAAGTGTTGTGTATTGGGTGAAGCAATGTGTATACCAAGAACATTGTGAATATAAACTAAAAATGAAAATCTTTATAAAAGGTTAATGTTAAGGGAACAATGTTTTACTTGAGGAGGTGTTTTTGTTGATAGATGGACAACACGTATGCCACTATACAGCAGCCCAGCAGACGAGGGTCTCTCAACACTATGTTGTCTCTGGGTGACTATGCCACGCTAGGTGGCTCAGTGCTGCCTCTGGACAATGTCAGCTCTCACAGCCAACAGGTAATGTTGTTGTCTCAACACTATGTTGTCTCTGGGTGACTATGCCACGCTAGGTGGCTCAGTGCTGCCTCTGGACAATGTCAGCTCTCACAGCCAACAGGTAATGTTGTTGTCTCAACACTATGTTGTCTCTGGGTGACTATGCCACGCTAGGTGGCTCAGTGCTGCCTCTGGACAATGTCAGCTCTCACAGCCAACAGGTAATGTTGTTGTCTCAACACTATGTTGTCTCTGGGTGACTATGCCACGCTAGGTGGCTCAGTGCTGCCTCTGGACAATGTCAGCTCTCACAGCCAACAGGTAATGTTGTTGTCTCAACTCGTCTAATTTAGGGGTAATTTTGTCTCTCAGGTTTTAGACTAAAGTTAGGTTGGTTTAGGAAAGAATTGAATCAAACAAATCATCTATATAATTATTATATTACAATAGGTTTATACATTATATCGTATATAATTTTTTCCATATCAAGGTAATATCGTAAAAATCACCCACAATCACATCAAATTGTTTAACATCTTACAGTCTAAAAAAATTGAAAAATCTTTCAAAAAACCTAGGGAAAATTGAGATCATCCTCTGCGGCCACGGTGAAACCAAGAACGTATTCTGTGATCACTGCGAAATTGTGTACATCCTTTTGTAGTCAAGGAAAAATCTTGACCATCTTTTATGCTCATGGTGATGTCATCATCATGTCCCACAAATGCGGCAAAACCGTGAAAAACTCACACTATCGTTGCATATTGTCAATTTTTGATCCCACATCTTTTCAGACACTTTTCTACCTCTCAACCTAACCCGACCTTGGCCTGGAAATTTTTTTTGGCCCCGACCGATCCCTCATGTCTGAAAATATCAGGGAGAAACAGACTCCTAGTCTAATCAAAAATATATAAAAATCTAATGGTGTTTGCCTTATTATGCGTGTTAGTCAATTGTCTATAAACTACCTAACTGACTGGTCTAATATTTTACAAAAATATTGCTACTATATCAAGGAACATTATAGGACTACAACCATTTTCATATTGGTATAGAGTTTTGCCCTATGGTCTTTCCAAGTTCTGAGGCGAGACTTTAGAAATAAATATTGATTAGTCCCCAGGAAACAATGTTATAATTTACTTTGAAATTTCAATTCAAAGTAAACAGAGTGAACTGTTAAATTCACCGATAGGTGAATACATGTTGAGTAGTGAAGTTTTTCACTCCTGCTTCATCACTAAAAGCATAAGATGTAACTCTCATTTCAGATGCTAGAGGCTGCTTTAGGGTTCCAAGGCTCAACATTTCAAGTTCCGGAGAACAGCGAGGTGTTCAGAGGCAGACCTGCAGAACTGCGAGTCAACAAAGACGGGCAACCTGAGTTTGTCTCTGAACTCATATGAATCTCATATTGTAGATAAACCAAGACATCGAAGTCAAAGACTAGAAATCTCAACTGTGGCTTCCAGCCTGTATACTCAAACATTGTGTGCCTTTAACAAACAACATTTAGACTATTTTCTATGACTGACAAGTCAAATGGCTCATGGAAAATGACCTAAATAGGTTTAATGTGAACTAAGATTGATTTCTTATATATATTTTGGGCTCATCACATACACCTTCACACCTTGCTCAGTATATGTGATCTGACTGAAACTTTCATGGGTTGTAAGGGGTTTTTACTATGGGTATCAGTAATAATAAGGTCATAATAGTTAAGTAAAAAGAACAAAATCCTTTCACATTCGCTGTGAAATAGGTTAGTTTGTGTCTTAAAGTAAGACTGTATACCGTTTAAGTATTTAGTAATGGTTTAATCAGTATTTAATATTATTTATTATTTTGCACAGTTAAGTGTAACAACGACAATTTTATACTATTACAGCCAGTATTTTAAAGTAGTTTTACGTTTCAGTTTTCACCTTTAAGATTTTCCTGTTGCATTTGGCGTACATTTTTACTTGTTATTTTATAAAACAAGACAAAATTCTTTTGATTTTGGTATAAGTCTTATCATAAAAACATGTATATATATTATGAAAATGAATATGCCAAGATCTCGATTGATTACACAATTAGGACGGTACAATATTTTTAATATTATATATATAAATGTGTATGTTATACTGATACTGTACTGAGTGTGACTAAAGTTTGACATCGACCAACACTTGCATCAAGTGTTCAGTTGTCACTAACAGGCACACCAGTTATATTACTATCATTATTGAAGAAGTATTTTAAACGGTGAATATATATTTTTATAAATTATTTACTATGAATTGTATGATACGCTCAATTTACAATATTCCAAATGTTCATGTATTTTAGATTTTATAGTATGTATTTATGGATTTATAAATCTTTTTTAAGACAGTTTTCAAAGTCATGGATCATGTTCAAATCATTGTATTAAATATTTTGTACATTTGTCCATACCTGTATTATAATTACTTAGTTTAGTAATTATATTTTTAGTTAGTAGTTTGGTGCCAAATTGATGAGCAATCAGATTTTGAGAATCTTAAAGCTAAATATTTTGAGAACCACATTTATTTTAACTAAATACAAAAATACTCAAATAACTGAATTTAAACGTTGTTAAGTGCACAGGTGTGCTGCGATTGGGGTTTAATATATTTGGACTTATTAAAAAGTAAAATAGTTTTCTGTGCTGCACTCTGTAGAAACACTGTGGCACTATTTCAAATCATGACTAATGCTAACACAGAATGTTGTGATTATTCAAACCTACAAATTTAGAATTATTATACTAAAACTTGCTTATGAACAAATATTATGTTGTAAATATTAATAAAGTAAGTAAGCCTATTAATTGTGATTTGGCAGTTCATTTGTTAGGTGTACTTCAATTTTCAAATAAACTAAATTGAATAATTAAATGTTCTGTACTTTGTTTCGATGCCTTATATCTAGAATCCCACCCCTTAGTCTTACATGAATATCTTATTTTATTAAAATTCATATGTGTTTGATAATGATAATTATTGTTCAAACAAACCGTAAAAACTTACCTCCTGGTGCGTATGCCTGGTTTGGCTGTATTTGTTTTAATGGTTAAATTTAACTTAGATTCAAAATATAATCTTTGTTAGTCTTATGTACAGATTGGTTATCACTTATCAACATAATAAATTTCTTTTAGGTCTTGAAGGAAGATCTTGAATTGTGTATGGCCTATATGATTGTTGTTCAGAGATGTTTATAAATTCTGTTAAAAATATTTGTGCTAAGTATGTGAGTGGCAAGGACAATTAATTATGAATAAAGAGAGAATGAAGACTATTATGAATAAAGCAGTTTATATAACAAAATACTAAAAAAGTCTAAACCAACGTTTAAATAACTAATTTTTTTCGTTTTAACCAAGACCTTTCTCTGATGGTAAGCTCACAAATAGTTGCTATGTTTCCTCCCACTACTTTAACACGTTGACTGCGGCCTACTGCTATAGCAGTAGCGCGGCACTGGCACTGCTCGCGGCCTACTGCTATATGAGTAGTGTGCTCGCCTGCCAAATATTGCGCCTGTCTGAGCCCAGCACTCGGCTGGCGACAATGTGATTGTTGCCAGGCTGTAGCTTAGAATACGAGCTTTATTTTGGTGTAGGTTAGTACTAAACATTCCTGTAAAATCCCGTCTGGCAATGCTTTTGTCCCGTTTCCGGGGATTTTCTCTATTCGAGCCATATTAAAAAGACTCTGGTTATTGATCCAGGCAGTGCACCCTTTGGGCGTTTCAGTGAACTACGTCCACTTTCGGGGTAACGCAGAACAATCAACACCGCTCTTTTGTGATTTGCCTTACTGAGATATCTCAATGCCAATAGCGATCGCTGATTCAGTAGCGCAATGGGGCTCCGCCTGCAGTTTAGGGAGTGCCATTGTAAAGGTTTTCAGCAGTCTACGTGTTAACCCACCAGCCACCACTGTTTACGTAGTCCCGCCAAGAAGATTTGTTGTTCAAATTTTCACTCCCGAATACACACAATTTAATAATGAAATCAAAGAATTGAATTGACTTTTTTTGTTATTCTTAAAATTAATTTTTTCATTAGAAAATGTGAAATAATAGAATACGAATAAGAGGAGAGTAAAAAAATCCAAAAATTGATGTTACAAGAACAACGATATGACGAGGAAGCAATGCACGTGGTAACGTTCACATTTATAAATTAACTAGCTGTACCCCGCGGGCTTTGCCCGGCTTAACTTCATAAGTATTCGCATGGCTCAATCACGTCCTGGTTGAAGTTCGTTCGCTACGCTCACTCACCTTCAGGTTGGAAATCGTTCGCTGCGCTCACTTGTTTTCAGGTTAGCTCGTTCACTACGCTTACTCGCCTCCAGGTTGATGATCGTTCGCTACGCTCACTCACCTTTTGGTTGCAAATTAGCTGTTGTCATAAATTAAAAAAGTCATCCCTTTTATTGTTTCCCTAATACTTTGATAAAGGTTTTTATGTTTTAATATTTAACATCGGAGAATTTAAACGTTGTTAAGTGCACAGGTGTGCTGCGATTGGGGTTTAATATATTTGGACTTATTAAAAAGTAAAATAGTTTTCTGTGCTGCACTCTGTAGAAACACTGTGGCACTATTTCAAATCATGACTAATGCTAACACAGAATGTTGTGATTATTCAAACCTACAAAACAGTTGGTGAAAGTAAACATCTGCTTTTAAATTATATTTATTTGTAAACATTGTCGATCAAAAAGTCTGACATTGGCCCACTTAAAACCCTCTAGGGCAGAGCCCTTTTGACGGATCTGCACCAAACTTCACTCGAACCATCCTTGAAAGATGCTTAACAATGCCTGAAAGTTTCATTAAAATCTGTCTAGCGGTTTCGGATTCCATAACATATATACACACACACATACATACATAGTTCCTCTTTTATAGATATAGATTGTATTGTTGCCTTTTTTAGCCATGGGGTTTGTGCAATCGACTCTCTCCCTCTCTCTCTATCACATCAGCTGGCAACGCTCATTGGATACTAAGCACTCAATCCTGGTCGATGGGTGTTCTTTAGAGGTTGTTGGTTAAATCTGAATCATGAGTAGGATATATTCTGGACCTAGTTTATCTAAATACATCTATTAAGAATGTTTTAACAATAGGTTAACATCATTATCTCTTAACAAATTTGTAAAAATAAAAAGTAGGTATTACTTTGTACAAAAATTGAACAAACATGAATAAGTATGTTGTTCAGACACCACAACCCTGTAAAAGAGCTGCAATTTAAATATATCCTAAGACTTGATGTGATAAGAATAGTGTAAGTGACTATTTACCCAATTTGGAAATTCTTTTACAGCTGAATATTTTGTTGCGACTGTGAAAAAAACTTTAACCCTTAGAGTGCCAGGCGAGAAATAAAAGTAACGCTCAAAAAATGCCGATGATTTTTCCCAAAGGTCGCGCTAAAAATGCCGAGCGCGATCTGGCGATTTTTAGGTTAAAATTTCGTAAAAATCGAATTTTCGATATTTCGACCAACGAAAATCGATGTATCACATCTAGTAACTTTGACTCAATGTTAATAAATGGGTTAAAAGAATCCGAGTATCCATTCGGTTGTTATGACAACTGTTCGATCATTACAAAACGTCCGGTCAGCCGGACGTTGGCACTTTTGGCTCGTTCTAAAAACGTCCGGTCGGCCGGACGTCGGCACTTTTGGCTCGCTTTAAAAACGTCCGGTTCCCCGGACGTTGGCACTCAAAGGGTTAAGTTAAACTTTTAAAAGCTTAACATGGGCCTTATGGTTTAATTGGTCGCCATGACATTATTTGCGAGATAACAATAAAAAGGTAAACAAGAGTGACACAGTATCCAATGTGAGGCAACAATACTATGACGACACTCCTATCCCTGTACGTTGTACTTTTTAAGATGTTTTTGAGTGAGTAAAGAGTTTGAATTTGAGTCGCAACCATTGGCTATGCACAGAATCCTATATACTATATACAGAATCTGTGTATTGTCACTGGTCGCAACCTATGTTAGTCAACAAATCGCAATAAAATAGCACATTACAAAACCATACAGAGAAAAAGGGAAGAACAATCAGATTAATATCATCGAGCATAATTTACTAAAAAATGAATAAACAATAAATGATAGGGCCACCGGAATTAGGCTGATGCCTGATTTAATAAATACTCCAAACAGCAATTCCATTTATGTGAACCAAATATAGTCCTACCATTGAGTTTGGATACTGCAAGTAGACATTCCATTGACGTGAACCAGACGTACCATTGACTTGTGATACTGTAAGTAAACAATTAATTTACGTTAACCAAATGTGCCATTGGGTTTGGATACTGAAAGTATACAATTCGTTTACGTATCATTGAGTTTGAATATACTGCAAATAGACATTTAATTTAAGTGAACCAGAAGTAAGCCTACCAATGACTTTGAATAATGCAAATAGATTTCTCATTTATGTGAAGCAGGTGTACCATCGATTTAGGATACTGCAAGTAGACAGTTCATTTATGTGAGCCAATTGTACCATTGACTTTAGAACCTGTAAATAGACATTCCATTTCAATGAACCAGGCGTACCATTGACTTTGAATAATGCAAATAGGCAATAGGCATCTTATTTGTGCAAACCAAATATATAATTGACACTCGCCTTTGGCTCGCTGGGGGCTCCGCCCCCAGGCCCCCTAGCTGTTAGTCGTCATTAGTATACAGCTAATCCAGCTAGCTGTTAGTTTTTTCATTAGTATATTAGAGTTAAGTTGTAACAAAGGAAGAAGTGAAACCGTCAATATTAAGTTATATAAGCTAACTTCGAGCTCGACCTTAAGGAACACCTCATAAAAAAATCATTTTTAAAGTTGCGGTAAGAGAGTATGTTAGTTAAGTATTTTTACAACTGAGTTGTTGGTCAAGCGAAGTACAAATATAAGGAGAGTAGGGTTCGTTATAGAGTGAAAATCAACATTAAAGTAATAACGATTTCATGAATATATAAGAGGAGATTGATAAGTTTGTAAGTTGATAATAGTAAAGTATTATATGAAGAAAATAGATTGTAGTAGATCGGAGGCCAGGAAACGTCGGAACCCTATTTGCAATTATTAAAAAAATATACAAGTTAGTAAACTTTTGTATAAGATAAGTAGATTTATGTAGATTGATAAGTTAATAAGTTGATAATTGATAATATAAAAGTATTATATGAAGTAAATAGACTGTAGTAGATGTTCATGTATATATTTATGAAACATTGCAAGCAGAAAACTTCATTGTCCACCTATTGTTTGTGTTACTGCTCTAAAATGTATTGTATAAAATTGAATTATATACAATTTACATTGCGTATCGGTCAGGAATACTAAATTAATTCTTACTCTAATTATTTTATTACTGTAAAACCCGACTGGCCGACTGCACACTAACTTCAATGTAAATTTGCGTAACACAAAGCAGCTTGTACTCCTTTCCCAATCATGTTTTCAATTTATCTTATTTGGGTTATTTGTCAGTAAATATTGAATTATTATTGTGTTTAAACACTGTAAATGAGTGAATTTTTTGCTGTTCCTGGTTTTTTACTCATCATCAGACTCTTATTTGTAATATTTTTCATAAGGGAGCCTTTGAATTTTCTCACCCCTGTATAACATACATAAAAATAAAAAAATATAAAAAAGTATTTTTTTTAATAACAAGATTTTTCTACATTATTTTTGTCTTGGAGATATTCTATAAAATAACCTTAGAATAAAACATTGGTTCATCAATAAAGTGGTCATAGACGATTTTTCTTTGATGTTTATTAAAACAATAGTTAAAAATAGCTTACATTTATAACAAAACAAAGATTGAGGACATTGAAGGACCACAACCATACAGTGAAAGCTATAACATGTGGGCATCGAGGGCTCGTGTATAAAAGGAAACAAAAGTCTAGTAAAAGATAAGAAGAAATAAGAAAGATAATTAGTGAGGGTTCTTTGGTGAACGATCTAATGACTAAAGTACAAAACTGCAAGTACAAAAATATCACTTCAAGTGTCTTAAACTAACATGATTTGTTTCACAAAGTAGATCAAAGTAAGGTCATCATTTTTGAAATTTGATCAAACACAGTAAATATTAATACAAAAATTGTGTCTTTAATTTGCTTCATTACAATAATGATTTTTCTTTAAACAAACTTGTTTTCTATCTTTGTGTTTCACAATGGTGTAAGCCAAATCCTACTAAAGCGACTGTGCAGGTATATTATGAAAGCAAATGCAACAAAATCAGCTTGTGGTTAACAAATAAAATTCTACCCTGTGACGGATTTCAACAGCATTATCAAGCGTTTGGCTTCATGTAATCACTGCAGATAATGTTTCGACGATATTGCATTAATAATCGTTATCGATGTTTGAATTGTAAAATTCTTCGTATGTACATGTTGCATCACACCCTATACAGATGTGGTTACAAAGCCGACGTGCCGTCCTCTAAATAGTGTTGTGTGCCGGGAGGGGGGCGATAGCCAGGGTATGTGCTGTTTAGGGCGTGTTGTGCAAAGAACTGTGAGTAGTCCTTCTTCACCTTACGAGGTCGGAACGCAGGCCCCTTGGCCAGGGCTATCCTTGCCTCATTCTCAGCCTCCGCCTGCTGTTTGACGTTCTCTGGAGGCCATTTCTGATCCCCGCGGCTGCGGGCTCCTCCCTTGACAGACGCCGTGATTGGTTGGCTGGAGTACACGGGGGCAGATACTTGACTGATGGGAGGGGAGGCTCGTAGTGTGATTGTAGCTGGAGGGGGTGTGAATGGTACGGGTGATGGACTCGGTCGGTGGATGGGCTGAGCTGGAGGTGCTTGTACTCCTGGTGCCTGCAACATTAGTGGGAACATGTTACAATAAAGTATGTATAGCATTTGTTTAAATACATCGATGAACTCAAGGAATTATCATAGATAGTGTTGAGATTAAATTGTGCCGAGGGACAGTGACACAATTAAGTAATGGTCAACAAAAAGTGTCCTGGTGTGGTCTTTGGAATGTGCAGTTAACATTGATTTTTTTGCAAATTATTGTGCATCTAGGTATAGATCAACTCAATTAGAGTAGCGATCAAGATGGCATGCTCCCCACTGTTGCATTTGTTCAGTTATCTCAAAAATTAATTGCCGTTGGATTAATTTAATACCACTAGTGTCTAGTGGGGTGAGACTTTTCAGTGTTGTTGGGATATATCCGCTTATGGTTTTTGATGTTCCGGACGGGAAGCGGATATATCCGCCTTCTCTTCAGACAGACTGGCAGGAGCTTGAGCAGTAACCAGATGTTTCGCCGTACAACCAAGGCGCCACTTTCCTGCTCTCTCCATGGCTGCGCTCTCTCCCGCGCCTACCCCTCTCCCACGCCTCCCCTTCTCCCGCACACCCCCACCTCTCCTACACTCCCCCCTCGATGTTTCGTGCTCAACACTATGTTATCTTTATTTATTGTTTATATATTGTTCTTTATTTGGGTAGCGGATATATCCGCATAGTAAAAAACGAGTAAAAAATTATTTTGGCAGTAAGAAGTGTTTCATTGTGTTTATTTAATGTATACTTTTATAACAAAACACAAATAAGGAAAATTGATTTTTATTTTCCTATATTTTTTTCCCGTTTTATGTCACGATTTCGCCCGTCCAGGAAGGGTAAAGATCTTTTAGCTTTTAGCAATAATTTTTCATTTGTTATCTGTGATTCAATATGCAAGTATCAGCAAATAACAATTTCAAGCTTTGACATAGTATATTAATATTAATTTTTTTACCTATAACTTATTTGAAAGCTAAAACAATTTCTCAGATTCCTTTAAATATATTGTGAAAAACATTTCAACTCAAAATCTTTACATGTCATAGATTAGGAATACACATTAGGAACAGAAGACTCAAAAAATTAAGTAGATTTAATTTTTAGTGAATCTATTTGTACTGTAGTCGCCTACAATCGATTATATCTCTATATTTTCTTATTTATAAGTGATTATTTCAAAGATGTTAACATTTTATTTTTGCTCCTGGTAATGTGTTATGTTCATCTGTTCTAAATGTAAATTCCACAACCTTATTATATATTTAGTGCGGCTGTAAGAGGATGCTGGGTCACTATGAATTGTTTATAACACCCAAATGCCTGAACCGACTTTAATGAAATTTGGCATACAAGTGTTTGAATACATTACCTCAGCCCAGGTTGACAATGGTTGAGTTTGATCAAGTCGTTTCAAAATGGCGGCCGTTAATAACTAAAATAATAAATAATTTTCAGTGTTTCGTGTTCTCAACTCCCTCCAGAGATCTGTGGAAACGTATTCATTTTCCTTGCAATCACAGGTTGTGATGCCATGTCTGCATTTATAGGCATTCCTTAAGGCATTGGTTCCTTTTAATAGGCTTTCCTTTAGGCATTTATTTATCTTATTGGGGGTATTTTATAGGCAAAATACCCCCAGAACAGCAAACCTGCAGACTAAGTGAGTTTCCATTTGCCAGATTTGATTTTCGATTAAATCTATTTCAATAACATTAGGTTTCATGAGTACCTAGGTTTGCTGCTACAGGGAGAGTAATAAATTGAGTTTTGATTAATAATATTAATAGCTTAGTTTACAATTAATAAATTTGAAAAATTTCATCAAAATATATCCATAAACAAGCAAACTACAACAGTTTATGTATTATCCGTAAAAATAACACATGGGAATTATAAATTTAAAATTTTTTGTATTTTCTCTGTAACCAATAACCATACAAAAACACTTCAACATACTAAATTTTTTTAATCTTTTCAAAATTGTTAGGAGATAAATTGGTGAATTTCATGTTTTGAAGGTTATGAGAAAACAAACATGAGAAAACACAATCTTTACCCCTTAAATTCCCCTAAAAACCCCGTTTCCATGGTCCGATCATGCTGGATCACGAAATTGTTCAAAGAAACGTAGAGTTACATGTTTGGTAATGACTTAATCAAACTCGACCATTGTTAACCTGGGCCGAGATAATGTATTCAAAAACTTGTATGCTAAATTTCATTAAAATCGGTTCAGGCATTTCGGTGTTATAACCAATTCATGGCGACCCAGCATCCTCTTACAGCTTTTTGATGAGGTCATTACAGACGACCGAGGACCTTAAAAATTGGGGTCTGGGCGTTTAATGTTCAGGGATTTGTATACTATAATCACCTCAGGTTGCATGTTCCCCGCCAGAACTGAAATATTCTGCCACTTTATACAACTCCACTAATAAAAAAAAAAAACTTTTGCCAAACTTATGACAGCTAGCCTGGCCATACTACTAGACCGAATTACACAAGGTACCAAATGAAAGATATTTTACTGTATAAATTATAATAGGCTCAAAAATAAGCACAAAAATGAATTTGAAATTTAAAAACAATTAAAATGGGCTTTATGGGTTGCCATGCTGGTGACGAAATAACAGTAAAATATAAACAGAAAATCAAAACAAACTAATTGCAAAGTATTACAGGTGTTATTTCAAAACGAATAACAGTCATAATTTCCAATTACTTAAAAGAGTCAACTCAAAGATAATGTAGTCTAATCAAATACTCGACTTCAGTTATCGAAACTGAAAACGAACTCACTCTGAAAATGAACGCTCTTGTGTGTATCATGTGTTTACTATGAACAGCTGTAATTATTACAAATTATTCGTCTGTTAAGTAAACAGTATCTTTTCTTCATAAGAAATACATTGGAATTTTGATAGCCTGTGGGGCAAAGCCCGAGGACTTTTGTTACAGGAATTGGTGAAAAGGGGCGTCTACACAAAAAATACTTAATTTTAACAGATTGTTTGTAAAAATCCGTCCATTATTAAAGGAGGAGTAGTTGTGTAGGAATCGCCTTCACGTATTAAGGATTCCATGAATAACATGTTTTATTTACAGTATGGGGTGAAAATAGAGTCTGTACATCATCGATCTCTAATGCTGTACATACATATTTTTTATTGAGTTTTCGACCACTGGACGCCTTGTAAGTTCAAAGTAAACATGTTTGATTTATCAATAACTATCTTGAAAAAAGCTGATGGGGAATTGTTAGGACACTTCGTAAAACCTGTCAAATACACTGGAGAAAGTTGAAGGAGGGTTACATAAAATAGAAAATAGAAAACTGGAAGAGAAAGAAGAATAGGAATAGCAAGTTACACATTGATATAATCAAGGTTGATGAAGGCAATTACATTGGGCTTCCGTCTAATCACCTTCATGGGAACATATCTAGGGTTTCTACTGACAACTTTCTCATCTTTTGCTGGAGCAATCATAGAGAGCTTGTTTCGACTTTTAAATGGCATGACTTTCCACTTGAGTACATTCAATCCAAATAGGGACTTCAAAATTAAATCCCCCTAAAATAATAATGTCAAATATTTTGAGAACTATGCTAATATGTAAAGTGATAATGCAACAGGTGTAATATCCTAAAAAGATCACTACTAGGGATCATCATAGCACTTTTCTGATTGAATGTTTTCTTATTTACAAGCTATCTACTCCTAATGCACACAGAGCACAAACAACAATAAAAGTTATTGTGAAACCAACTCTGAATACCAACCACACATTTATGAAAATCATATTTTTTATAAGTCTGGTTGATGTAATATTGACCTCTTAGATCTATGGAGCTCTCTGAATCGTAACTATATAATCTTTGACTATTTAAGCCATTCTTTAAACATCAGACAGAACTTAAGAGAAACATTAGTCTATTGTGGAAGGTTTTGTAATAAGTAGCCTAGTTGCTAACTGTGTTTGTAGGTTATTTTTTTCATAACTATATGATGACTGGATGAGTTATTGGCAACAGAGCACCTTAAGCCATCAGGACCAAAAAACTAACTATTTAAGCACTTACTTGGCTGTATACCGGAGCAGGCTCCTCAACTAAGAACTCAGCTTCTTCGGTTGGTGGTGGAGGCCACGCTACTCGTTTCAGTCCTAGAAAATTTAAAAACCATTAGCTATGTAGAGATAATTTTATTTTGGTTGACATCTAATAGCACACTTCCCACACATTAAGTACATGAACCCCCCATGGCTTTTGAACTAGAATAACAGTATTTTTTTTTTAGTAACAGATTCTATTATTGTTTTATATTAGAACTCCCTGCATAAAGAATAGACTGTTAAAAGAATAGAGCATACATGTATATTATAACCAACTGCAAACAGCGCTTGGAAAAATCAAACCCTATTGGTTCAAAATGAAGACAAACAGTACCAAGCCACTTCCTCTGCTGGGTTTGAACCCTTACAGCAGAGCCCTGTTATAGCCTATAGTAGAATGATAAAGATTAGAAGCATGTATAATCTTGCCGCTTAACAATTAAAGATTCAATAAGGACAACTATGTTACCAAGAATAGCAATACAATGACAATAAATAGCAATACATTGTAAATGAACAAGCCAATTTGGCATTTTATCAAAATAGTCTGATATCAGAAACAGAGAAATGCACAACTAGTAAAACAAGGCTTTTAATGTATTGAATTGTTGCCAACATAATAAAACCTTTATGTTGAGCTGCTGTTGCCAAAAAATATCAATTATTGAGAAAATAAACCTTCAGTTAATATTATACTGAAGTTTTTGATATATTTTCTTCAGATTGTAGTTTTATGCTGCTGGTTGAAATGTCATTGTAAGAAATTAAAGCAAATACCGTACCTACATTGACATTTCTACAATAGGAAACCTAATGTTTAAAAGGGATGTACATTTTTATTCACATAGTTTGCAACGAGGGTTTTACATTGTTCACAGTTATTTTTTGTGACATTTATTTTTAATGTATTTTTTTAAATTTTAAATTTAAATTTTTTTTACTACTAGTGTACCTGTTGCTCGAATTCGAGCAATTGCGAAGCATTACAGGCGACTTAAAGATTATGGAAATACTCACGATCTATACAACAGTTAGATATAATCAAAATCTTTTGTAAATATCTTATCTTTTTTCAAAAAGCTTATCTTGTTTTTTTAGTGTTTTCTACAAATTTTTCTCTCTCATAGCCGCATTAGGTTGTCTATAACAACGATTATGAATGAAAAAAAAAATTATTTCTAGTTCTTCTACTTGGTTGTGTTCTATGACTTTTTCTATGTTTCCATTGTTTGCAAATCGATTATTTCAATGATTGCTCAAGAAATGTAGAACGGTGTTAATTCAGTTTTATTAGCGAATTTCCCTATAGGGAAGTAGCTATTACCGTAGGTCTCATGGTAAGACTTAGGCCCGGGACCGATTTACTTTTTCATTTTAATGTCCCCAGAGGCCAAAAACACCATTCGTTCAAATTTATATATATATATATATATGTATATATATATATATATAGGTATATATATATATAGATTTATATATATATGTGTCCGTGAACACGATAACTTGAGTAATTTTTATCCGATTTTGATGAAATTTGGTTTGAAGGTGTAAGGCGGGATAAACTTGAATGAGTTCGCGATCCAGCATGATCGGACCATGGGAACAGGGTTTAATGGGGGGTTTTATGGGGTAAAAATTGGTTTTTCTCACTTCTTACCCTCAAAACACAAAATTTCCCATTTTTCTCTAAACCTTCTTAAAGAGCTTAAAAAAACAAACAATTCAGTATATCAAAGTGTTTTTGTACGGTTATTGGTTACGGAGAAAACTAAAAAAATGATAAATTTAAAATTCCCATGTTATTCTTATGGAGAATATTGTAAAATATTGTAGTTTGCTTGTTTATGGATATATTTTGATCAAACTTGGCAAATTTATTTATTTCATAGTAAGCTATCAATATTTTACTAAAAACACACTACTTTATTAGTTTCCTTGTAGCAGCAAACCTAGGTACTCGTTAAACCTAATGTTATTTAAATAGATCAATTGAAAACCAATTCGGCCAAATGGAAATTCGCTTAGACGGCAGGTTTGCTGCGGCGGGGGTATTTTTAGCCTATATCAAATTGTCCAGGATTTATTTTCCATAACATATAATATAATTTTCCATTGCAATAATTATACCAACCCAATTTTCATCTACAGATGCAAAATGCCAACAAATATCACCTACGTACAATCTCCAAGAAGTGGTAAAAAAGGCAGAAACCAACCCATACAATAGATATAAGTTAACTCCAAAAGAAATAATTTTAAGAGTTACTGTGATATTAGGATTTTCCACTGATTTGGTAATCCTATACCCTAATACGAGCAAAGTTTGCTTGTATGTATGTATGCTTGCACCAAGATCTCGAAAACGGCTCCGACAATTTTCTTCAAATGTTGTATATAGTTTATTTCTGGCCTAAAAACGAGTTTACTGCAGTTAGAACTGCCAACAAAAATCTAATTACGTAGAAAAATGAAACTGAAAATCACATTTTTTTAACATTAGTCTTATGGGTTGCTAGGTAACCATGTTGGCTGAATTAAATAACAAGGAAAAAGTAAACAAAAGACTTGTAATTTGTCTATCCACAGTATACTAGCAAAACAAAATACAGTACAAAAGGAAAAACATCAGTTGTTACTATTGAGCAAAGATTATACTGAAGATTACTCGATTCTATATTCAAGGGTAGCAGTGTGGAGTGTGGGATCTGTTTATGACGATTAGATTACGGTATCTGCAATCCTTAAATGCTATGGAAAGGGAGGAAAACAGGTCCACGACATAGGAAGTGGTGAAGGAAGTAGTAAAGGCGAGCAGTCTGGAGTGTGGGAACTGTTTATGAAGATTAAATTAAGGTATCTGCAATCCTAAAATGTAATGGGAAGGGAGGAAAACAGGTCCATGACGTAGGAAGTGGGGAAGGAAGTAGTAAAGGCGAGCAGTCTGGAGTGTGGGAACTGTTTATGACGATTAAATTAAGGTATCTGCAATCCTAAAATGTAATGGGAAGGGAGGAAAACAGGTCCATGACGTAGGGGGTGGGGAAGGAAGTTGTAAGGCTAGCAGTGCAGAGTGTGGGAACCGTCTGTGGCATTAATGTATCTCCAATTCTAAAATATTATTAGGAAGGAGGGCAAACAGGTCTATGACATAGGGAGTGGTGAAGGAAGTAGTAAAGGCGAGCAGTCTGGAGTGTGAAAACTGTTTATGACGATTAGATTAAGGAATCTGCAATCCTAAAATGCTATGGGAAGGGAGGGAAACAGGTCTGCGACATAGGAAGTGGTGAAGGAAGTAGTAAAGGTGAGCACCCTGGAGTGTGGGAACTGTTAATAACGATTAGATCAAGTTATCTACAATCCTAAAATGCTATGGGAAGGGAGGGAATCAGGTCCGCGACGTAGGAAGTGGTGAAGGAAGTAGTAAAGGCGACTAGTCTGGAGTGTGGAAACTGTTTATGACGATTAGATCAAGGAATCTACAATCCTAAAATCCTATGGGAAGGGATGGAAAGAGGTCTGCGACATAGGAAGTGGTGAAGGAAGTAGTAAAGGTGAGCAGTCTGGAGTCTGGGAACTGTTTATGGGAATTACTTTAAGGTATCTACAATCCTAAAATGCTACAAGAAGGGAGGAAAACAGGTTCACGACGTAGGGAGTGGTGAAGTAAGTAGTGATGGTGAGCAGTGTGGAGAATGGGAGTGGATTAATGTATCTGCAATACTTTTCAGAGTAAACTAATAATTTTTCCGAGCAAAGCTCGGTCCCCAGGTACTAGAACATTATATTGCAAAACATGACATGATGCAGAAGAAAATCCAATTTAAAATCAGAAAACCCCATTGCAAATACTGTACTTCATTTTGACAAATTCAATAAATCACTAACAGCTGTTTCATTAACAGTAGTGTAGAATTATGCATATGGTCGTAATGTAAACAAATCTGAAGAGGCAACTTTAAAAGCTTCTGGGGCAGAGCCCCAAGGGAATTTACCTCGTTCTTCTTTTGATGGCTCATCTACAGACCAAGACCTTTCTTTAGAGACCCCTACCAAGTTTCTACACCCAGCCGTTCTCTCAAATTAGCTATGACAAAAACCCCGTTTTCCTCCATAATAATAACTTGGGATGGGAATTTAAAGGCCACTGGGGCAGAGCCCCAAGGGAATTCACCATGTTTCTCTTTTGATAGCTCATCTACAGACCAAGACCTTTCTTTAGACACCTCTACAGAGTTTCTACACCCAGCCGTTCTCTCAAAATAGCTATGACAAAGAAAAACAGTTTCAAATTAATATATAGATTTTAATTTACTTATTTCAACACTTTCAAAAACACCTCTATAAATGGGGGAAACTAAAAAAATATTTGTTGCAAAAACCTACTTATCTATTTTTTACGAGTTGATAGAATTGGCTAATTCTGAAACACCAATCGATTTTCGAGATTGGGAATTTTTTAACATAGAGTACTAATAATACAATTAAATAAAAAAAATAAAAGGGGTTATGAGAGCTCCTTATGCACTATTTTCATGAGAAGTAGGTAGGTTTCAGGTGTAAGGTGATTACGGACATAGTTTGTAGAATCAGTGTTATGTCAGTTGTAGGTTAATTAGTAATTACCATGGCTTTGTTATTGCCAAAGCTTTATCTATTTTATTATTCTACTCGAAGTATAATATTATTAATAAGGAAACTAGACAATAAAATTAAGCTTTCCACCAATACGGTTTATTATTGTTGTAATACAGTGTGTAAATTAAATCTTGAAACAAATTTGTATTTTTTAAACTGAAATAGATATAAATATTCTGTGTGTGGCGTTGACTGTGATCAAAGGTTTTCGTAACTTTGACATCAAAAATATTTTTTTACCCTCCTAACAGGGTAGGGGGTAGGAGGGGACTTATTTTTTTCAAATAGTATCCCTTATTGACTGACCCCTAATTTTGAAGGATTTATTAAAATAAACACAATGACGCAGTCCCGAGGTGGATATCTCACCTCTAGCCAAAATGGCAGGTATTCCAAAATTTGATTTAATGTATGTG